GAGGATTTTTAAACAAAAAAAACTCACAAACTCTAAGAATTCTTTGTACTTATCAATTATTCTCTTCATAAAAAATAGGATTATTGAATAAATAATAAACCTATCATTATTATATTTATTTTTTCATAGTCATTTTAAAAATAAAAAAATAATAAATAATTCTGGAATTATAATTACAATAAAATACGGTTTTACAGACAAATTAAAATAATTCTAAGATAATAAGAATTACCGTGGCATCCAGCTAACGAGTTTAACTTGCCTTCTTTTATAAAATTATTAAAGGAAAAAGAAAGAAAAAATTAAATTCATAACCCGATGACATAAAACTACTAAATAGGTTAATAAATTTTTAAATATATTTTATAATAGGTGGGGTTCTAAAGAGAATGAAAATAAAAATTTGCTATTCCTTTTTCCAATTATATCATTTCATTTACTTATTTTAATACTTTTTTTATTAATTTATTATTTTATTTCTTTTATAACGATTATTATTTTTTATAATATAAAGTTTTAATTATTTTGAGTTTAACATATAAATCCAAATCCAGGTTACATATATAGTTTTTAATCAAAAATAATTAATATATAAAACAGTTATAATATTTATTTATTAAATTATTAAAAAAAATACAGAATTTTTATTGTAATTAATTTTTCATTTAATGAATTAAATATTTTCTTTTTAAATTTTTGAAAAAAAATGTCGCATTATATGACGACCTTTCACCTTAGTTATACTCTTTTTTTTTAAAAAAAAAATTATATAACGCTAAATGAAAAAACAGCAACCTAATTTTTTAATTCTTTAAAAGTTAACTAAGATTCAATAATAGGAATATTTCATCTTTTTTTTAAATTAAAATATTAATATTTTATAAATAATTATTATTAATATTAAATTTTAAAGTGATAATTAAATTTATAAACATATATTTTTTAAAAAACAAATTTTTAAATAATTTATAATTTAATTAATTTCTATAACAATAATAATTTATTTATTTGCAAAATTTTAAACGCGTTACTTGGCATGGCACTTGGAGTTCAATATAGATTTCGATAAAACTAAATAATACAAACTTGTAATAAATTTATATTTTGACTCTAATCCTATTATTTTTTATTATAAATTGCGTGATAATTTTTAATTTATCACATAATGGTACAATATTTTATTTTATTTAAATCAGGCATAAAAGGATAATATTATTTCTTAATACCTTGTAATTTTAACTAATTTGGTAAAATTTATTATGAGAATAAAAATTTAAATAAACCATATCCCATTGTCAGGTCAAAAGCTGGGCATTTTTCTTCTGCAATTTGAAAATTTTGACCTGGAAAGTTAAGTTAAAATTAACTGAATTTTACACACATGAGTAATGCATATAAAAATTAATATACAGGCTTAATAATCATTAAAAAACTAAAAAATAATACTTTAAACATTTATTGCCTTTTTATTTTCAAGAGAAGATATTATGTCATTATAATCTAACGACAATGCAATATAATTTGATTGAAATTAAATATTAGCCACGCAGGATCTTAAGTGTGTCTTGAATAGTTTGAACATGGAGAAGTTGCGCTGACATGTTAATATAAATCACTTTTTATGGTCTGCTTACACAATATATTTATTTTAAAAAAATTTTTAATTCAGTTAATAGATCAAGTACCTTAATATCGCTTTCCAATTAATCTTGATATGTTAATAAATAATTTTTAATGATTACAACATAACCTCAAAATGATTATTGAAAGGTTTTAATTGCTGAAATGTTCTTCTAACGAAATATTTGCTTGATCGATGTAATTATGCTAAAAATATTGTTATTATCAATGTGTTTATTATCGATTATTTCTTGCATTTCTGATGTGGCTCATAGTATACCTTTTTTAAAGTATTTTGAAAAGTCCCTCTTTGAGTTAAAATTCAGCTTCTAGATTCTTTCTTTTTTGTTCGTATTTTACAAACTTTATAGCCTATGAAATCAAATATTATGTGGGCGCGTTTAAACAATTCAATTCACTCAAGTAATTTTTCTATTAATCTAGTTTATCATTTACTAAGGGAATTAAACACTCAATAATATTATTGAAATCTTAATTAAATTAATTCAATTTAGATGATGACAATTTAAAGTATAGATACCTATTTGTTTATGTATTAAATGAAAATTATGATCTAAACGGATTACTAATCATAATATCCAAAGAGGTTTTTCTAGGCGATCTCAAAAACCAGACTTTTAAAAATTAATATAGTATAATTCTTTCTAAAAAAAATTAGAGAGAATATTTATAATAGCATATGAAGATCGAATTAAAAATAATATAAATAAATTCGTATAATTTTTAGACAAGTTGACATTACACGAAATATTTTGTACTGCCACAAAACATATCCTTACCGTATATTAGACTTGTCACTACTTTCGGCTAAAAAATATTGCGACCAAAAATTGTCTCATCCTAAAAAATAAATCAAATATTTTGTTGTCCTTGCCATATAAAAATATAATGCAATTTTACAATAATTATTTTTCAACTAGTTCTGCAATCTGGGTTTCTGCTATATTAGTACATATAATTTATTCCATCAAAAATATTAAATAAATTTGTATTTTTTTCCTAGTAAATCAAGCAAGAAATAAATTTTGCAGGCTCTATTCGTCCATGCCAACGACACGGACCTGACTATGCACAACTTTCTTAAATAGACTAATCATAAACGATTTCTCAATCCTATAATCAAAATTATCAGTTTGATTTTACTGGAGTTTGTTTAAAAATTTAATTTTTTAATCGTCTTCCGAAATCTCGATTATGTGACCTTGTGAGTATCTTTTCCATTTCTCTTATGACCACTCAGCTTCTGTTTATATACATGTTAGAAAAGAATTAGGGCAAAATCAGGTCTACCACAATTTATAATGATTTAAATTTTACAGAGTTGTCCATATCCTGCGATTGGAACTTGACCTTGGCCAAATACAAAAAATAGGTTGAGCAAAAAAATTTAAAAATTGAGCCGAACTCGACAAGTGTAAAAAATGATTTAGAAAACGATGCTTTCTATTATTTCATCGAAATGTTAATTAATATTTTCTCCATTAAAATGCTTTAACTTTTATAATTTTTATTTAAATATTCCGGGCCGGCTCCTAAAAAAAATTTAAGCTTGGGCCTAAAAATATTCATAAAATTAAGCCACCTATCCAGCTTCTTTAACCATAAAAGACTGAAAAGTTAACCCAATGTGGTCAGTATGCAAAATATTCTTTCCTATATTTATAATTGATGATATCATCACGTGCGTATCACTATTCTATATTGCACTTAAAAATATCAAATCATAACTAAAGGCATTTACCTTTTTAGATCTATCTTCGAAATTAATAACCTAAAATACTATGCTATCTGTTGGAAATATTATCTTATAGCTTCTTTTTTTAATGTTAAAATATTACAATTCAATCAACTTGTCGCTAAAGCATATTTTCATTTTTAACAGTTTAAATATAAAAAAAAATTGTCGAGGGCATTATAATTTATGAATATTCCTATTAAGCTAACAACCCAAAAATTGAACAAAAATTACCTTTTTAAAAACTCAAATCGCAAATACTAATACCATTTTGTATTAATATATTTTATTTCTATAATCAATTATATATTTTTGACTTTTCTAAATGAAGCGTTAAAAAAAAAAACAATGTTACGGGAAAACTAAATTTTTTATTTAATATTTTTTTATATAAAGGTGATATCAAAATTTGTAATATAACTATATTTATGTAAAAGAGCACAATTACTGATTTATCATAATAAATTATTTTAAAGGGTATAATTCAAGTTAATTTTAATTAAATATTAATTAAACCCGGAAATATGAACGAAATTTTAAGACGGATTTTTTTTATAGCTAGATATAATAACCATACAATAGTATCTGGTTCAACTGAATGTGATTATATGAATAATATTTAACTAATAATGTTATAATATACTATGTATTTTTTTAAAAAAAAACATGAACAAGATACACATTAACGCTATTTGATTTTAATAATAATAATATAATAATAAAGATAATATTAAAAAAAATAGATAATATCTAAGATAATACCAATAATACAAATTTGTCGTTATCAATAATAATAAAATCATTATCAGCTCTATAGAACATTTAGTCTAATACCACATCTTAATATTTTTTACAAGAATGGGCATATGACGAACGATATAATTCAAAAAGCTAATTAAATAAATGATAATGCCAGGAGATGGAGTCTTTATTTAAAAAAAATGAAGTCGGTTGTATTATGAGGAAAAGTTTATATCATCTAAACATCAAGTTTTCGGGGCGGTGAGGGGAGGAGACACTCACAAATATGTTACCCTTTAGAAACATTATTTTTAAAAAAAAGATTATAATATTTATTCTTTTTAACAAAACAAAAAAATTGAGCAAAAACGATTGGGTGTGGGGGGGTGTTATTTAATTTAAATGGCGTGTGCAAAAAAAATATTGTTTAATTTTAAAAAAATAAATTAAAACTTAGTATATCTGAATAGAAGAAACATTTTCACGTTAGGATAAATTCATTTTATAATACGAACGATAAACGCTGAGGTTATAGGCGGGAACGATATAAACGCGAGAAAAAACATTATAATTTATTAAAACAAATGCATAGATTTTTTATTAAGTTGGTATATTTAATATTTAATTCATTTATTTTATAAAAAAAAAATTTGTTTAAAAAAAATAGTTTTCTTTTATAATTTAAATTTATATAATTTATTTTTTAATTTTACTTTAAAAAAAATACCAATATTATTGTAAAAAAATGATTATAATTTTCGAATGTTATATTATTTTTAAAATATTTATTTACTTATCATAATTATGTATTTAATGTTATATTTTAATCACAGAGATGTTTAAGTTACATTATATATCAAAAAAAAGTTTTAAAATAATTTTTATATTTAATCTTTGCAAGTTTCATAAAAAATATATGTTTGAAATGTGTTTTTTTGGGTGAATATTTAGAGTCATATGGCTATTTTAAACAGTGTCAATTTTATAAAAATGGAATATTTATTAATATATACAAATATTTAGTACCAGAGTTACAAAAAAATATTAGTGAGAAAATACAGCTAAATTATTGATTAATTTTAAAAAAATAAAATATTATAAGACGTATATCAATATATAGATTAGAATGGGTATAAACCGCTAGGATAATCTTAAACTATGTATAGGTTAGTTTAAGATAGGTATATAAAAAAAAATTAATTTAATTTTAACTTAGAATTAATAAAATTTACAAGGAAGAACTAATTTTTATTTTTAAAAAATTAATGAAATTTAAATACTTTTTTTTCTACAAAAATAATATCAAGTTTACAAAAAAAATGGTAAACCCTTTTATATGAGCCAGCATTAAATGAGTGTGTGCATTATTTCAAGACAGATTTTTAATCAATGTCGAATTGGGGGAGGGAGATTTAGACCTGAATAACGATGAAATGATTTAGTGGTGTAATATTTTGAAAAATCTTCACGAAAATGAAAAACGACACACATGCAGCTTGCCTTAAAACGCGGATAATGGTGGTGTTGATTAATATGTGATATTAATGACGAAAATAAAATAAAAACATATATTATATTGATGGTAGTTTATATCGTAATATCACGATTAATTTACCACTAACAAAAATATGCATTCAAATATTAATAAAAAATATAAAAACTTGAAGAAAAAAAAACAAATAATAAATGTTGAATGCAAAAGTAAATTATTTGGATATCGTTTTCAAACTAAGCACGCCGCCCACAGTCGCAATCAGTGTTAACCTTCATATTCCATAGAACAAAGTTAGCCTTTCTTTTAATGGGACCGGAAATTGGTCGGAAAAAGTTTTCCAAATCTCTTCGCCGAATTGATTCTTGAATTCGGATAAAATCTTTTATTTAAATAACAAAAACGAAAATTGATCGAATTGAATACAAATAGTAAAATTGTTCGTATGAATAGTAAATTATTCGAATAAGGCACTATTTGATTCGTATTGTATTCTTTTTTGAATAGATTTAAACGTTAGTCTGTGGTATCGGTTTGTTGCATTCTTGGAATTTATAAATTTGTTAATCTTTTTTTCTAGATATTTAGCAATAAGGAATATAATTTTTTTATCTTCCTCTCTAGTGTACTGTAAACAGGGGTAACAACTCGTTTGTACCTGAAATTTACAAGATAATTTATTAGAACGGGAAAAAATATATCTTATAAAGATGCCCACAAAACAAGAATTTCTTGGTGTTTTTAATAAATATCAATTTTTTTCAAAAAATGCTTGCATCAGTGTAATCGAAAAACAAATTTGAATAATAAAACTGGCATATTTCCTTGATTAACAATTTTTATAAAGAATGTATGATAATGTTATCAAAAATGTACAAACTTAAGAGTTTGTTCATTTAAAAAAATAAATGTATTTAAATATGAATTAAAAATCTATTATCATCTATACTAAATATAAATTGACATGAGTGAGCTCTCAAAAAATATTTGAAAATTCTTAATATCATATTTCGATTCCGAAAAGAAAAGAAAAGGATGCTATTCAGAATCCTTAAGGTTGCAGCCTTAGGGTCTAAGATTAAACCTTGACAAACATCTCCTTTAAATCCGGTTGCGGGTTAATCCAAGAGGCTATGGCGTCGCAGAAGTATATGAACTCGTTTGAAATTCCTTGAGGGTTGATGAATATCAGAGCGCAAATGCCTCGGAATGCCGAATCTTTTTCATCGTTATCGCGAATATTACGTAAGGATGTGCACCTTTTTTTCAGGTTTACAAATATTATTGTTATTAGAAATAATTAATTGAAAAAAAGGGTGGGACAACACTACAAAGACGCACTTTTTAATTGTCGTTTTTATGCCCCTTTAACGGGCATCAAAAAAATAGTTAGCTGTGTTTTGCTGTTATAAACTTATATACCCCCCTTTTTAAAAAAATTGAATTCCATGCCATCTTATACTGCATTTATAGTAAGTGTGTTTGACTCTTCACTCGATATTAATAAATGATACCTACTACTGGCTTGCCATATTAATTATGAAACAAAAAATTTCGCAATCACGCTTACTAGTAAAGCAGCCTTACTACTAATAGTATTTTATTTTATAGTTTTTCAAAATACTAAAATTTGATTTCTTAATTAAAATTATTAAAAATGGAAAACCATGGTTTAATGAATTGAGGCAGAGAGGGAGCGACTTCTTGTGGAGAAACCAAACCCAATCTTCCAATCGTGATCGCTACATTTTTTTATATTCAAATTATTTAGAATTATAATATATGTATATAAAATTAATCATTTTTTTTAAAAAAAAAATATATATAAACTTACCAGTATTTTCAAGAAGAGTTTTGGTTACGTTCGGCTTTTTAATTATTTCAACTAGAGGAGGCAATACGTACGGTATGTAGAGACTCATGTCAGATCCTAAAGATAGCATTCAAAATAATTTCGTGAGAAATGATTTATTTTAAAAAAAATAATAACGTTTTGTTAGATTAATAAACCAATTAGTTAAAATGTTTGAATAATTATTTTTAACCATATTTTCTAACCAGGCGCATAGACAGAGAGTGGGAGCCCCCCCCCCAGAAAATTTTTGGGAAAAATGTTCATGTGTATTGATATTTTTTCTTATAATAATTTGAATTGTTTTTTCTTAAATATTTTTAAGCCTTAAACACTAATGGATATAAGAAAATTTTATCAACCAAAAACCTAAGGGTAATTTAATTTAATATAAAAAATATATAACATAAATCTACCAGAAATCATAATAAACTGATTATTCATCTACACAATCGCTAACAAAATAAGTAAATTCCATTTGGTTTCTAAACTTAATCTATTTGTAACCGATTACTTTTTTTAAAAAAAAATTCAGGTTGGGTAGTCATTTGAACCCGTTGACCTTTATTAGCATGGGCATCTAATAGGTACAGATCAAAGCGACCATGTATTGTGCGATAGATTAATAAGCAAATAGCTTCTTTTTTTATAAATGAATAACCTAATTTCATGGCTAATTCGCCGATAGCCCATGTGGCATTGTTGCAAACCGATATGTTTTCCGGACTTAAATTTTGACTCAATATCGACATGATCTCATCTAGATAATTTATTATAACTTTGGTATAAATATGGGCAAGCACATAAGTGGATAATAGGATTGAGTAAATACAAATGTTATTAGAAATCTATTTCAAGAGTTAGTAATAGAAAACTAAAATGTAAATATAAGTTATGAATCGAGAATAAACTTATATTAGGTTTGACAAGGTGAAAGCAAGACTTTGCGAAATCTCCTAGCAGCGCAAACGAGCTTTGCCTAACTTCTGGCATAGGATCCTTAATATAAAATGATATAAATTCAATTTAACCCTTTTTTTTACTATTATTAAGGATTCATATATCTTTTTTTATAAAAATCCAAATTTAATTACTAAAAATGTACCGATATTTTTCATCGGATCGATTATTCTCTTTTTTCGAAATATTTGTTATTGACCAATATTATTTTTTTCTATCCAACAAAATGGCGTGTTAATTTTAAAAATCTTGGCCCATTGATATTTAATTAATTTATTAATATTTAAGAACATTCTTATATTATTTGAAGTTTAAAAAAAATCCAACTAAATAATTTTTATGAAAATATGATTAAAATAATAATAAAATACAACTTATTTTATAAGGATATTTATAATTTTCGCTTTTTAAGACTATATAAATAATATTTTAAAAAAAAGTCCTAATAATTTCCATTGATCCCTAATGGACTAGGTGGGATTATAATTTTTCCATGATAGAAAAAAATTCAGAATATAGTCGAGCCTGTCTAATTTTTGGTAATTCGGGAAACTCCCTAATTTGACCAAAATTTTGAGTTACCAATCAATTTCCTATTGACTTCTATTAGAAAATGCCTTGCGGACAACTGTCTACTTTGAAAAGTGGCAGATTTTTAATTCAATTTTCGTAAGACCACTATAAAATGGGCATTTGTTGTTTTTGTTGCATTCATTCATTTATATTATAAAATTTTATAACCTTTCTAAAACTATCCATGCCAAATAACAAAATAAAGAAAACAAATATAACGAGTTATCGTTAATCAAAAAAATTTAGGTTATTAAATTTTTATCATATTCATAGAGAATGTGCTAAAAGATTTAATATTTCTAAACTGTTCGCAATATAAATAAATATAAAGACATTATCAAACACTATGCAAATATTGTATAAAATAAACAATCAAAGATAACATCTTCTTTCATTTCATAAATTAATTTTATATCGCATTTATAATTTTGTATACAAACCATTTTATAATAACTTTCAGAGACCTGCAGAGGTACCATTTGCACGGCACTATCATTTTCAGGCCCAGTCCGGACTTTTGTAAAATATATTTCTTTTTAATTTTTATAGGGTATAATGACGATTTAAAATATTTGAGTATATTTTAGGAAAAAATATTTGAGTATATTTTAGGAAAAAATATTTTAGGCCCGAGTGTATTTCAAAAATTAACGGGCTGGGTCTGCAGGTTTCTGATAATTTTATACATTCTTATTTTGTATACACACATATTTTATTCGTGATTTATGATAATTAATATAAATTATTTGAAAATAGTTGAACATAATCTCACTTTTAGCTAAACTAAAAAAATGACAGATGGTAAAATGCTTACTTTTAAAAAAAAGTAAAAATTCTTGATAAATTGGGCAAAAATGTTGGTCCAAACGACGCCCAGATAATGAATGTAACTGAATAAATAATCCTATAATGATAGGCGGCAATAGAATATTTTATATGACTTGTATTATATAATCATAAATGATAGCATACTATTTATTAAAAAGCAGATAGTTACATTGAAAAATGAATATAATAACCAAAAATCAAATTAGTTTTATTAGCCAATATCAAATTTATTATTATAGCATGCCCATCCAAATTGATATTGGTACATCTCAACTAATTATTAACATCGTAGGTTTAGTGTTGGATATGAATGTATACAAAATTTACCTTCATGCATTGACCTAATAATTGAATGGTGTTGGTGTTAGATACAAGAGTTTCTATCTTGTCGCCGAGGCCTTCCGCAATCCCGCTCAATAAATCCAGGGCAACTATCATAAAGTCTTTGTCTGGAGGTTCTATTTCATTGCTAGAACCACTTTTCTGATATTATAAAGACATCGATTTACAATTTATAAACAAAATATAACAATTTTTTTAGAAATAATATTTTAAAAATTAAAAGGTGTAACAACAAATCTAAAAAAAATTATATATTTTTTTAAAAAAAACGAAAAGCAAATGTCAGAAAATTTATCGTTAAAACAATTATTATGTATATTTAATTATAAACAATTAAATCTTATAAAACATCCAAATACTATTAGTTACAAAAAGGTCTAAAAAGTTTACTATTGCAAGTTCTAAATTTTGTTGAATCAAGGAGAGGCATCTCTTGTAAACGGGTTCGGCGTATTGCAAAAATCCCATGTTTAATGCTGTGGCAATGCTTGATAAGCACTTGTTAAAATTTTTGCGGAAAAAATAATAATTTGTTGTTATAAAATACAGCTTACATATGGAACAGAAAATATGTCAAAAATTGGAAATTAATATGAACAGAATAAACATTACCTGCCTTAAATCTTATTCTAAAATGAGCTAGGCAACAATATTTATTCTGTTCGAGGTAGTGTTAACAAGTCCTTGCCCTCACTCAAATCTCCAGCAATTATCACATTTCCCTTGGCAAATCATGTTCATGACTTTCTCATCATTCACTCCATCTCATTGTTTAATCTGATACCACAAACATCTAACCTATAGTTCTCTAAGAGAATCCACCTCTCATATTGAAGTCGGTAATATGACAATAAGGCATACATGTTGCAACCATATTTTATTATTCCTCCAGTGATGGTGTATCAATATGGGCGCTTATGCCACCCTCAAAATATCTCATACCTTCTATCAGTGGTGTGTGCTCGTTCTATTCGCAGCTATAAAACGCTCAATTTCCATTACTCTGTACTCCAGAAGTAACTCAACTCCTAAGTTAGACTTTAATATTGTATCCTTCCTGACCGTATTTTCAGCAAACTTATTCAGCAACTCCTTATTTCGGAAGATTACACCAAATGAGACCCAACACCGAGCACAATCGACTTGAACACTTGTAAACTACTATTCGGCTCATTTACACTCATTCTTCCAAATGAGCACAACTATCGAGAATCCTCAATTAACTGAATACTCCCAATCATTCTTCCAACCATGATTCGTTCTTTCTATAAACAAACGATATCCCTGATAATCCTCATTGATGCATTGAACTGCTGAGAAGTATCATTCAGCCTTAATGGAGTGAACCCCCAATTAACTTAACACTACCGAATCATTATTCTGTCGATTCCTAATATCCTTCCCAAATTCCAATTTGATTGACCATCAAGTATTCTCAGTGGACTTTTAATCGTTGAAAACTATCATTCGACACATTCTTTCCAATGAACCCATCAGTGATAATTCTCAATCGCCTCTAACCAACATGATTTATTCATTCTCCCAAATAAGCCATATCAATGAGAATATCGATAGTCCTCTAAACCATTGAGAACTATAGACAGGAAAGCAACTAACTTTACTCAACTTGAATCTAGGTAAATATAGAGCTATTTGGTATAAACATAAAATATTACTATAGCCATAATCAATTTTAAAAAGTTCTGGTTAATATTTAATAAACTATGGCTTAGTTAAAAGTGGTTATAACTTATAAGTATAACTTAGCTACTTCCCATCTATACTGACAACTATCATTCAGTTCCCAGGTGTTTCTAGCTTACCGGAGGTTACCCTATTTCGAATATCAATATAGGTTTTTGGCACAAATAATAATATCATTCAAACCAATGTAAATAATTAAATTGTTTATATATACTTCTAAAAGGGGGAAAAGGTCCTTGCTATCATCCGGGATTGTATTCCATTTGGCAATGAGGGGTGGCATTAACATATTGATATATTCCTTATATAAATATATGGTATAGAATAGTGATCGATTAAAAATGACTAGTTATAGAATGGATAACTGATATTGCTCTAACATTATTCTTTTTAAAAAGAGTTGCTAGATCTAATATATTCAGCGATGTCCATCATTCCTAAGCAATCCGGTAATTTTTAGGCTCATGTTTCTGGAACATTTACAGAACCATGACCCAGCGTCTACATAAATTAAGGGGGTATGAGCTATTTGCTTACATGCATTTATCTAAGGGAAGAGAGGCTTCCAAGAGGGTAAGGAGAATAAAAATCTAAGTGCATTGCCTCCAATTTTTTCCCTCTCATGTAGATACTGCCGTGAACATCGCTGATTAAATGATAGTTTACAATTTTATAAAAACGATGAGAATTATTTTATTCATAAAACTCACGGGTTTGTTTAAGTGATTCCCAACCGAATCGGCTAACGTGCCAATAGCGTCATACAGAATGAGTAAATTTTTTTGCTAAATTTTTTTTAAATAAAAATATACATATATTTTTTAGTTATCACCATAAAATGTTCTAACAATTTGTAAATAATTATAAAAGTTATCTGGGAATCAGAATTTTACCTTTTATTTTAAGCTTAATATAAAATATAAGAACATGCATTTGGTTATTCTACCTAATCAATATTTCCTTGTTTTACTTTATACATTAATAACTTTCTGGCAGTGCCCTAAATTCGTCTTATTGATTTTTAAATGATGATTTAAAGATAAGAATAAGTTCATCTTTAAGTGTACTACAATGATCTTTAAAACCCCAAAAAAAGATATTCAGGCTGTTTAACTGAAGTATAATTAATAGGGCACTATTTATCTGTTTTATTATAAAACTATTTTAAAAAATGTGGCTTCCTTAATTTAAAAGTTTTGTTATTTTGAAACTTTTGGGATAGGTTCTAAATTGCTAAAACATAAAACGCTAAAAATTGGGTATCTAAACCGCTAAAAATGTAGGAAATATTATCATTGTTCCCTTGTTTACTTCCCCGTAACATCTATTAATTAATTTCAAATTTACTTTAAAAATTTTCTAGGAAGATATAAGCGAGTTTCCCAAATTTAGCGATTTATGTTCTCGCGATTTAGAATGGGAACCAAACTTTTGATATTCTTTAAAGAAAAATGAAACTGGTTTAAAGCATATTAACCTGGTATTTATTGAAGGCAAAAACGAGGGTGGATATAATAAAATCGAGGTAGGGGACGAGTTCGGTACAAGCTTCTTCTTCCAAGGTGGCAAAAGCGCTACAGGCGGCCTCTTGAACCCTTTTGTTTGAATCTAATACCAGTTTTAGTAACTAAAAATAAAAAACAATACAATTGTGATATGTATAATCATATTTAAATGAATATTAATTATTTTATAAACAAATTACAAATATATTTTTTAATCATTCATATAAAATGCAGAATAGCTTCTTTAAAAGCTATTTATATTCCATAATTTTAAAACAAAAAAAATGTAAAAATAGGATTATTTATTTTTATAATCAAAATGACTGGCATTCAGAACAATAATGAGATCTTAAAAATCAAATTATACGTGGATCATGAAAGAGCCGCGTATATTTTAAGTCACAAAATCATATCACTGGAGAAATATGGAACTTTTGAAGTAGTTGTAAATTTAAAACTTTAAAAACTCTAACTCATTTTTTTTTAAAAAAATCTGAAATAATGAATGTCCTTCTAAAAATAAAATTTTAGAAGTTAGTTTTACGCTTTAATTAAGGTCTTTTTTTGGAAATAAAAATAAATCTACCTAAATTGAACACTTTATAAAAGGAGCAAACATCCAATATTAATATAAATTAACAGTTATATAAAGTATCTAAACGAGATCTGCATAAAAATTGAATCAAACTGGGCCGGGCTTAATATTTTTTTTAAATTGGGCAGGGCAAATTTTTAAATATAATATCATTCCATATTATGAAATATTTGACATTTTAAAATTTTAAAATTTATTTTTCCAAGAAATGAGCCAATATTTTTTATTTGTAGAATATTATTTTTAACTGTAAAAAATATATTAAACTTTTATATATTTTAATAAATTCAGGCCAGGCTAGGCGGACTAATAATTTTTATTTTAGTCCAGGCTTTTTGGGCGTTCCGGGGCTGGTCAAGATAAATTTTTTTTTAAATTATAGGCCAGACTCAAAAAATTAGTCCCAAAGCAGAACACTAGTCCGAATACAAGCATTAAAGAATATTATATACCTCGGTGATTAATGGCTTTAGATACTTTTCGTGAGGCTGATTGATGATCCAGTTGGAATACCTGCAAAGGGTCCAGCAGGTTATAGATCTGATCAGGGTTTTTTTGTCGGATAAACAATTGATAAGGTAAGGGATTAGGTCAGGTAAATGGTCAGATATTCCTATGAAGCACCCTTATCATATTAATATATGGGATTGATAAATTTTAATATAATTAGTGAATTCCAGACTTTGGAGTATCCCTTTAAAAAAATTTATGACAACTCATTTAAAAAATTTTCAAAAAACAAATTCTAAAAAAAAGGTGAAATGTATATATATTGTAATTTTTTATTGGTAAATAGAGGGGGAGGGGGCGGGTGGTATTTATTGTTACAGTTTGTATAGGAAGGAGCATGCATTCATGTCAAATTTAAGAATTAGATCCCATTTTTTTAAATTTGTATTATTTCTTTAAAATAATATATTTAGAGGAGGAACTACTTTTAATCTGGGTTAGTGTTGTTAAATAGCTCGATTTTTTAAATACGGCTAACTTAAGATTTTAGCCTGAAAAATATTGTCAAAGCCTTGAGATTTAGCTAATAGATGTCCAAACATTTGTGCCATCTATGAGCAAAATCTTCAGGCTTAGGCTATTTTCTTTTGGGTGAAATATTGAGTTAGCCGTTTTTAAAATAGGCTCAAATCGAACCGTTTAACAACACTAGTATGAGTATCGACCTCTGGCCACGATGTGATTTAACACTAGTCTGAGTATCGACCTCTGGCCGCGATGTAATCTTTGGGCCAAATCACATCGAAATCCAAGGGTCAGGTTCCAAGATGTAAGTTATAAAATATGGAAAAAAACGATGAGTGCACTCATCATAAGACTGATAGAATTTGATTCCAACTTTAAGGAAATGATCTCTTGTAACTAGTGTAATGCAATGAAAGATTGTGGGGGAGCAATTCACCTAAGGGAATAGCAAGCAATACATTTATTGGAGAAAAAAAAGAAAACCTTCTGCAATCGCGCCCAAAGCTAAAACTCCCGATTCTTTGACTATCCAATCGCTACTGAAAAATGTCTCTTTAAGGATAGGTAGAAGCGATGGCAGTATTTCGTCTTTAAATACGTTGGCTAGAACGTCCAAGGCAGCGGCAGAACATTTTCCTTTATTTATTTTATAACAAAATAAATTTTAAAAATTAAACTATTTTTTTTTAAGCTCACATACAGCAAAAAAACTTACGTTAATTTTATCTATAATTTACATATGAAATATTTTGGGGAAACTTGATTTTTGTTATATTTTACCAAATTACAAATAAACCCCATTATAGTTTACCTCCAGGAGAAAAACATGAAATTTAATTAACTATAGCAAATGCCTATAATCCATTACCCAATATAGTTAACTTTTTAATAATATCGGTTATTCATTTAATTATCTTGTTTTTTATTTTTAAAAATTTTTTATTTAAATTCTTTCTCAAATTAATAATCTATCATCCATTTAGCACGTTGGTCTATGGCCCACCTTGAAGAGACTACACGTGAATTATGTGAGGCCCTCCTCACGTAATCGCGCCAGTTTTTTTATTAGCAAGGAAGCCGGCAAATCACTTTAATTTATATATTTGCAGCAAAATCATTAAAAAAAATAATTTAAAAAAAAGTTTACTATAACAAAATAATATAACATTACGTCAGACTTTCAACATTGGTTAACAATAAAGAAAGTTAACTGTATGTAAAGGTTTTACTATAGCAATGAAATATAAAATATGATACTTCCCTAAACAGACCATTCATTCATTAACATGTATTTTGAATTGAAGGGTCTTTGAATTAGTGTGCATCTTTATTTTAAAAATGTTTTGCTGATCCGGCCTGAACCCGAAATTTTTTTAAAAAAGTTTGCCAGCCTGTCCCGAACCCAAAAATTTTTTAAAAAAAATTTACTGGCCTGGCCTGAATTTATTTAAATATAGAAATTAATTTTTATAATTACTCAAAATAAAAGACATATGTGTTATGTCGTTTAGTTTCAATAAATAAAATCAAATATTTTTATTTTACATAAAAAATTCAATGTAAAATTGATAAATTTAGATATATTTAAAAAATTTCCAAAATCCGACCTGGCCCAAATTTTCTAAAAAAATATTAGGCTCGGCCCGGCTTGAACACGATTATTTTTAATAAAATTAGACCTTACAAATCAGCTGGTAGTGTCAGACCATTTTGGCAAGTTTTTAATTAATAAACATTCCTAAATTTTATTTTAAATATTTTTTATGTAAATTAATTTATACAGGAAACGAAAATGGCTTATCATCAGCTGATTTAAATTAGTATAAATTTAAGTGAATGTATCTCGTCAGCCTGGGTAGTATTACCATGTTATTTAGTAGCAGTCGCTTTTCCAAAATTATAATTTACAACTAAAAGTAGCATCAAAAAATTTCATTTTTTCAATAACAAAAAATTATTTGACTTAAATACATTTATATAAAAATACCAATCCTTATTATTGAATGCTTACTGAGTCCTTGTACAAATCAGATAACTTTACAAAAATATAGGTCAAGCCCTTAAGATCTGGATAATTACGAGAAAAAAACATTACTCGTCTGCAAATAAAATAGAAAATCATTCCTGTCCAGGACTAGACCACAAACAGTTGCGATTCATGGACATAAAAACTAGATTAATTTAAAATATGCCATTAGTAAAATAACGTAAAATTTAAATGTAATTGATTCCAATACTCAAATTCCAATCAGTAAGTGTGTCGTCGTCATCATCATCCTCATCTTCATCCTCATCGACTTCTTTCAAACTTTCGTCTTGTTCATTTGAATCCAAGTTTTCCTTGCATCCATTGTTTTTATCGCCATTTAAAAGGGGTTGGACAGGTCGGGGTAGATCGGTCTGGTGCCATTTAGATTTGTGAAACCGGGGTTTAATGTCTTCATCTTTGTCGGGTACCATGTGGTCTTCCTCTGTATCTCCCTTTAGATGGTATGAAAATTATTAGATATTAGTGTAGTTAATTTCTTTTATTTGTTCTTTTTTTTAGTTTTTTTTTTAAATTTTTTTTGATTCATGTAGTATTTATGAAGATTTTTCAAAAATTCCAATTGTAATTTGATAAATAAATAATAGAAAGTAGATTAAGGAATAACAATAAACATTAATAAAGTAATAAATTTGTAAATGAGATTCCATATTATCGATATTTCAGCTGGAGGCCTGCAATGGGCTAGTTCTTAGCAAGCCCGCCTATGCTAGCACACGGATTTTTAAAATATTTTAAACATGAACGAGGGTTGGGCGGATTAAAAATATTTTAAAAACAATGGGTGGGCGATGGGTGGGTGAATCTTAAAATTGTTTCAGATGAGAACAGACTTGAATTTATTAGAAATCATATTTGTATTTCAAATATGGCATATTTTATAAGTTTAATTAAAAATATACTAAGATAAATAAAGAGCCAAACCAGCCATTATAGTAATTTTTGAGTGGGTTGATGGGCATAAACAATTTTTTTAGATAAATGGTGGGGGGGGGGGGGTATTTTTCCTTTTTTTTAAATAAAAATGCTCTTTTCTTAAATTTTTTAATCATAGTCGTTATTTTAAACATTTATTATCTTATACTTATTTTTCCTTCAAAATATTATTTATAGTGATATTTTATACATTTGGGGGTGTAAAAAAGTATTTTTATAATAATATATATGAGACATGCAAATTTCTAATGGAATTTCCTACAGCTTAATTATGCCTATGGCCCAACCCACCCAAGCCTACTAAAAATCTTTACAAAATGTCTAGTTTGGCCCATTGTATTTTTTAATGACTATATTCTATAACAAACGTTTTATAAATAGTTTTAATAATTTATTTATAAGTTTAAATTTGTGTATTTACTACTAGATTCAGTATTTTCACTAGATACCTCTTAAAATACAAAGAAAAAAGCATATTATAATTTTTTTCAAAGCTAGAAATTTTAAAAAATATAACAACATTTTAAGTAGCCTATTCAAATTTTACAGAATGCCTGGCTTATAATTTTCATTAAATATAGAGTAAAAATTTTTATTTTATTTGTAGATTTAATTTAGTTATGCATTTCCTAAAATAAAATCAATGTATTGTTGTTTTATCTTTTTAAATTTAAAATAAGATATTTGCAAGACATTAACATATTTTGAATTTATGGCCTGGTTTTAATTTTGTATGCACAAATTGTTTGGCTCAAACAGAACATTAAATTTTTTGCCTGGCCTATTATATTTTTGTTTTCAAATTTGCCTAGCTCAGCCCATAGGCCACCAAGTTTTCTGAAAGGCCAGCCTTCATAGATCTATAATTTGCCCAAATCAAATTTTTATCTAAATTAAAAGGAGTCCGCTAGAAAATCTCAATTTTCTAGCTCATTAGAAATGGTTTAAACCAATATGACAAACTAAATCATGTTTACCTTTAATAAAATAATGTCAATCTCAGAGTATTTCATTCTAGACACCAAAACTGGTACAAGTCTTGAAATATAAGGAGTAAGAATTTCTTTACACATTGGCTGTTCGGCTATAGAAAGCCAAAATTCACAAGCTTCTTGGGATAGTGTTTCTTCATTGTCTTGTGTTCTAATTAGCATGTACTGAAAATTAATATATGATTTAGAAGATGTTACATCTCACATATTTATCAAAATCGAAATACATATTAATAATTTAAGTAAAAAATGTATATAAAAATACTAATTTTAATCAGTTCCAACAATATGAAAATTATATAATGTAAATTTTAAATAAGAAATTACTTCTATCATATTTCCTAAATATGGAATGAGCCTATCTATTCTAACTTCAATCAACATTACTAATGCTCTACATAAGTGCTTTTGAACTTCAATATCATTATCAGTGGCCAATGAAAATAAATTCTAAATAAATACATGTAATATACAGTTTAAATAATTATAACATACCTCAAGAAACAAATTAAAATTATGGGATAAGACTTGTGTTCTACTAATTATAAATTGATTTACACAAGCAACTGCATGGGCTCTAAAAAAATAATATAATAAATTAGCATCAACCTGTAAAATAGAACCTAATTTTTGGATTCTCATGCTTAAAATATTGTAAAAATTTTGGAATCATAAAGTTCAAGCAATTATTTTCTGATGTATCTTTATCCAATATTTCAGCACAATCTTCACATAATTTTTGTAGTGCACTAAATGCCCCCTAAATTAAATGTTTGTAGTAAATTTTGAATATAATTTGCAAATACCTCTACTTCTAAGGATGATTTTGAATCCAATAAACTACATAGCTTTTGAAGTATTTCATTTAGCAAATTATTGTCTTTACATCCTATAGTTGTAATAAGTATGCCAATTGTTGCTCTAATTAATGGTGATTTATCGCCAATATTTTTAATGCATTCATTGGTGATAAAATTTTTAATTTCTTGAGGGAAATTTTTAAAATGTGCTCGTATATTACTCTTTAGAATGAGGCCACTTAATGACCTAGTAGCTTCATCTAAAATCATAAATAGTTAAATATATATATATATAATAATTTACCCTCAGTTGTCCACTGGGTTAATATAAATATTAAGTAATTGTTAAAATCTGGGAATTTATTTAATTCTTCCAGTTTCTAATTAAAAAATTTAATCTATTTCTTAAAATGTAAAAACTTGTTGCACTGCCCTTTGGGAATTTGTATCAGGATTCTGTGATTCTTTTAAGAGTTGGAGAATTTGATTTAGCCCATTTTTATCAGGTTGCCACATCCTATAAGTTTTAACGCATAGGTGATATTTTTTAAGCGAGAAATCTCCGAATTGAATGATTTAATGATATTGTTTGTTTCGATATTCTTTCCAAATTATTGTCAGCTTTCATTTTATAATTATATAAATTTATCTAGGGTATACTTAAGATATTTATGTGTATGAATATATATTATATAGAATTCTACAAAAGAGAATATGTTCTCATTGTAAGTGACAATTTATTTTACATAAACTATGATTGTTAATTAAATGAAATAGGTAAAATTTTTATATATATATCATTTTTTATTGTTTTTACTCTATCGTACAAAATAGTTTCCACGATTTTTTAGAAATACCTAAGATGCAATTTGTTTTCCTTCTCCCCTCCTCACTTCTTTCGTTCCTTCATTTATAGATAATATACAATATTCTATATTATATAATAGTCTATTCTATTTCTCACAATAAGCATTGAATATATACTATTATAAAATATTGTTTATAAATAATATTCATTACTAAAAGCTTAAAAGAGTATAATACGATCAATTCAATAATAATTATCTCTTGATAGAGAGAGTAATAAATAACAATAAATAATCCTCATTATAAAACTAATGTATAGGCGTAGCCAAAGGGGGGGCAAGGAAAAATTCTCCCCCCCCCCTTTAGAAATTTAGCACTTTTTGTGAATATCATTTTAAGCTAATAAAAAATATCCCCCTTAGTTTTCCCCCCACTCTCTGACCCCCAAAAATACATGCATATATATCTCTTAAACAATAATTTGAAAAAAAGAATGTAAAAGTTGATATTTTTTTATAAAAATATTCATCATAATTTATACATTTTTGGAAAAAAGCATTTATATATATAAAAAAGTGAACCAAAAATTAAGAAATGGAATATAAGCCAAAGATAAGTCTTAAGACAAAACTGAAATTCGTTATAATTATTAATAATAGATCCATAACTAAATAATATAATACATCAAATATAATTTTTTATAAAGTGAGAAATTTTAATTTATTTATTTTAATAAAAGTAAAATATAATTATAAAACTATTGATAAAATCAAATCTAAATTAAATAAAAAAATAAAACGCAATACAAACAGTGGAATATTATATGTCGTAGATTTACAGTATATCTAATTTTATCAATTAATATGACAATCAAATAATTGTTACCAATATAGCGAATTATATATTTTACAGAAAATATAAAATATTGATAACATTGTAAGGACATAAGAAAATATCTTTTAAAGACATTGTTGCAGCGTCTACATGAGCGGGAGGGGTAGGAACAGTTTGCATCCTATTTTTTGAGGGGAGTAGGGGGTACTACTTTAATGAGGGTAGGATAAATTTTTGAATGGTTATCTATTAAATTTTGAGATGAATTTATTGCTGTAAAAATTAATATTTTTATTATAGAATTATTATAATACAATTCATCGACCAAATCTATATATTGCAAATAATCATACACATTGTTTTCCAAATAGAACTTTCTGCTATCCTTTAAATGTAATTTAAAAGGTTTAGATATTTCAGCCATAATGCCATAATAATTAATTCATTGTAAATAATGGAGGTTTTAATTGAATTTATTATCTAAAAAATAAATTCTTTATATACACAAAATATCGATAGTTGGTAGAAGAGATAGATTAATTTAAGTTATCCTTTATAAATTCTCTGAAATAAATTAAAAAATGTGGAAATAAGAATAGGGAGACACCTCCGCCGAAGGTGGTGTAAATATTTTAGGGGGTAGGCAAAGGTTTTTGAAGGGGGTTTGCATCCAGCGAAAATCCTGTCATATAGACGCTGCCGCCAGCCCATTTGTCTAAAATTCCTTACCTGATCGCCCGCCCATTAGTCTAAAAGATTTTACACGTCCGCCATTATTTATAAAAAATTTTAATCCAAGTCAACTTATAAAATTTAATAATGGTCATTCTTTCAAATTTTTGAGCATCTAATAAAAATATTTCAGCATTACACTACATTTCTACAAAATGTTTATAATTTTGGAAATTAATTTAAGCATAAAAAAAAATATTCAATTTAAATTATTAACAATTTATTTGATCAAATATAATATTTATGAAATAAATATAAAATTGATATTATATGTAATTATAATACAAAAATAATAATGAATCGATATTTTCTGGATTCAAACACGTTCTTCTTTGTCCTTCCAGCAATGCTAAATCCTCGTTCAGAAGAAGCTCTAGTTGCAGAAATCCCCAATATTTTTCGGTTAATGATGCTTACTACAAGTGAATGTATGGAAATATTTTAAATACCAATCTAATTTGCTAAATACCGACCAAAATTTATTAAAATGTAATAAGACCCTTATTATTTAATATATTAATACGGAATCACGTGGTCGAGTCCGGCCTCCTATATATTATCTATCCCCAAGGATGGAACCACCAAGTTAGAATAAGAAAAAAAACATGATCATTCCCGGGATTCGAACCTGGGACCATGGGATAAGTAAACCAAGCTCTTGCCTACTAGGCCATAGGCTTTTAAGAAATCACGATTTTTCAAATATATATTATAAATATATTTGGTAGTGCCTATCCAAATGAAAAATGAACAAAATTCAAATTTGATAGATGGTACCTTAAAGTACCAAGCATCATTAACCATATTTTTCTTGCTAATCTTGATAGCTTTGACAAATCTCTTGTCGTTTCCACCAAAGTAGGATATCCGGCTGAAGTATATCCTCTCAAGTGAGATCCGGATGTCCTGTATGCAATATATGTAAAACTCTTTTTTTGAATGAAGATCAATCTGCCATTTCAATACCGTGCTATTTTAGTAATCGTTTCATGCTATTCGGAATAGTAACAGAACAAAATGCTATACAGTTTTATAAACCAGACTTAGAGTTAATATTAGAAACATAACCAAGGATTTGGAGCTGTATTCATGCAAAAATATGATAATGGCAATAAATTTCCAATAGCTTACACTTCAAGAACTTTACAAGACGCTGAAAAGAATTATTATAGAATAGACAATGAAGCAAAAGCAATCTCATAACTATTTGTATGGACGAAAATTTAAAATTTGAACAGACCACACGCCTTTAATAAAGATATATGGTAATAACAGAGATTTAAGCTCATTAACAAACCAAAAGTTATTTTGTTGGGTTTATAAATTATCTGCATATGATTATAATTTAATGTACAAGAATGGCGCTAATAATATAATTGCAGATGCTTTTTCGCTAAACCCAATAGAGAAAAATGATGATAGAATAAAAACTGAAAATAAAACAGTGAAATATATAAGAAATCTTACTTATGACACATTAACTCTATCAAGAAAAGAAATGATACAAATATTCAAAATCTAGCACCAAATTTACAAAGAATAGATTAAATAGAAAATGATGACGGTATTTTATTTTGGAATGGCAGATTAATCATTCCGTACTCAATTCAAAAAAGAATTTTGCAGATATTGCATACAGGACATCCGGGTATTACAACAATGAAATCCATTACGAGACATAATATATGGTGGGAAAAATTAGTTAAAGATCTCGATAAACTAGTAAAAAAACGATTGGTAAAATAAAAAAAGAAATATTGTTATTAGTCATAATTAATTATGATTTTCTTTAGTTTGTTTTTGAACAAAAAATTTAAATTTCCTTAACCCGCCTGCCCATTGTTTAATATTAAATTACTCAATTTTTGAAATGAATTCAATGACAGGTTTTTTTGAAGATATCAAACCTATGAATCAAGATAACATGATTATTTAAATTATACATTTTTTTGAGAAAATTGATAAAACATTATTTGTATATTCTGAAAGATCTACTGATCTCATTGACGGGTCAAAACTTTGACAATACATCTGAACATGTAATTATTCTTAACCATCCTGCATCAATTAAATTTTATAAAGGGTAATTTAAATATATAAAAAAATAAATTATTTATATGGACAAATCTATATCCTCTGTTTAATCTCGTTTCTCGTATTATATATGTACCAAGAGATAAGGGAATGCCATTCGTAATTTAGATTTATTATTTGCTTTATAAAAAAATTTAAAATAGATATGCGAGAGAAATAAATTATTAAAATAGACAGAATTAAAAATCAGGCATGTGTATTATATTGAAAGAAGAATTGGATAAATATTCAACTAATCAAATAAATTTTTAATGTTATTTAATCATTAATTATATATAAATGTAATTATAATTATTTGTAATGCCTATATTTTTATGATATGTAATAAAATTCTTAAATTTGGATACTTTATTAGATGTATTTTTATATAAAATTATATAATATATCGCTTTTTTAGTGACATATTCCTACCTATATATTTTATAATGAGTTTAAACTATATTAAAAAGGTAGATTTATTTATTTTTAAATATTTAATTTAGTGAAAAAAAAATTCGTGTTAATGTTAAAAAATGTCAAGTGAACGTATAAAAATTATCTAAATAAAAACATAATTTGCTAAACAACAACCATTTTAAAATTCATCCATTTTTATATATATTAAATTCGTGTATTACCTTTTATTTTGCCTAAAGAAAAAGAACAATATATAATAGGTAGTTTATATTTTTTTAAGCATCATTTTACTCAATGAATGGATCATACTTTTTTGAGACTTGCTAAAATCTCCCCCAAAATTATCGCATACTATTTGATTCATTTCTGATTACTTTGCACAACTCACGAAAGGATTATACGATACATCGCTATTTCTTTAAAATGATATCTTGCCTATTAATCTTTCCATATCCCTCACTATGTATGATTCACTTCTGCTTATTTTGCAAAACTGACGAAAGGACAATACGGTATATTTATCTTTTTTTAATAGATCCTAACTTTTTGAAGTTGCTAATTGGCTTATCCGAACTATATTACATTTTTGATGATTCATTCCTGAATCCAGATTATTTTGAATAATTAGCGAAGATGTTGTTTAGAATACTTTTTTAAAAAAATGCTATTTTATATCAATTTTTTAGGATCCTACTTTTTTTAAAGACTGCCAATTGATCATTCCGAACAATATCCCCTAATATTGCGATTCTGATTATTTCGCATAAGGATGTTCAAATACTATATTTTATAAAAAATAATATCCTATTTCCTATAGATCATAGTTTTTTGAAGTTGCCTAATTCGTCTATCCGAACAATATCTTTCACTATTTATAATATCAACTGATATAAAGAAAATACATAGTACGATATTTTTATAAAAAATCTTTAGGATCCTACCTTTTTTAGTAGCTCACCACTTGGTCGGAAGCTATTTATTTTATTTTAATTAAGATTATATATATATTCTTTACGATCATGGGCAGGGTTGCCAGGTCAAAATTTTTAAATTGCGGGAGAATTTTAGTATTTTGCGGGAGAAATATGAAAATTGCGGTAGAAATATAAAAATTGTTATAAAAATTTTTGCGGGCCTTCGATCGGATATTGAATTGACTTAGTTATCCGCCTATTATTTTTGATAATTACTTTATGTAAATACAAAGTCGGTAACGAGACAATTTTTTTTAAATACTATTTTTATTATTAAAATATATTAATTATATAAAAAAACAAACGATTTTAATTTTACAAGGTAAAATATTAAAAAGATTTTATAAAATATAAAAAAAATATGGATAATTAAATATTATGATATTAATTATATTTTATTTGAGATTTAAATAATGGAACACGTTTACCGTCGTTTTTAAGATATTTATAAAATTGCTGGCATGGCATTTATAATTTTGTTTAACCATTAGCTCAGCCTCTAATATTGTTAGAGCAATCCGATTTCTCTCCTTTCTCCAGGCACTCCTCAAAAATGCGCTCCACTAAACGTTTACCGTCGTTTTTAAAATATTTATAAAATTGTTGGCATGACATTTATAATTTTGTTTAACCATTAGCTCAGCCTCTAATGTCGTTAGAGCAATCCGATTTCTCTCCTTTCTCCAGGCAGTCGAGGTAAGGAGAAAACATACTCGCATCTTTTTTCCAAGCATGGGGATTTATCGTTATTACGAAAAAATTCTACCCATTCCTCCTTTGTTTTTAGATCATCTAACTTTAAATATCTTGGCGAATCATAAAATATAGAGAGAATTACAATATCCTAAAACAAGACATCAATGTTTATCGGTATTTTTAATATATTTATTAAATTATAAAACCATCAATTGATGGTTTCTGTTCTTGTTCCAAAGTCATAATATTTATACATTTGTAAATAGAATTATTAAAATCAAATTTTGATTACAAATATTCTAAAATTGTCTTAATAAAAATTGCTTCTTTTAAAAATACATTAATTAGAGTATTATTTGAACATTTTAATATAACATTTTTAGCAATAGCGACATAAAATTTATTATCAATTTTTAACAGTAAAGATGAACACAGCTGCAGCATAATTTTGTGAATCTTCATTAATAATTCTTTTGATTGCAATTGAATATTAATAGCATGTAGTAGATTTCATACATGTGAAATCATTCCTAAATATGCTTCTGTCATTTCATCCTCGAAAAAATTTTTTAAATTTCAGGGCAGCTTTTATAATCTTTATTTAAGAAGTAATTTTTAAAGGTTCGTAAAATTTTAAAATTCTATCGATGATAACCACCTGATAGGGACATGTTGCAACAACTCACACCATTCCAAGTCAGACCACTCCACAAACTCCTTTTTTAGTTGATGAACTAAATTCGTTAAAACATTTCATCGTTCGACATCCACAGATAATACATTCATTGCCTTCTAGCAAGAATTATGTAGTATATGGCATATGCAGCCAAATACACTTTGGTTTTTGACAAAATTCGCAGATGTATTATCAGCGCAGAAAACTGACAAGCAACTCATTGATAACCCTGAGTCAGCTCTATTTACCATTATGTGGTTAGCTATATCGTTGGATTTTTTACTATCCGAGGAAATTTTTTTTAACAGTTTTATTGAAATACCCTTATTCTTGTTGAAATAGCAAAGGATCAAGGGAAATGTTTTAATATTTCCCTTATTAGATGCATTTGTTAAAATTGTATATTTGATCTATTGGATTCAGGTCATAAAACATTTGTGATAACCTTGCTTATTTTTGTTCTACCACAAATAAAGTTTAAACTTATATTGGAGTCGTTAAATATTATGGGGAAAATATTCGACCCATATTGTAATGATAGGATAGGTTTATATTATTTCCGCAACTGTAGTTGCATCTGTATTATTAATAATGTGATTGGACTATAATAAATAAAATAATTATCAGTATCATTGAAATCAGTATAATATTATTTTATTATATATTTAATTTAACCTGAACGTGATAATTAAGCGCCAAGCCCTATATTGTTATATACAAACACACTGAAAATGATAAAATATGAATGAAATGAATGATGTTGATTTATTATTGGATAAAAATAAAACAGGATAGAAAGAAATTTACAAACTAGACATGTTTTTCGAATAAATATTTAACATTTATTATAAAAATATAGTCTCTCAAAATTATTATTTATATAATAAAAACGTTAAAATGCTAAAAAGAAATTGTGCGGGAGATATTAAAAAATTGCGGTAGATTTTTGCGGGAGATTCCCAATTGCGGTAGTTTTGCTGGAATGAGATGTCTGCGTGTAAACTAAAAAATTGCGGGAGTCTCCCGCTGATGGGGGGAGACATGGCAATCCTGATCATGAATGAAATTTGATAAGTCTCCCCAAATTAGTGTTATTAAAAAGCCCAATTTGGATCATTTTTTAAAAAAGAATTAAGATGTTAGGCAAAATAATATGATGTAAGCCTCAAAATTCTCCAAATAAAGTTCCAAATTTTGCTGCCATCTATGAAGAAAATCTATAATCATACATAATATTATTTTTATTAAAATTTTAATCGGACCGTTTAACAACACTTCCCCAAACTAAATAATCCATTATGTGCTGATTATTTTGTAAATCAAAACATCGCTATTTTTATTATTTGAATAAGGTTTAATACCTCTTCCTTGCCAATTGGTCTTCCTGAACAATATTCCCCTTTATTTGTGTTTCACATCTGATTGGTTTGCATAAATCACAAAAGGACGCTAAGGGGTATGCTATTAATATTTAAATTTTATTTTATTTCTATGGACCCCATTCTTAGTATAAAGCCTGCCCAATTGGTATCCCAAACTATATTTGTCTCTATTTAAAATAAACTTATTATTTTGTATAAAAGTAAAATATATATAATTCCTAGTGGCTAATTTTTTCCTACTTTCCTTCATTCTAAAATTACTGAAAATACACACATTTGTTCTAAGGCTATATATGCTGATAATATATTTATATATTTACCTTTTCAGTCCCTTCGCCATTTGTTATTCACTGATATTTATGACTAATCATATTATGTGCATGGTCATTTGTGATTTCTAAGCCCCACTCCCCTTCCACCCCCAACAGAAGTCTGGAAGTTGCTTTCGATTTTTTGAATCTGATCCCAGCCTATATCAATCTAAAAAAATATAAATCATACTGAAGCCACTGTTCTGGAATCATCTGTTATTTCTGTCAAAATTAAACCAATTAGAATTAGATTGATAATTTTAAACGGATTTTGATGTGTAAAAATTAACATAATATTTTTAGAACTGAAACAACATAGATAGAGCTTCTTCATACCTGATATATACTATTACCATTAGCCGAAGCCAGTCATTTAACCAAATATATATTTTTTTATTTAGATCTAATATTACTTTCTTCAAAGAAAAAAATATTAATTACAATAATTTTTTACGTAGGCTGATTCAAGAAATAAATTCTGGTGCATACGTTCATAAAATCAGCTTACTCGTTAATGAATGTACCAAAAGATTTTTTTGAAAAAGCTTTTAGCGTTTGTAAAGATTACTTATATGGGGTTTGGAAATATATTCCTAAAGAAGAATTTCTTATCAAGCCTATTAAGTATTTTTAAACATATTTATTTTATATATTAAGTTTAAATATTTAAAAACGAAATTATATCTATATAGTATATTAACTTTAAGTTATAATGCATACAAACACTATTCATTTAGATTTAATTTATTTAAATCATGTTACTTTAAGCCTGATAATATCAACATTTCCCAAATAATATAAAAGGATTTATTTATATATTTATGTTGCTTAAAGAAAATTGATTTGAAATTACATAATCCTATTGTAATAAGATGGATATATTAATGTTGCTTTAAAAAAATTATTTAAAATTACATAATCAATTCTATATTTAATATTTTAGAACATACATGATTAATTGAAATTAGTTCTAAGAATGTTTGTAGTTTTTTGTCAACATACTTAATACTAAATTTTTAATTACATTGAGTTTGGCTATATCTAAATTTCGTAAATCAGATACATTTGTATTGAATAATAATCATAAAATTTTATTATAAGTTACACCTTATTGAAAATAATAAAATATTTTATTCATTATTTTTTTAATTATCTATAACCTCATATTTAAAAAGTTTTAACAAAAAATTATATAATTTAATAAGTTTCTTAGAATATTTATATTATATTTTTTTAAAATTAATCAAATGTTTAATTTATGCTGCTTATTTTATTTTAATAATGCCTCTCAAAATTATCTCCAAGTGGTGGCTTGACCAATTACATATACCTATGCGAGTTGCCACCCAGATATGAACTAATGAGAAGAGAAAATGAGCCAAAAAGGGTAATTTATTTCCTTTTTTTTCTTCTCATTTTTGAAACTAAATTTATTATAAAAATTAAATGCATTATATTTCCTCAATATAATCTTATTATTTTGAACCTGACAATGCAAAGTCTGGTTAATTTCCAGATTCTTGTTAAATGCATTGAATTATTACAATTTGTTTATGGGGAGGGGCAATGGCTATGTAGTTTGTATTTTAACCTCCACCTTGAAACTGTTGTCTCCAGGTTTACGCGGTGCAATAGAGAGTTAAAGTCAAAACAATTAGTATTAGTATTTTTATTTAAAATTGTTTTATATATGTCGTAATTTTTAAAGGGATCATGACTATCTTCACGGGATTTAAAGGAATAACTAAAAAATTAGGGTTGATAATTAAGGAATGATAATACGGGATTATCACGTTTTAATCGTGATAAAGAGGAATCTTATTTTAAGCGTTTTCCACGAGTTTCGTTGCCGTTTTAATTTTAATTTTAATTTTGTTTTTTTTGGCCTTATGATATAAGATATGTCTAGTATAGGGTATCATTCGATAGCTAATCAAAAGATTTATTCAACTGGAGGTCAATCTCTGCCCCAGTGATAATACCGTATAGTTCTTTATCCTTTAAAAAATTGAAATTTTAAAGGGATCTCTTTAAATCCCGTGAAGATCCAGGATAGTCATGATCCCTTTAAAAATTACGACATATATATAGTATTTTATAATTATGTAATTTAACTTCTAATATTGTGAATTATATTGACCTCAATAATATAATATTAAATGTAGGAAAGTTATAATATTGTATTACAAATATAATATTCAAATTATAACCTCTTAAGATATTAAGATATAACACAAACTAGTTAAACATAAAATTGGATTTTGCTAAAAAAAACAAGTCAAATTTTTTTTCTGTAATAATATACGATATTAAAATCTGATCTGCCATGCTCTTATACCCCAGATGACCTTTTGAGGGTTAAATTGCCTATTTGATCATGTTTTGTTTATATGGACTGTAAAAAACTATAATATTCAAAGCAATAAATATTAGATTAACCTATCTAATAATTATTGCTGTTTCAAAAACCCCCAAAAAACCAATTCAAAAATTTTAAGATTTTTGTAACACAAAATAAGCCCATTTAAATAAAAACATTGCCAAAACATATTTATGAAATTTTCAAAATAATATCACTGGGTTGGTTTTCTTATAGTTTTAAAACTTTTTGAAATTTTGAATAGAAAGGATTAATATATAAATAGTCAGATGGAAATTTCCAGTAATTATTATGCTATTGACGGAGGAGGCTTAGAGATCTTTCCATAATTAATACTAAATTAACATAAAATCATTGAAATATTATTATGTAAATTTTGAAATCAAAATTAAAGACAAGTATAATATTTTTTTATTCGTTCAATTATTATGTTATACTATAATATATAACATGCTCACTAACATAAATTTGAATGTAGATGTTTATCATCATTATAAAAAATATAATATAAAACATAATAATATGTAATTAAATAAAAAACAATACCAATTCAAGCTGTATTTCCCTATTCTTCAAATCTAAAATTAATTAAAATTTGCCTATTTCATTTAATATAACAGTATTTCCAGTGGAGCTTGGAACGAAACCAGTGCCAAACCCCACAACTCTGGAACCATATTTTTTTTAAATATATAGAAGTGCTTTTTTTTTAGTACGAGTTCTAAATCCTGATTTCCAGTTTATCAAAAATTATCGTCTACTTTTGCATTTAAAAATATACAACATATCAGACACACTTAAAAGGGGTTAGAGCTGCCCTCTCTCGTCTTATTTTTTTTTTAAAAATTCTAAATAGCTGTTTTATTTTTAGATGATTAAAATGAGATAGCGATGGCACATCTGATAAATTTATTTGAGTGACAAGGTTTTGTTGGCTTCCATAAAATGACCGACACTCCCTTTTTTTTAACGATTTGATCAAAAATAAAATTTGGATTCTGAAACCTACCCTCTCCCCCGAGAAATGTCTTGATATACGCGTTTGCGAACCAGACATCTAGCCATTTATTTATAGTAGAGTCAATACAATACTTTGCTTTCTAACGATGATGTTTTTACTTTGTTCTTCCCTCAATAATTATTTTTAAAAAAGTGGATTCTCAAGTTTAGTATCAAGGTCTTAGTTAGAGGCGTGCCATTCAAAATTTTTCTGAAGTTTTCCTCATAACCGATACGATACTTAAAATATCATTTTTTACAAAGGCCCTAATTCCACAACGATTACAAAAAAAATCGTGCGTATCTCTAGCTTATAAAGGTTTGGCTTCAACTAAACGAGCACCATGTTACGAAATCACTATATTTCGGAATAGATTACTAATTTAAATACGATATTTTATGTTTTTTGTTGACAGGCGAAATCACGTTAATTTCGCTTCATCCTTAAAAAAAACGCATTAATTTTAATAAAAAAAACATTTTATTTTAAATATTGAAACCAAAAGGTTCTCCTTCGTTTTTACGGTATAGGTAAGTTATCATTGAACGAAGGTTCTAGTCCCGTCTTAAACCACCTCTCCGAAAATTTGCTCTGCGCAATATTAGCTGAACGCAAATTGGGACCAAAGTTGTACGGTGTTTTTAACGGTGGACGTATCGAAGAATACATTCCAGTAACATATATATTTTTTTAAAATTTCATTCGTATATAATAATACTATCTCATTGTAAAATGTTCAGAGATTTGAAAAGCAAATCCGATTTAAGTTTTACACGTTTCCAATATGACCCGTTTTCGCAAGTTACGAAGGGGGTGGAATATTAATTTTAGAAATGAATCACAATATATGCGCTCATCATCACTTCATCACCCCCTTTATGGCATCATAAATTGGAAGAAATGGAAGGTAACCATTTTTCCTTTCCGGTTCTTGGACATCCGGTTTTGTGGAGAAATATTTATTCAGAGTATGGTTAAATGCCAAAATTTTTAGATTTTGCATGCTTTTACCATAAAGAGAAAAGAAAAATTATAAATGTTGAGTTAAAAATGAACTTATTTTTGATGTTTATAATTTATATTAAAAAAAAAATTCATGTATAAATGAACTTATGACATTCTCTCTGGTGATAAATCTTTAAATTATTATTTGTTCTACCAAAATGTTACGGCCTTTTAAAAAAAATGTTTAAGCATAGAGATAGTTAAGAGGATTGGTTAATATAATAATTCATCCGCATTTGCGGATTTGAATTTTATCGATTTGAAAGCCAAAAGAATCAAATAAGTTAAAAGAAAAATTATCTCACAAATTATTAATATTGTATTAGTCATTTCGAGATGATGAAACTTTAAAGTTATCCATCCTGTATCTCCCCCCTTTTCAATTTTTTTTTGTTAGAAACTATGAAAACATCGATAATCTAATATCCTTGTAAAAACATGTTGTTTTTTAAAGAAGAACATATATTTTTTTTTCATAAAATATTTATATAATTTGGCTTTATTTTTGTTGTCGACTAAGATCTTAATTAATAGCTATTTGATTTATTTAAATTAAAATAAAATAAAAATATTTTTTTTTAAAAAAACATCCTATTACTTTCTTCGTGATATGTCCAAAACCTTTTTTTTGAAAAAATAAAAAACTCGAAAAGTTTTAAAACTATCGAAAATTTTAAAAATTTTTATGAAAATCGTATGTTAAATTTTTGGAATAAAATTTTATAGAATCATGTTTTGAACATGTTTCCTATTTTTTATATTTAAAATAGTTTATTTATTTATTTTCATTTAAATTTTTCAAAATTTGTAAAATTGATATTTTGGACATAGCTTCAAATAATTTAAAAAAAATAAGAAATTAATTTAGATTTTTTAAAATATTTATTTGTCTTAAATCATAGTTTTGGAAGCATAACTCGATTGTTGAACGGCTCGGTTTTGCCTATTTTAAAAAATGGCGAACTCAAAATTTTGGCCATAAAATAAGTTATACTCAAGGCCTAGAAATTTTGCTCATGGATGGGCCAGGTACATTTTTCGTCACTCCCCTTGAAGAGATTCCCAATCATTCCTTACCCCTCATTCATAGTTGGCGTGAATTCGCGACGAAAGCACGAATTCATGGCGAAGTATACCAAATACATGCTGCATCTTTGTGTATTTTTATTTCGCCTCGAATTCGCGCTCTACAATACGACGTATATTGTTCAAAATGTTGTGTGATAGTTTAAAAGGGCTTATTTGATGTTCAAATTCCCACCCTCCCCCCTCACCCTTCACTCAATATTAGAAGTTTGGGAATCGGAATTATCTGCTGAAATCTTGTCGAATATTAATAAGAACTACTTTTTTAAGGAACCCAAAGAATAGGAACTATATTCCAAAATTCTGAAATTTATCGTTCCTTTTTTTTCGATATTAGGCTCGGTGCCTTTTTAGAAAAGAACTTTTTGATCCTACAATTTCTTGCAAAATAGCGGAGAAATTGGCGAAAATACACGCGTTGAATACGTTGCCTTTTAGCAAAGATCCCAATAAAATATTCGATAAAATGTTCAAGTGAGTTCTATTTTTTTAAAAAAAATATTTGAAATCTAGAAATCAGAGTTTTGGAATGCTCTTCAAGATAAAAATAAAATCTTCGAATATTTTTCATACCCGAAAATCATTTTTTTTAAAAAATGAAAATATTTTTGAAAAATGTTCATGGATGTTTTTGATATAATTTTAGCACGACTATTTGAGCGTTTTCGAAAAAAAATCTTTCTTTCATGACAAAATCAAAAAAAAAATTTTGATCGTAATTTTTGGGGAAAAAAAAATTTTCTTTCTTTCTTACTTACTTTTTTTCTTTCTTTTCTTTCTTCTAAACTTATAATCAATATTAACCCCTTCCCTAAAATCATTTTTAGATGGCTTCAAATCTTCATGAAAAATTTGAATAACCCTAAATCTCCCACTCATAAAAATTCCGAGAATGCCTCTAAATATGATTGGACAATAGATGCTTGCCTAGATAAAGAGATCGAATATTGCAGGTATTTATAATAAATATTAAACTTAGTTATATATAATCAATTTGTTTAATTCCTAAACATAATTATTTAATTTTATTATTTAAAAAAAAAGGATTCTTTCCAAAAATTCTGATTCTCCTATTGTATTTTGTCACTTCGATTTGCAAGAAGGTTTAACAATTTAATTACACACCATTATTTTTGAATTATTACTTTCAACCATTAAAATTTTTTGAATCTGAATCTCAATTATTTTTTTTAAAAAATACTTGCATTTGATAAAACTAAATATATGCAATGATGTATATACACTACTAGATTGCCCACTTAAAAGTGTACATACGTAGGAATCAGCTGTAGCTCTATTTTATGGTATTGCTCGTCGACTAATTCATTTTATTAATGCATGGTATTTCATTTAATCGATATGCAAACCACAAAAATGGCGTTACCGCTGACTCCTATATATGTACACTTTTAAATGCATAAATCGCTTATTTAATTTTATATTCACATTGGGTATATGTTTATTCCTTATTTTTATTATATTATGCATAATAATTCTTATATTTTGGCGTTCAACGTAATCATCCTACCATATTTATTGACTTGGAATGTTTATCTTTCTTTCTATATTAATTTTAATATGCCATCGCTCAAATGGGTGTGATGATGAGGCTTAATTTTTTTTAATAATTAATACGGGGTCCTTGATACCGGCAATATCGGATTAGTCCCTTAAAAGCTGCATCGACAACAGTCTCACATATTTTTTTATAATTATCATATTTTCTATATTTTTAAAGGAAACATTCTTATACATCGCCACCAACACTCCATGGTTAAAGCTATCAAGTCAACGAAACATTCTGAATCAAATTTTAACAGTTATAGCAATAATAGTAATACCGATGTTGAGATCAAGCTAGATTTTATCGACTACGAATACAGCGCATATACTTATAGGTTTGAAAATTGGGAAGGGCATGTTTTAACATATATCATTTAAAACATAAATCTAACATTTTTTAAAGAAAATATTATTGAATATTAAATTGATAATAGTAAAATTATTTTTTATATTTTTATAACATATAAATCAATCCTTATCATTTATTACGAGTGTGTTTTACTAAATTTGTATCAGGGGTTTCGATATTGCGAACCACTTTTGCGAATGGACTATGGATTACACATTCAAAGAATACCCGTATTTTTCGCTGCATTCTGATAACTTTCCCACGAAAGATCAGCAAGTATATTATTTACTTAATTTTATATTATATTATTATATAGTATAACTGTAATATATTCTTCGCCATTATATGATGAATAATATATTTTGTTAAATTGCATAAAATGTAAAATATGGGTAGATTCTAAAGGGAGACACGGTCTTAATTGTTTATACATTTATCCAGATACCTGCCGTTCTCTGACGAGGGCCCGAATACCACTGGAGCCTGCTAATTTATCATCAGGGATGGCCTAAGGCCAGGTAGTTGTACCTTGGTTTTTAGGTAAATCCTTAATATGGGACTTCACATGCGTCTCTTCATTTATAAAAAATGTAAATTCTAATCCAGTTGATATAGCCTAGTAAAAGAAAATATTCTAAATTAACCAATTATATTACCAATTGTTGTCTCTACCCTTAGACATATACCAAGCGAAACTTAAAAAAATAGGCGATAAAATAAGAACCCTTACATCAGAACCCAAGGAATTTTATTTTTTAAAACAAAATATTTAAATTATTATTTTTAAAATATAATTATTCATTTTTTTGGGTGGAACTTATAGTAACAATTTTGTATATATAGAATGAGCCCCCATTTTTTTATATTATAGTCTATGATATTACTTATTTAGTAGGTGAATATTTTTGAATTTTTTATATTTTTTACCACGTGTTTTTCAAGCTTGGCAATTTATTTTTTTTAAATTTTTGCATTACAATTTTCAAGCTTGGCAATTATTTTTTTGCGATTTTTCTGATTCATAATATTACTTACAATTTTTTTAACTTCTAAAAATATTATTTTCGAAATTTAAGCTCTATTTTAATTTTGTCAATATAGTAAGTTGTCTCATTAAAAATACTTGGGATTTGTGTTATTATCGGATCTTAAGTTATCGGGATTTATATTTATATTATTAGTTTTTTCTTTACAAATCTTCTATCTTGCCCATCATCATATTACATTACATTTTAATGTCCTATTACGTATAAAGAGTAAAGACATACTCATGCTCCTCTCATAAATTATCATGGTATTAAGCTACTATTTTTCCAACTATTCTAATGCTATTAAATATAATATCATCAGCCAAACACTCGATTAGTGTTATTGAACAGCTCCTTTTTAAAAAAGGCTAATCCAATATTTTAGCCAAAATATATAACGCAAGCCCCGAAATTTTGTTAAAAGATGTCCAAACCTTTATACCTTCTATGAGCCAAACCTTTCCAGGCTTGCGTAATCGTTTATAGCTTAAATATTAGGTTATATTTCTCATTTTGATCGCTCTTTATGGGTATAAAATTATTTATATTATTAACCGTTATATATTTAAAAAAAATGGCGATCAGATGATTTCAATTTGTCATCTTTACTAAACGTACAAATTTTTATATATTATAAATTATGTTAACATTTATAAATGAAATAGCTCAAATTTACTTACATAGATTATTTTTTTTTAAACTCTGCTATCTTTATTTCCATCTCAGCGCCTATTCTTGGAAGTCTACCTGCGCTCCTACCACGAAGCTGTTCGGTATAACAAAACGCGCAGGAACAAACACGTGTACGCCGCATCCGTTAATAAAAACAATTTTAATTCCCTCATTTCTTCCCCGCGTATGAATCCCGTTTCCAAAGATCATTATAATAATGTGCCCGTTTCCAAAGATCACTATAATAATGTGCCCAATAAAACGCCTTCGGAGGACGATTTATTCCAGGACCGTTACCAAAATGGCTATAATTTGTTCAATTTCGATGACCTGGAAAAGGAAGTGAATGGGATAACTAAAGACGAAAATTTGGGAACCATTAATGGTACGGTTGTTTTATATCATTATTATCTTGTTTTTTTCAGGATAATTGCCAAAATAAATTCGATTTTAAAAAAAATGTTAGAAAAAAAATAAATAGTTTTTTCTATTATAAATAATTCACCGAGATATTACGGAAATTAACACCCCTCCCCCCTCCCTTGGAAAATATTTGCGGAAATTACAGAAATGGAATATTCCCATATAAAATTTAAGTTTATTATTATTTTAATTTTCACTGTATAGAGTATAATTGTTATTGTTACATTAATTTTCCGATTATTTTTTTTATAGTCAAAACAATCGATAGTTTTATTTAAAATCTGTTCAATATATATATAGTTTTATTTATGTAATTTAACTTCTAACATTATGTAATTATTTTGACCTTAATACTTTAATATTAAATGTAGGAAAGTTATAATATAATATACAAATAACGCAACCTTTAAAATATATAACGTAACCTTTAAAATATGTATTAACAATTTTTTGCAGAAATTTGTACATGTTAGTTTTATTGACTAAATCATAAAATGATAATTTTTGCATGAGATTTAGTAAATTACTATGAGGGAATGTCTTTACGCCTTCGGTGTTTAACTAAGTTTATTTTCCTTTGAAAAATGCTCATTGATAAAGTATATAAATTTTAGGTAATTTGTCTTAACGATAAGGCCATCCCTCCTGAGGTATTATCTCTCGTTGGGAGGTGCTATCGGTAATCCATTGTCTTAGCTCTTTTTATAAAAAAATCTAGAGCATGAGAGCCGTACGACCTGTCCTCGCAATTATATGGAGCAATATAAAATTCGAAGATAGTGTTGGCGAGTTTATTGTTATACAATTCAGTGTCCACGAGATCATCTTAATTTATTAGGGGGCGAGAAGATCAATGCAAGAAAAATCCAAGGCTGAGAATTTACTTTTTTTCCGAGGGATCATGGTATATATATATATATATAGGCGTTTTCTGTCTGAACTGTATAGTATAGTAGTTCAAGTATATATATATATATATATATATACTAATTTCACTAAAAATTATGTATTATAGAAAAAATAAATGCAAAATTTAAATAAAAAATAACCTTTTTTTTAAAAAAAATTAGTATTTAAAATGTAACAGCAAACAATTATACTAAAACAACAAAACAATTGTTAGCAAGTTATTATAATTTAAACTTATTTTATTAAATGTTTTTTTTCAAATCATAGGATCAATCAAAAAAGAAGATAATGAGGTGGAAATAAATGAAATGTTGGAAGAGGTGGACATTTTCATTTTGCTTTCTCATCTCTTCTGGACCTTCTGGTCTTTGGTTCAAGCTGGTAACTCCAAAATTCGCTTCGGCTTTGAAGTTAGAATAAATAATAACTAATATATTTCTTGAGTGGTAAGATTGGAAAAAATAAAGCAAATTGTTGGGTGCGACATAGCTCACTCCTAATTTAAAATGTATTTCACACTTTATAATCCCTTTGATATTTTAAACCCTTTTTAGGGTAACCTTATGTGAATTATTAATTTAAAAATTTAACGATAAATTTCTTATTTCTTATGCATTTTTTAAAATTATATATGTTAAATTTATCAAAGGTGTTGCATTGTATTATCAGGTAATAAAATATATTTAAAATAAATATTCTTTGCTACTAACTATTAAATTCATATTTTTAATTTAATATAAAATCAATAAAAACACGCAAAAATTTTTAAATTTTAAATGTGAAGAAAATATTATTTTTAAAATGTTCATTATAATTTTTTGAAAAAAAAAACTTACGCGAAACCCCAGCAAAAATAAAACGTTAATATCTTGAAAAAACTATTAAATAAGAATGGATGGAACTTTGCAGAAACATAGTTTAGGTTTAAATAGAAGGATACTGAAAAAACAGGCCAAAATATTAACACCTTTATTTGTAGTAGCAAGTTTTAAAACCTTGGTGATGACCCTCTAAAATAATCAAATTTTAAAAAGCCAGGTCCAGCTCAAACGATTTTTTTTAGTATGCAATCTGAGCCCAGACTTGTAGATAGGTGTCTAAGTCTCTGATTTAAAAATATAATATTATAATTATTATCAGTGATGAACCGATATCACTTTTATAACCGATACTAAAAAAAAGAAAGAAATGTAGACTATTTAAAATAAAAAAATTATGATGATTATTATTTTTTAAGTGTCGGTTTTCTTTCTTTTCTTTTTTTTTCTTTTCTTTTCTTTTTTTTTTTTCTTTTCTTTTGTTTTCTTTTCTTTTTTTCTTTTCTTTTCTTTTCTTTTCTTTTCTTTTCTTTTCTTTTCTTTTCTTTTCTTTTCTTTTCTTTTCTTTTCTTTTTTTTCTATAATTGAAACTCTAGTATAAAGGTTTCCACATATTTATGTTGATGTTTTTTTAAAATTCATTTTCATAATTTTAGGAGTATGCCGAAGTTAGGTTCAAAGAGTACCTAAGGGTCAAAGATGAATTTCAAAAAAAGAAGAATAAAATAAACGCGAAATAATTAGTTCTTCATTATATGAAAAACAGCATTTTTTACTTCAAGCACATCACAATTATTTTAAAGCTCAGAGAAAAAAAGTGGTAGTTTTTTTATTCCTGAATTAACCCCCCCCCCCCACTCCCTCTTACATTTTGCACCAATTCTTTTTATTATAAACATGTACACGATTAATTTATTAAAAATGCAGATATCACAATCTTTATAAAAATAATTTTATTATTATTAACATACTCACATTTAAACAGGAAAAATTTTACCCTCGGTTAATTTTTATATTATATTTAATTGTGTTAATTTAAGACGATGCAATATTCAATCATTTTTTTATATAATAATAATAATATAGATTAATTATTATATAAAAAAGGTATTTTAAACGTCAAACTTTTATATTTTATAATTTGTTGTAATATAGAAAAATGTGATGGAACAATCATTTTCGTTCAATTATTTAATGAAATAAAATGGCGATATTTATTTATGTTTAAAAAAACCTTATTCCTTAATTTCGACAAAAATATTTTTAACTTGAATATCATGTAAGTTTAAAATCTGGTCAGGAGGTTTCGGTCAATTTTTAAAATGTTAATCGCAACTAGTTTGATTGTACTCTTGGTTTAAACAAGAGCATAACTTATCTTATATGAAATGGGGTAAATAGTTGATCAATTAATTGTCCTGTCCAAACAGTTTTTACCCCGAATAAATTAAGATACAAATACAACTTGTTATTTGATTACCCCCTTTTTCAATTTATCAATAAAATTTATGGATGTAAAAATATTTTATTCTTACTTTTAAAAAATATAGTAGTTTATATACATCATTCTATTTTATCAATAGGTGTAACTAGGGGGGGGGGGTATTTGTTTGTTCTCGTGAATAGCATTTTAAGCGAATAAATACCCTCCCCCCTTCCCATTTTCCCAATAGTATACAATATATTATAATAATATTGAAAGAAAGATAAATAAAGTTATTAGAAAGGAGGGAAAAACCAAAATTATACTTCAAAAACGTAACATAACGAAAGGCCTTCAATATGGGTACATCAAATTCTTGAATAAAATTTATAGGTAAAATTATTGTGTTTATTTATTTTATTATTTAGATTAATTAGCCATATAAAATTTGAAATTGATAACCAAGTAATCCCTTTCATTTATGCTGAACAAAGTGTATATAACTAAGGGGGTTGCGCCAATTTTAAGACACCCGATTGCTTGATAAAAAAAGAACAAAATTTTCCCCCCAGGATTTTGATGTTATGATTGTCTTAGAATATTAACAAACATAATCGATAAAAAAAACCCTAAAAAATGTGATTGTTTGTATAAGGATTTTTTTTACTTTCCCTTATTTTACGTTAATTTTAATTATTTTTCAATCATTTACAACAATTTGTACGTTGGATTAAATTGGATCATGTTTACTATTGCACAGTAACGTGCTATTACATTCTATCTAAAGGATAATGGATCCAACGCCTTCCTCAGTCATCAATGGTCAAATATATCCCTCCTAATTCTAACCCAGATATAGCCGGTGCACCAAATCTTATGACTACCCTCCTCACCTCCACGTCTCTTACCTTAAAATAATTTTATGACTTTATATGGAACAGCCAACCTAAATGTGCCACTTATCTCTAGCAAAATCCTTTTCATCTATAATCGATCGAAAGTTTGGATAATCAACTAGTAATATAATAATTATATGTAATAAGGTTTGTACATAACGTCATCATTAACCATAATTTTTGTTTTAAAATAGATTGTATAAGAGTCATAATTTTTTGATTTTATTCAATTGATAAATTTCACAATCTTAATAATAGCATTGACACAACACTAATAGCACATTAGTGCGGTCGATACTAAAAATACCTACCCAATAAATGAGAGAACTTTACTGATCCATAGGACTCGTGGTATATAAAGGTATTTGTGTTTTGAAAAGAAGAGGTTTTAGCGTAATGACAAGGAAAGGAATTGATAGATACCTAAAATAATTTTACTTGCATTCATATGTTTTTATTATCACGTGTTAATTAAAAGCCATACTTTTGACGTTTGTTACATTTTTTTATTATCTCGAAGCATGTTGCATAGGAGCTCTAAGAAAAAATTAAATATTTACTTTTTAATCTGAATAAAAAATGAGTGAATCCTATGATATTATATATGAGGAATTAGTTAAGAAACAACATATTTTAGACAGTCTTAATTTGTTAATTTTTAATGTACTATTAATATTTGCATTATTAACTGTATGGTTATTCAAACATCGTCGCATTCCATATTTACATGAAACTGGTTTAGCCCTTATTTATGGTAACAATTATAATTTTAAATATAATTTTAATTTTAAGATTTGATAAATATAAAAATTATATTATTTATGGTACTTTATAATTTACATATAATAGCATATTTAATTATATGTTTAATTCTCTCATGTTGCTCCCAAAATGATTTTAATGACCTAAGCTCAATTCTTATTGTCCCAATTTAGTTAATATATAATTTTTAAAAAAATATCAGAGAAGAGTAAATTAATTAAAATACTTTGGAAATATTTATTTTTAGTCATAATCATGAAATGGGATCTTAAAAAAATGAGAAGGTCACAGAACTTGTTTATATAAGGTCCAATATCTAGTTTATGGAGAAAGTATGCCCTAGGATTGACTAATTGTGATAGTCTCTTCAAAAAAGATAACGACAACCCAAAAAATTGAACACCAAAATTTCTCCATTTTCTCATTATTTCTTGTTTTTTCCTCTTAGGAAGCTTGATTCATATTTATAATAAGATCAATTCCATATATATGACTTAAGCTGAGTTCCTGGCCAAATAATTTTTATAAATTCCATATATATGACTTAAGCTGAGTTCCTGGCCAAATAATTATTTATAAATTGAATCAATCTAAATTTATCTTAGTGAGTATCAATAAAAATAATGAATTAATATTAATTAAACATTTATTATTTAAACTTATATGTGGTATAATAAAATATTGTTATTTAAAAAAAATAACCCAAGGATTTAAAATACAAACAAAATATAAATATAAGATTTTTCAAAATTTAATAAATAGAATAAACAATGCTCCTTTGTTAAATTTATAAAAGAAACCAAATATAGAATATGTATTTTCCAGATATAAATATGGAAATTTAATTTAGATACCTAAAAATACCAAATATATTTATTTTCAATATAAGAGTATCATCACTGATGGCAATACCCTATAAATAATTTTCATTCTTTTTCTCTTTTTATTCTTTTAAAATAAAAGAAAATAAAAAATTTTCATGAATAATAAAGTGATCCTTACAATTTATTTTTCCATATAATAATCAGCTCTTTTGAAAATAAACTATCTGTTAAAATTTACAAATACATAAAACAAAATGTAAAAAAATACAAAATTAATCTAGAATTATTAAATTTATAAATATTAATTCTAAATTTACATAAAAATATTAATTAAGTTAAAATAATCAAACATATTTAATATTTTTTTTAGATTATAAATTATATACTCAGATATGGGTTGTTAAATGGCTTGATTTGAGTCGATTTTAAAAATAGCCATTATTTTAGCCCAAAAAATATTGCGTGAACCTCGAGATTTAACTAATGGATGTTCAAACATATATGCCCATCATTGACCAAGATCTTCTAGCATGTGTAATATTTTTCTGGATAAAATATTGAGTTAACTGCTTTTAAAAATCGGCTCAAATCGAGCCTTTTAACAACACTATTCAGATTGATTAATGTAATTAAAATTATTACTGGGCAAATATTAAGCATTTATTTATAAAATTCTTTTTGCTTAATTTCAATATTGCTAATTTAATAATGTTTTATTTTACAAAATCTAATCATAATTCGTTATTATATTAAATTTAATCATTGAAATACCAATTTAAAGGTCTGATAGCTGGCGCCGTTATAAAATATGGATTAAAACACGGAAAATTTTCTAGTCAACCCCTCACGGCTCATGTGGCTCTCAAACAAGTCTCCAAGAATTATTCTGCCGATTTTTTCCCTACCAACCTTCTCTTGTCCCTACACGGTACAATACATTTTAAACACATGATATCTTGTCGCCTGTCAGTTATTGATTTGGAATCTTAGAGATAGAGGAAAAGTAGCTTATTTTTTTTTTTATTAAGGAGGAAAATTGGAAATAGAGAAAGTTGTAAAATTTTTATTCAAAATCAAATCCTTATGAATATAACGGGAAATATTATGTGTTATATAATAAACAGGCAGCTCCGTTAATTTTTCCACATTCGCGTACAAGATAACCAATAGAGCCCTATACGGTCAGGCGAGCAATATCAAATCACTCGAAAATACCGAGTTAGAAAACAAGGTATTATCGCTAGCTTTTACCAGTTAAGATGTGTAGCTAAGAAGTTTTTTCTTAGACAGTAAGGGTGGATTCATAGTGGAACACGATTTAACACCTGATCGATTATTTTAAAGATTGATTTTCCTTTATTAATCAATAATTCTTACATTTAGAACAAAAAATAAGATTAATATTAATTTTAAAAAAAATTGATCTCATAAACAGGTTTTAAAAACCGATCAGCTGTTTAATCGCGTCGGATAATATCCCAATATGAGTCCGGCATAAAAATTATGGTAGGGGGACGACCTAAAAGGGAACCATAGAAGCATTTTAATTTATTTTGATTTATTTTTTTTTTAAAAAATAGAAAAAAAAATAGGTATTGATTTTTATGACGCCAAAAAAATAAATATCGCGATTGGTTTATTAAATATAGGCGATATTTTGTTATTTAAAAAAAAAATGATTCAATACCCATATCTGTCTGTCTTTGTTGTCTATCCCTTACAAATAAAATATATCTTATTTTGGAAAACGGGGCAGGAAAAATAATTTAAAATAAACGCTAATTGCGAACTGGTTAGTTCTGACTCAGACAATGGGCCTCCCGGGACAGACTTGGATCTTGGTTAAATTATAAACGATTATCAACGAGCATTTTTAATTGGGATGGGAGAGGGGGATGGGTTCAGGTTTCGGATCGGAATTTTGAGCCGAAACAGGAAGGATTTATTTTCTAAAAATGATAGTACGGGTCGGGTAAGACTGGTAACTTTAGAAAAATTATCGGGCCGGAAAAATGAAATACTCGAAGGAATTTTCAATTTTTTTTAAAAATATAAAACCTCACGATGTTCGTATTTTTTGTAGTTATATATATATCTAACAAATGTCTTTTTCCTGTTTTTTGGAGGAGGGGGTTATTATTATTTTTATTACTACTATGATCATTATGGGAAATATAAACTTCAATATTTTGTGGCATAAATTATGTTTTTTAATTTTATAGATTATACCTTAAAATTTTGTTACAAAAATAATATTCAAATGCATGTTTTTATTCTGTTTTTTTTTCTTTGCTCTTCAAGTTTTTTATTTTGGTTTTTTTCGTTGGATTAAACTCACGACCTTTAACCTCGGCTTGTGGTTACTTGATACATAATCATGATATTATTTTTTAAAAAATAAATTTACTTTTAAAAATTTATATGAGGATATTTTTGGAAAATGTTAGATCTGGAAATTTAATGGGTACAAAATTATCCGTATTTTAATCCTCTAGATATATTATATATATATTCAAATTCCCGACTCAATAACCAGACCCATGCAAGATATACAATTTTTTTTAAAATAACCATACATAAATTGTTACTAATTGACGTTTCAATTATTATTTTATATATAGTTAACGTTTGACCCAGAGGTATTTTTCAACGTGCTACTTCCTCCTATTATCTTTAATGCTGGCTACAGTCTTAACAGGGTAATTCAATTTTTTAAAAACTTTTATTTATATAAAATAAGTAAGAAGGAAGGAAATAGAAAAACAAAGTCAAAATCAACATCTATATCGAGTTTAAAAAAAGAGGTATGGGATCGTCAAATATAAATTTTTTTTTTGTAAATGTTTTTAAAGTCGTTTTATAAAAAAAATGGGCTTGTTTTTTCCCCAACTTCATAATTTGGCGGGTCGTGACTCCTGAGTGAGAACAAAAATAAAATTCCAGCAGATTTTTGAAAATAAATTGCACGCTTCCTCCATTCCTCCGTATCTCAAATGTTAGATCAAAATTTTAGAGGGATTTAAATAAAAAAGAAATCTATGAAAGAACGAATAAGTTTTATTACGGGGAAAAGATTTATCTTAAAACTTGTTTTATGTGGTTGTACTACAGTTATGACTACTTTTTGATTTATGGTTCCAGAAATTTTATCATTCATAACATGTTCCCGCTTTTTGACGTTTTTAAATTTATAATCCCCTGCTACTCAATTTAAATAAAGAAAATGATATCTGTTTAATTATCCGATCTATCCACCTTCACGTAACTATTTCGGAGCAATTAAAAAAAAAATATATATAATATAATATTTATTCTTACAAAGGCCAATTTTTTCAATAACATCGGAACTATCACAACTTTCGCTTTTGTGGGTACGGTCGTTTCCGCTTTCGTGGCTGGGTTTAGCTAAAATTATTAATTTTGCATGATAAATTTTTTTTTTATCTTTATACATTTTTTATCGACTCATAAAAGATAGATATATAAATATAGCGATGCAAAATCGCTCCAAACAAGCCGACTCCAACTTAACCGAGATTATGGCCGAAAAAATCGGTGAAGCCCTTCAAGTTTGGGCCAATTTTTTCAGGCTCGCACTCCATGGTCGAGCCGATTTTTGGTGCTCAACCTCGAGAGTGAGCCGGCTTGAGTGGGGCTATGCATCACTAAGATAGAAAGAAAATAAATAAATAAATATAGAAAAAAGAAAGAAAGAAAAAGGAAAGAAAGGAAGGAAGAAATAAAGGACAAAATGATTGCAGTATATTTATTTTAAAATAATTTTTTTTAACAAAATAAAACACAAACTAAACATAGGAGCATATTTTTTGCTTTGACTCTAATATGGCCTTCTTTGGGCTTTAGATTTAACGATTGCTTATTTTTCGGAGCCACCATCTCAGCCACGGACCCGGGTATTTCTTTTTTAATCATTTCTATATATTTAGAAAATGTAAAAAAAAAGTTTTGAATCATTTTATTGTATTTGTTTTTTTAATATTAACATTTCAATACTCCGGTGGTTTTATATCACACCCGGCATGCTGGAATCGATATTACATAAAAACGGTTAATTATTATGATCTAGAATTTGCAGTAGCTCCCTGAAATATATCTTGGAATATTATATGCTAAATTTTATTTATTTTGGTTGATTAGTTTTTATTAGTGTTGTTAAACAGCCCGATTAAGATTTTAGCCAAAATAATATGATCTATAAGCCTCGAGATTTGGCAAATAGGGGTCCGATCCTTTCTGGCATCTATGAGCAAAATTTCGTACCTTACATAATATTATTTTAGTCAAAATCTCAATCGGGTCGTTTTTATAAATCGACCCAGATCGGGGGCCGTTTAACAAGACTAGTTTTTATGATATAAGCATTAGGTGGAAGCACTAGAGGAAATTATTTTAAAATTACCATTTTATTTTGATGAATAAAAATAATAATTTTATGAAATGTCTTGGTTTTAATACTAATAATTTTTTTGATACTTAATATTCAGATTTAAATTTTCTGGACCATTTACATTATTTTTTTTTATCGGAATATTGAAGCACTAACTTAAGAAATATTCAAAAAAATTAACTGATCTTTTGCTACAATTTCCGGACATTTGCAATTTGATTTGTTGAAATTTAAATATTTATTTTTTTTCTTGTCCCAAACCTTCAATTTTTATTAGTTAGGTTTAAGCGGCTTGGTTCGTTAACGGAACCTAAACTACGGGAGAGTATAGGTTTTATGTTCCGAAACTTAGATTATATTAATTATGGACAATTTCATATTTCAGTGAAACCTATCTAATTTGGGCACCGTTGGGACAAATATTTTTGCCCAACTTATACAGTTCCCCAATTTATTGAGATGAAATAATGGATTACTAGGAATTTGATTGAGCTCCATGGATTTTAGTCAAATTATGGAAGAATTTCCCGAATTGAGAGCTAAAATTAGACAAGTTTTACTGTATATTAAATAATCCAATTGTTTATTTCCATAATCTTCACGCGCATTAATAATTTTGTTTATTATACTATGTCATTTAAAGTGGCCGTTTTGGCTATATTTAGTGATAGTAAAGTCGATTCAAACCTTTACTCCTTAGTGTTCGGTGAGAGTGTGCTAAACGACGCGATAGCCATGGTGCTTGCTCTGTAAGTTAATTTATTTTCTTTTTTAAAAAAATTGAATATTTTTTCAAAAGGGAAAAGAAGTGCTTTTAATATTTTGAAATAGTAGTAGATTTAACATTAAATCTACAAAATTGAATATTTGTTAAATTTTATTTATTTATTTTTTGGATGGGGGGGGGGGTTATAGGCTTTTTGTTAATTATGATTTATTTAATTTTTAATTATTTTTTGAATATTCAATTTTTTTTTGTTCCGAATTCTACTGCAACTCTTCCACCAATTAAATGAACATTATTGGCCCATTTATTGCTATATTTCGCCGGAGGTCAGTTTAAAAGAAAAGAAATTTTTTTTTATTAGTAACTTTCTAAAGAGTCTTTAAATTGTTAACGTGGATAATAAATAAATTTTAATTGATTATTTTAATCTTTACGCAGGCCGGTGGGTTCGATCTTTCCAATCCTTTATTAACCGACCCCCCAAATTTTTTGCCAGATTTCGGAAGCGCGAATTTTGTGATCTATGGCATTACATTATTTTGCCGATATTTTTTTTAGCCCCAATTATTTCAAACTGGCTAATTATTAATATTCATTTTATATTCCCTCGCCCCTCTCGAATAGCACTATAGATAAATACGTTGGGAGCGGCGGCGGATCCAAGATAAACTTCATCACCTTCTTGAACACCATTTGGCGTTTTTGCGTTGTTTTTATGGGGTCACTTTCCATAGGATTCTGTATGGGATTTATTACGGCTATCATATCCTTTTTTTTTGTAAATTAAAAAAAACATTATTATAATATTAAATTTTTCGAGATTAATAGGTGTGTAAAAGGTACTAGGCCGGCCCAGGTTTTAAATTTCTTAACACCGATCTCGGATTTTGAATTTTTATTATGGGCTTTAAAATTTTTATTTTAAGATTCGGGCCAAAGGGGTTATGCTCGAATGGAACATAATTTAGGTGTGGGGCGGGGGCCAGATGGGACAAGCGCGCATTTCCTCGATGGACACCGCGAAATTTAAAAAAATTTTATGTAAAGTGGTACGCGTTAAAAGATGAAAGGACCAACTTTGTAAATCGCATCATAATTTGTTTTAGGATCGAAAAATAAAAACGAGAACGTTATAACTTTACAGATAACAAAACCGGATTTAAGAGTTATTTAAAACCGTTCGGATCTCGACCCTAGGTTCAGCGTTGCTCCGCTGCTGCCTCTTACTCAAATTGTTAATATATATCTTTATATTAAATGAAAATTTGCCAATATGAATATATTTTTTTTCCTTAACACCGATTATTATTTTGATTATCTAACTTTTGACTCCTTACACATGACTAAGTTCACGAAAATCAGGGACTTTCCTTTGCTAGAAACCTCCTTATTTTTCTTAATGTCCTATAGTACATTTCTGATCGCGGAAGTCTCTCAATTATCGGGTAACATTATTTTTTATTTATTAAAATATATAATTCGTTTTGGGAGGTTCTGTGGAGGGAACGAAAGAAAGAAATTAAGGTATGAGAGGAATAAATAGAAAATAATTTAGCGAAATTGAAAACATAGTATTTTGGGTTTAAAAAAAATATATTTAAATTAAGGGATTGTCGCCGTTTTATTCGCCGGTATATTTCAGGCTCATTACACTTATCACAATTTATCGAAACAATCCCAATACAGAACTAGACAAGTTTATATTCATTTTTTTTTCTTTCTTTCTCTCTCATATTTCATTTCAATTTAAACTATATATCCCACTCGTACATTCTCATTTTTCAAATCATTTTCACATTTATGTTTGTATAAATTCTTTTAGAAACTGTTAATCGTGTAAATATAAATAAAAGCTAGAAACTTGAGAATGATTAAGTGGGCGCGTGTAACTAATTATGACTTGATTTCGATCATAAGTTTTAGTGTTGTTAAAAAGCCCGATTTGGGTCGATTATTAAAAACGGTCCGATTATGCTTATAGCCAAGATAATATTATGTAAGCTTCAAGATTTGTCAGATTCCAAATATTTCTGCAATCTATGAGCAAAATCTTCAGGCTTTCATAATATCATTTTGCCTAAAATCTTGATCGGGCCGTTTTTAAAAATCGACCCAAATCGGGCTTTTTAACATGAGTTTAGGTTTTCCACTAATCCATACACATTTATGAGCTCCGCAAATGATATTTTAAGGAATTAGCGATGAAAGTTTTTATATTTTCTAGTCCTCCCCCATACCAATGAGGAATATTTTTTATTTTACTCGATTTCCAATCATTATTCCTTGTATAAAATGAAGCCCCTTGTCATAGGGCACGAAATATTTAGTCCCATTGTTGCCTAAAAGAATTTGTTTTTCGAATATGGTAAAGTTGGGGACTATGTTATGGATTTAGCTCGGACTATAGCACTAAATGAATATATATCTAAATAGCGAATTAATAAATTGAAATGTTACTTTATATTTAGCGTTATTTTTTGTATTTTTTTCCTTTGAAAAGAAACAAATTTGCTTCAAATATTATTATTATATAAAAAATTTTAAACTATTTTATTAAATTATAATTACAACAGATTTACGAACTAATGAGTTTTCTCATCGAAAATTTTATATTTTCCTACATCGGCGTCTCCCTGTTCACGTTTCAAAATCACAAATTTCATATGGGATTAATCGTTTCAGCTTTAGTTAGTTGTTACTTTGTTTTGAGATCATTTATTTTTCAAAATTTATTAAATATTTTTTGGGCTTATTTTTTAAAAAAAAATCAATTTTTTTTATCGATTAACAATGAAGGCGGGCTCAAATTCGGGGTTTTAAACTCATCTTGCAAGGCTTTAGCCATATGCTCACCTCACATTAGAAATTAAACTTATTTAGCCTGTCAACACAAACAACATATGTTTAGCAATAGGCCTACCAAAAATCTAATCGAATAATTCATTATTCATATTCATACTAATAATAAAATATTCGATTCGAAATTTTTTTAAAATGTTTGTAAAAAAATAGATTATATTTTGCTAAACAGATGTGGATGTTTTAAAATGACATCTTAGTAATTTTAGTAAAACTAAGCTAATTGTCGTTATAGCATATCAAAATTTACATAAAATAATAAGCTAAATAAAACCCAATGATTTCTTATCCTTATCCGAACTTATATTATATATATATATATAATGTAATAATATTAATATTTAAAAAAATTAATTAAATTATCATATAAAAACAACAATTAAATGTTTTACTTCTTATGAAGATGAAAAATGAAATAAAGTAAAATAAAATTTTTAAAAAAAATCCACTAGAAAATTTAATATATACTTTATATTTTTACTTACTTACGAATACTAACGACGAAAAAATAAAATATTTCCAAAAAATTACGAATATAAACAAAAATTTACAAATAATTTGAATAATTCGAATCGAATAATAAAATCTTACTATTCGACAAATATTTTTTCACATTATTCATATTCGATTCGAATATTCATAAAATTCGAATCGAATAACGAATGATTCTTTTTAGGCCTATTTAACATAAAAAATTACACTAATTTTATAGCTGTTGCGAAATATCATTTTCACAAAATGGTGCTCATTTCGTTTTAGTGTGAGGCAAGCCACAAAGAGAATTTTTTATTATTAATTTAGATTATTCTTAAAAACCCTACTTAAATTACGGATTTTCGCCTTTGGGATATATAACTTATTTATTTTTTGTCTTCCACTACAGATAGCTATATTTATTTCCCGTTTGTGCAATATCTATCCGCTATCTTTCTTGCTAAATTTGGGAAGAAACAGACCTATTCCTCTAAATACTCAACACATGCTCATGTTTTCGGGTTTGTAGATTTTTTTATATAATTAGCTTTATAAACATTTATTGGGATAATATATTTGCATAATATGGAAAATTTAACAGGCTTATATTCTCTCTAATATTTAATTTAACCCTTGAATTTTTAGTATTTCTTGTATTGTTCAATGCAACTAGCGTGTCACAATTTATTGATTTATGTTTTTTTATCGAATAATCTTTGATATTTTGGCAGGTTATGAATGATGTATGTAAATATGAGGGAATTTGGGATGGGGGTCAGATATTTTGATTGACCCAACAAGTAGTCCATGATTTAATAAGGTGGATCTAATGATATATCCTATATAGAAAATAAGTTTTATAAGAGTTTTAAAAAAAATGAATTTGGTTTAAATGCAAGAAATATTTGAAAATTGCAGATTAATTAGATGATTCACCTAATTCTTTATGAAATATGTTATTTGAAATCATTTTATAAATTTAACACACTTAAAAAAAGGTCTCCGAGGGGCTATGGCTTTTGCTTTAGCCATCAGAAATACTTCGACCCCGCAAAGAAGAGCATTGTACACCACGACGAGCGTTATAGTCATAATAACCGTGCTTTTTTGCGGTAGTCTCACGCCCTCCGCCCTTTCCATGCTTAAAATCAAGTATTTAAAGGAATTTGCTTGAATTAATGGCTATATTTTTCAGGATCAAGGGGGTTTTAAATTTGGAGTTAAAATGTTGTTTAAAATTTACCATCTTACTTTAAAATTATTTGAAATCTTAATTGTGACATTCTCCCTGACCTTGAATTCATCTATGGTCGGTAACTAAGTTTTATATTTTTCACAAGCTCTTGTTCATCGCTCGCTGGAAACGCTCGATATTCAACAGCTAAGGAAAGGTGTCATGATTGTAGGCTATTAACTCTAAATATTCTATTTACCAACCACTAATATAAAAATTTTTCCATGATAGGCCCCAACGTGATCGACCTAATGGAATCATGGCAAATGTCCTTATAGCAAAATTTGTGCCTAAAATTACTCATGCTATTATTTATACTCTTTATATTACAGAGTAGGATCCGGTGCCGATTCTGTAGAGGATAACGACAAAAGAAAGAAATCTGAGAGAGGTAAAAAATCTTCCATCCTTCAGATCCAGAACGAAAACGATATCGATAAATATCAAAAATTTGGTGACCATGACACTCAAGACGCCATTAATGTTAGCTATTATTCCAATCATATTTATAGCCCACTCCTTATTTGAGATATAGAGAAAATTATAATATTTTAAAAAATAAATGCACCGAACACTAAGTATCGGCCATCTACACTAACCGGTATATTAATGTTTATAATATATTCTATGGTTATCGGGAAATTAATTTTTTTTATTAATACATTTCTGATTTGAATATGGTCGGTAAACAAAAAATGGATGGCTTTAACTCGATCAAATTTATTGCTATTTTAAAGTAATTTCTCAGCTCCCTAATAATAATTATTTTTCCCCAAAATATGAGTCATATTTTTTTTAAACTGTAGATTAAATCTACTTACCGACCTGCCCGTTCCGATCACGCACTGGTCGAACTCGGGCACACATTTTAGTACCTTTGATTTTATAATTTTTTTATAGGACCGGTCAATGATATATATATAAAATTATCCCATGGGTTATAAATTTAAAAAAATAAATAAATATCATATTTATATCTACATTATTAAAGTTAAAAGTGTTTGCGAATGCAAAGGTAATAAATTAATTTAATATATTATTTTGCCACTTGTCTGATGTTAGCATCGCCGGGTCAAATATTTATTTTTTAAAATTCCAATTATAAGATAATTAAAGTATGTGCACTTATTTATTAACATAAGTTATCTTGATAAAATATAAGAAAATAATAATGTGTTTGATGCTCGGATCATCGTGTACTCTAATTAGGCAAGTTGCATTGTTTTATTGTATTACAATAATATATCGGCACTTTTCAATACTATATTCCTATATACCCACGATAAAAATGTTAAAATCAGGCGCGTACGCAGGAATTTGGTCTGGGGGATGGGAAAATAAAATTTTTTAAGAAATATTATTGTTAATTAAAAATACTCATAAATTTATTAGGACTAATAACTTTTCTAATACACAATTTTAAATTAATGTGAATTATAAAAATATTATATATATAAACCAGCATTGAAAAACTATAAAATAAATGTGAATTATAAAATATAAAGTGAATATAACCACGATGTGAATCACTTAAATGACCCAAAATTGAAATTTAAATTTTTTGAGCCTTATAAAATATATAAAGTATCAAAAATTTAAATGTTGGAAATATAAATTAATACACAAAATGTTTCTTAGGAATAATTGTATTTTGTATGTTTTGAGCTAATTTTTCAATTATCTATCCTTGCTTGGCGTTAAATGCCTATGAATATTCAAAAGATCCAAATCATTCAATCTACTTTCAGAAGTTGTATTTCATAGGTATGTTTTTTAGAGACTTGCAGGCCCGGCCCCCGAGCCGGACCGTATTTTAATTTTTTTAAACATAACCGGGCCAGGCTCGAAATTTTTTTTAAAAAAAAACACCCAGGTTGGGCCTGAAAATGTAAAAAAAAACCCAGGTCGAAAAAATTTTAAAAAAAATCGGGTCCGTGCCCTGCAAACGGTACCTCTGCATGGGTCTGTTATTCTTCTTTAAAAAGAGAATGTTCTCTCATTAGTTTACTAATGGGAAGAGTTCCTAATATATATATAACCTTTTTAATACATTGGGAATATAATCTCTAAATGTGTTTGAAATAATGCAACGCATCCATAGCATTTTTTGGGACTGTATCAACCATAGTTAATCTTTTAATCATAGTTATTCAGCTAATAAGGCATCATAAGATATTTTAACATCTTCATGATAAAAATCTAACAAATATTTATTTTTTTCTATCACCATCTGAAAAAGGTTGGAAAGGCTTTTGTGAAAGTAATATCTGCGGATTTGTAAGTGCTGCATGATGAATTAAAAACCATTCATTTATTTGGGTTATAAATGTATCTAAGAGTGGGGACATTTGTTTTTAATACTCTTCTACTGATCCTATATTAATGTTTTGACGATGAGCTTGCTTGCTGCAAGTCGAGGGGGACATATATTAAACACGTATAGCTCTGCTTTTGACTCAACAATAACATATAAAATATGAAATTCTTGATCAACATTAGCTCTAATTTCCTTGAGTTCTAATAAAATGCTCTCCGCTATTCTCATCTTCTTAATCAAGTCAATGTCATGTTTTTGAAAAGTATTACTTAAAATAGTTATATAATTAAATAATACATTCTAATGAGAAAAAAAATTTAAAATAGGTATTGAATCCAATAATTTTCTTGCTTCTGAGGAAATATATCTTTCAAGCCATTGTGATATTTCAATAATAGCATTAATAATCGGCTCTTCTAACTCCATAAAAGCTGTTACTGGTGGAGACTCGATCTCGTTGGACAAGCTTGTAATTTCTTTCTCCCTGTTGGACAAGGAGTTTCAGAGATAATTATTATTTGACTAAATAATACGCCACTAAAATTTGAAAATAATAGGTAAATTACGCCAAGGAAAACTTGAAATCGAAATTAATTGATAAAATAACTTAGTAGATGAATGTGATAAATAAATATAATTAAATATATATATGAGATAGGAATAAATATTAAGAAATGTAAATTAATATTAACAATAATATTTTTGAAAAATATAATCATCCGGCATCTGCATTTTTTGGTTGGCGGGAGGGCCCCCCCCCCCGCTGCATGCGCGCCTGGTTAAAATATAATTGAGAATAATCCTTTATTTGCATTATTATATTGTGAAAAAGAAAGAATTTTAAAATTCAAGAAATATATGTATATTTTTTTAATGATCTGAACAATTTAAAAAAAATGGTATATATAAATTTCCTCTGTCTTTTCTTTTTTTTTAAAATTATTGTAGATTAATTTTCTTTATTATTTTTTTAGAGAAACGTAAATCAAATTTTTACCAATAACCAATATTCACATGATGCTATGAACGAGGAAGATAGGTTAGGAACTTCTAATACCAATGTGACCCCAGATTCGTATTCTCACAATTTTTTGGTTCGGACGTGGGGTTATCTTGATTATAAGTAAATATATGATATGTATGACAGGAAACGGGGAGAGAAGGAAGGGAAAATAATTACGAAATTAAAGATGAATAATTTAAATTAATTAATTTTTATTTATTTTAAAAATATTATCTTGTAAATTATGTTTTTTTTTGTGATATTTCTAAAATTATTGACGCCTTCATTTGCATTTTCATCCGATATTTAATTATGCTATTTATTTTTTTTTAAATGGCAACTTCCCTTTAGCTTCTAAAATCGATCCCGGTATATCCTACCCGGTTCAGTTAAATAAATTATGCTAGCACCGCTAGTATTTTTAAAATTGCTCGCTTTTTAAAAACGATCAACTCAAAATTTTAGCCAAAAAATATTACGCAAGCCTAGATATTTTGCTTATAGATGGCAAAGGTTCGGTCATCAATTAGCCAAATCTCGAGGCTTACTTAATATTATTTTGTCAAAAAAATCTTAATTTAGAATCGACGAAATCGAGCCGTTTAACAACATTAAACCATGCCTTGAAATAATTTTAAACAGGAATTTACTGATTTATAATTTTCGGTATATCTTTCTCGAGTTTTTAAACTAATCAAAGTTAGTGTTGGTAAACGGCCCGATTAAAATTTTGGCCTAAATAATATTATGTAATCCTGGAGATTTTGCCTATAGTTCTCAGAAATTTCTGAACCTCTGTCAAATCTCGTGGATTACATAATATGATTTTGGTTGAAATCTTAATTGGGTCGTTTTTTAGAAATCACCCGAATTAGGCCGTTTAACAACACTACTAAAGGCTAATCATCATTTTTACTAGGAAAAATAAGTAATAATGTTCAGAAAAGAACATATTAATGGAATAATAAGTTTCATTTAGAATGTGAAAGTTTAAAAAGATGGATTTTTTTTTTTACAATTTGTCTGATTTTTTAAAATATAAATCATATAATTTAAAAAAAAAAACAGATTATTAAAGCCTTTGTTAACACAAACTCAACCATCTTTGATGATTACTTTACCAAAATTTTGGTACCCCATCGCTAGAATATTTACCACGACTGAACAAATGAGAAGGGTAAAATAAATAAAATCTTAATTTATGTTTTATTTTTTTAAAAAAAAGGGAAAAAATTGTCTATTTTGGAAACTTAATTTTTTTTAAGGATTACATGAAATTTAGTAATAATTTATGATATATTTTTTTAAAAATATCAGCATATGGAATCCCATCTTATAAACACATCTGAAGACACTTCCTATTACGGTACCACTAATATCAATACAGGCAACTTTAATAACCCGACCATTTCTAAATCGAATCCCAATGAAATCGTGATAGAGAGTGATGACCCACCTATATTGAATGTCACCAATATCATTAATTGAGCAATAATTTTTTTTTCTCACGTTTTTATAAAATTATACTCGCATTATTTTAATTAATTTGACTAAAAAATTTTTTTTAAATATATATACTTATTTGTAAAATTCTTTTTTTTGTAATATTTTAAAAACCAAAATTTTTTTTTTTCTTAAAAAAAATTAGAAAAAATATATATCCTTTATAGTTAATTTTTAAAAAAAGTTTCATGATAGTTAAAGTCTTTTAATAGAAATTATATATAATATTTTTTTATATTGATTTTGGTTATTTAATACCTTAAATAAGTAATATTTTTCCAAGAATGGGATTTATTTTTTCCCCTCGTAATTTCACAAAAATTTTTCAAGGATTATTTTTTATTTAGTGTCATTTAATTTCACTTTTTAATTGATCTAAATTAAACTTGTCATAATTATGTGATTTTTTTTAAAATATAAAAAATAAAATCAGATGTAATATTTATTAATATAGGTATTTTGATTTCCTTCTTTTATATTATTTTTTTTAAACTAAACTATATATTACTATTAATACCGACATGTTATATTTATTTTTTTAAGAAAAAATATATAAATTAATGCTTATATTTTGTTTACGTGTTTTATGACCCATGTCTCCAATATTATTCTGTTATTCTTTTTTCTAGTTCCCATTCTTAACATAATTTTATAATTGAAAGAATTCAAAAAAATACATTAAAACTCATTTGTAATATTCCTTAAGTTCTTACTCGTCCCAATTTTTTAAAAATAAAATTCTTTGTACAAAAAACTTATAATTTTAAGAAATATTATCTTTTCTCAATTTTGAATCCCTCATATATTTTATAATACAAATAATTCTACAAAGTCAATCTTTTATTAATATTTTTTCAAGATCATTTTTTTTTCGATCTATCGTCAGGGTAAATTTTCACTTTTCTTTATTCCGATAAATGAAGAGCTTTATTTTTAAAATGAAAATAACCAAAATATTAACAATAACCCATTCCTTTTCTGACTGGTTAAATATTTATAAAATTAATATATTTTCTTTGTAGTAGGATAATATATAAATGTATAAATATATATATATATATATATATATATAGTTTGTAATACTTGGTAGAAAATAAAACTAATTTTGTGTATTTGATACTTTAGTATTTAATAAAATATAATTGAGAAAGATGTTGATTTTTTAAAAATAATGATTTAATTATTAGAATGAGTTACGTCGTCATACGTCATAAAGCGCATACGCCCTCTAAACGTTGTAGGTACAACAGAGCTACGCTAGGTATTTCTCATTTCCATCTAATTGGATTAAATAAAATTTGGGAAAAAGATGAGAAGCCCTTTACACGTTTGTGGGCAAGCCGTACGTTCTTGTACGCACAATAGTCCAAGGACTATTGTTTAAACGTCTGTGGGCTGGTCTGAAAAGGGAGGACCAGTGTAAACAGCCCACACCCAAACCTACAGCCCTATAGAAATTAGAGTAAAAGGGACATGAGGAGGCTTTCTAGATAAAATTAGCATTTAAGAGGTTTATGTACAAAATATAATGAGTAAATAAGAAGTGAAACATGTGCTCATGTTGCGGGTATCTGGGTTTTTGAGGAGGGGAGAGAGTAATTGTAAAGGAGGGGATATTATTTCAGATAATTGGACTTAATCCTAAGGAGTTTATTTATGGATTTTTTATTTTTATTTAATTTGGTAAATTGTTTCCAATTTAGGTTCAGGTCTGCTACGTCTTTTAGAACTCGATGAAACCAGAGTGTCTTGTATTTGCTATATGATTTCCTTTTGCAAGTGAAAAGCCATGTGAGGGCGTCGTGGGCCAGGTTGGAATTTGGATGTCTTAGTATATGAGCCAGAAATTGGATGCGTTTTTTCTTTAGTAGAGTGTGAATGGGAGTATGTTTAGATTTTTTCCATAAGTTTTCATTGGAAATAATCTTGTATAAAAAACCCCATTTATGATCCTTAAACATTTGTTGATAAATGTTTGGCATCTCCTATTGTCGGCTTTAATAATCTCCCATGTCTCGCAACCATAGAGCAAAATTGGTATTACTATAGAATTGAATATCCTAAGTCTAGTATTGACAGATATTTCTCTGGTCTTCCATAGTTTAAAGTATTTATAAAAGGTTGTTCTGGCCTTTTGTATTCTCAACTTTAGTTCATCTTTACATCCTCCTCTATTATCTAGAGTGATTCCTAGATACTTCACTTTCGTGACTACCTTGATAACATCGGATACAATTACAATATTTTAGAAAGGGGGAGTGTGTTTTGCTGGGAGGATCATAGTCTTATTAAAATTTATCTCCAGCCCAACTCTTTGACTTGTAGATTTTAGTAGTAGAATAAGGTTTCGGGTTTCTTCTAGGTTTTTAATAATAATCACTACATCATCTGCATAGGATATGATTCTGTTTTTTAAATGATATCTGTTATACTGGGGTGAGTTTAGTTCTAGTTAGGGCTGGGAACCAATAGTAAAAACCCAATATTAACAAAATATTGTATTGGTATTGGGTCTAAAATATTGGTATTGTATTAAACAATATTTTCTATTTCTTGTATTAGTATTGCTATTGGTATTGGTTTATATTGGTAACTATAGGTTATATTGGTTTTGTTTTAAATTCAAATTACTAATTAAAAGAATAGAAATAGTGATTATAAAACCCTTAATTTCTAATTTTAAATAAACATGGGAAAAAAAATCATAATACCATAAAATCAGAGCTAAGAACCAACTCAAAATTTTACTGAATTCAAATTCTTTTTTTAAACTAGGAATTTATTAGGTGATGTGAATATAAAAAATTATGATTTAATCATGTATTTTTTGTATCAACAATAATAAAAGTATTGATTTTGATCCATTTTATTTATCACAAAGAACATAGCAAAATAAGTAAACTAAAAATGTAACATAACTGTCTATTTATACAAAATATAATGCAAAAGAATGATATAATTTTAATATAAGAAGAGGAAATATTTTTATGTATTTAAGATGAATCTTGCATGCGCATCAACTTTTTAGGCACAGGCAAGCTTGTATAGTATGCTCATCTAGTGAACAACGTTGGTCTGTTATAACATACCGTCCTTCTGAAAAAGCTCTTTCAGAGCTAGATGAGGTGGCCGGAATTGCTAGATAATCTCTGGCAATTTTTGATAATACTGGATATCTATTTTTATTTAATTTCCACCAATCTAATAGATTTGTATCATTGGAAATTGTGGCTTCATCTACGTATTTACTTATTTCTAAGTTGTTATTATTATGAGGTTTCACCTGATAAATTTTGTCATAAAAGGACAATTTTTTGTTATTTTGTGCTTCATTTGTAAGTTCCGCTGAATTGTTATTATTTATTTTATAAATATTGTATTCATTAGTAAGATATCCAATAAGAGTTTACATATTATTATGCTTTAATAAATGACTTGATAGTTTAAATCTTGGGTCAATCATTGTTGAAATTATAAATAGGTGTTTATTAAAATTATAATATTTATTAAGTTTTGTTAAGGCAGCTAAAGAAGCTGTCTTTAAAATAGCATTAGGATTATTATTATAACTCTCCACATGCTCAAAAATACTGGAATATAGAGGAATAATTGTTGAAATTGTTGGAGTATTAGCACATGAGGCCATCTCTGTAGCAAAATTAAATGGTTCCAGAAATTCTCGGTATATTTCTATATTATTCCAGGCTAAGGCACTAATATAATTTTCTTGATTGGTATTTTGTAAATGATTGGTATATGTTGTCAAATAGGGTTTGAGCAATATTGCTCATTCAAGCATTTGGTATGTTGAATTCCAACGTGTTGGTATATCCAAAATTGGATGAGGAAATTTTAAGTGTGGATATTTTTCAAGATATATTTTTTCGAGTTTATTATTAGATATAGAAAGTTTAAAAATTTTTAAAAATTTCTTATTTTTTTTAAAGTTGTATTTAAGGGTTCCAATGCAGCCATGACAGCCAAATGTATAATATGGCAAAAGCATTTGCACACATTATCAAAATTATCTTTTTGTTTTAAAATTTGTAGAAATGCTAAATTATTACTTGCATTGTCTAATGTAATGCAAAAAAAATCAATTTCAAATTTTACTTTTAATACAGAATTAAAAATATTAATAGAATTATGTGCTGATTTAAAAGGAATAAAATTTAATAAATGATTATTTAATTTAAAATCATTATCAATATTATGAATTGTTATGCCCACAAAGGGTATTTTATTTGGAGAGGACCAAATGTCCATTGTTAAGGAAAATTTAGATGTAATGTTAGAAAGTACAGATTTTAAATTGATAAAAGAACTATGATAATGTTTCATAATTTCTATTTTTAGTGTTTTTCTAGAAACTAATGTTAGTGAAGGGTTACAATAAGCTATTAAATTTTTAAAAGTGATATCCTCAACTATTGAAAAGGCTAAATTATTTTGAATTAAAAAGTTTATAATTAAATTATTTAAATTAGCTTTATTATTTATATTATTAAGTAAAAATGATTTTATTGTCTTAATTTTTTTACTGCCAATATTTATTTGCTCACATTTCTTATATAATGTTGGGTGGATGGATTTAAGATGTGTCCATAATCCTGAGGTTCCAAAATTGAGAAGTGATATTTTTTTTTTACATTTATTACAAATTGCCTTTTTTTTATTATCACAAGTAGTATAAAATTCCCAGATTTTTGCTGAATTTCGTCTTTTATTAGATATTGATAATTCTTTTTGTTCATTATCGCTATTATTATTAGTACCAACAGCATCTATATTTATTAACTCTATTTGGTCTTCATTTATTATAATATCCTAAATAAATAGATAAAATTGATAGATATCATGTAAAAAATTTACTTCCATAATAAAAATAAACTATAATTATAAATAACAGAAATATTGATATCACAGTAGTATTTGGAAGAAATAACAGATGTAATCAGTTTTTGCAATGAAAGTAAAAAAAATACCACGATATAATTATCCACGATAAACCTAAATAATTATGTTATTTTTAATATTGGTATTGGTATTGGTTAAAATTGTATTTAAACAATATATCAAAACCAATATATTTAGGTAATTGGTATTGGTATTGGTTGTAAAAGCAATACCAATATTTAAATATATATTGGTTTATATTGGTATTGGTATTGTAAACCAATATTATATTGGTATTGGTCCCACCCCTAGTTCTAGTAGATCTGCAGCATCTAGGGTATCCTTCAATATTTTGTTTATTACAATGTTAAACAGGATAGGAGAGAGAACACAGCCCTGTTTAACTCCTTTATTTATTCTAAACGGTGGGGAGGTTATATTATTAAGTCTACATGTGGTTTGCAGATTATTGTAATGGTTCCTCAGAATCCTAATTATGTTTCCGTCCACTCCAACTTTTGATAAGATTCGCCAAAGAGCATTATGATTGACATTTTCGAAGGCACGTTTAAAATCGATAAAGGTGAAAAGGAATGGTAGTTTATATCTATCGCATTTTTGAATGATGATTTTGAGGGTAAGAAAAGGCTCCATAATATTTTTACCAGGACGATACGCACAAATATATTTAGCAAAGAGGTTATGCGATGATCGTAGAATACGGGTCTTGAGTAGGACCATAAAAATCTTGAACGCCGTCGATGTAAGTGCAATAGCCCTGTAGTCACGAAAATTCGTAGGGTTTGAGATCTTGGGGAAGTTGCAAAGAGTGGAGAGATTCCAATCTTTAGGAGTCATCCCCGAAGACCATATTTTGTTGAAGATAATGAGCAAAAATCGTGGTATGGTGTCTAGTGAAGCTTTAAGTTGTTCTCCTGTAATGTTATCTGAGCCCGGGAGCTTTGTGGTTTTTTAGTTTCTTTAGAGCAGTGGTAATTTCATTAAGTGTAAATTGGGAGGTAGATTGAGAAGAAGTATATTGTTCACATGTCAACCTCACGGGTTTCCTGGATTCGAAGATGTTCATGTAGTAATCTGTCCAGAGTGCCATTTGATCATCCTGGTCGAATATAACTTTATTATTATCTAACCGGATGGATGGTAACTCTCTAAAAATTTTTGATTTACAAAAATGCTTGAGTTTGTTATAGGCGTCAAAGAGTCTGTTTCCTCGCATGTCTACATCAATCTCATATGCTTTCCTAGCAGTAAAGATTCTTCTGTCGCTTCTTAGAGATCTTTGAATGATTTTCCAAAGTTCCCTATCAAAGCAGTTACTAGAGCGAAGCTCCTCAATTTTTTGTAGGGTATTTGTGGATATCCATTCATTCCTTGCCAAGGAATTGTTAGTTACTAAGACTTTGCTTGCTTCATGAATGTCACCTTTAAACAGCATCCAGCATTCCTCCAAAGTATTGAATTTGGATATATTTACAAACCTAGTTACCTTTTCTCGAAGTTTCTGATCAAAAAGATCTCTAATTTCGGGCATTTGGAGGTTCCTAATACTTTGTCTTCTAAGACCGTTTGTTGGTTGGTGTGGGGTATAACTGGGTCCTGCTGAGACTCTCCATAGGTTCCTAATCCATATTTTGGCCTTGATCATTCTATGGTCTGATATGTTAATACTCCTCATGGCTACTACGTCCTTAAACCACCAATGAACATTCGATATGAAAAAGTCAATTTGTGATCTGTAACCCCCTCTTTTAAAGGTAAAGGTGTCCACCTCCCTATGAGAGAAAAAGGTATTTTCAATTGTAAGGTTTTTACTACTACATAGATCCAGTATTTTCCTGCTATCCTCGCAATTTGGCTGAACAATAGATGCATTACCGATGATCCCCCTTCTTATATAGCTTTCTTCCAAACCAATTCTAGTGTTTAGATCACCCATCAAAATAATGTTGTATCTTTTGGGTAAGGTATTGATAATATTTCCTAGGTCATCAAGAAAATGTAATCTATCTCTTCTCTTCGGAGGTGCATATATATTCACCAGAATAGTTGGTCTGAAATTGGTGTTAACGTATAAAAGCCCACATCTTTCCGAGATAGGTATAAATTTAACAATATAATTATATATTTTTTTGTTTATCAGGAAGCCAACACCAGACCAGCTGTTAAGAGTAGTGCCTGAACCATACAATATGAAATGGTTAAACGTGGCATAGGTGTTTCCCTGACTATGGGTTTCATGTATTGTAATTATATCAATTTTCTCATCTGTCATCATTTTTAGTAAAATAGCAAGTTTATCACGTAGACCATTTATGTTCAAAGAAGAGATAAGTAATTTTCCATTTAGTTTATGCATGGTTCAACTTAAATATATCAACTGGGTACAATGAGATTCAATATAAGGAGATTAATTAAATTATATTCAAGGATTCAAAGGGTTCTTACTATAATTGATAGTTAAGAGAAGGGGAGATCTTTCAACCTATTTTAAGAGACTAATTGTTACAATAAAATTTAAGAGTTAAATTTAAAGTTAGTATGGAGGAACAAAGTATTAAATTTGATATAAAGTTATTTCTTAAGAATAGTACTGTATAATATTCATGTTATTAAAATGTCTTCAGAAAACAAATAGTTTTCTGTTTTTAAATATTATTTAAAAATTTGCATTTTAATTTGAAGGAAAGTTCAATGAAATTCAATCTAAAGGAAAGGGAAAAGAAGAAAAAATAAAAAGAATAAAAGGGGGCTCCAGGAATAAGGAGGGAAAATAATTTAATCCACTTTCGGGCGAGTCACAGTTTCCTACACGCGTAGGTGTCCTATACGCAAGGTGGCAAAGCCATATACTTAAGCGCCCAAGGGGAATCAAAATATTACAAGTTAGAAATATTTAAATTCGTAAAAGTTCGTTGATACTAACTGAGTATTAATAAAAAAGAAAAAAATATTTAATTAAGTGATTAGAAAATTTAAATTAAGTATTTAAATTAAATATTTAAATTAGGTAATTTATATTAAGTATTTAGATCAAGTATTTAAGTATTAAAATAATTGACTAAGTAATAGGAAAGTTTAAAATTAAGTATACAAATTTAGTACTTAGGTTTACCTAACGAGTTAAAAGTATAAGTTCTCAGCGAATCATACTTTATATAATGTATGAGAGAAATAGAAAAAACAAGAATGTAAAAGTTTTATTCTAATTTAGGTCAAGAAGAATTTCAAATTTGTAAAAGTTCGTTATACCAGAAAGTATTAAAAATATTTAACTACAAGAAAAATTAAAATTAGGTATTTAAATTAAGTATCTAGAAAAATTTTTTTAACTAAGTCATACAGAATTTAAATTAAGTATATGCCTAACATTGAGTAAAAGATATAAGTTCTAGCGTTATGACGTGAAGAGATTAAAGTTAAATAGATTCACAAAATCGTATTAGAATAATTGACTAAGTAATAGGAAAATTTAAATTAAGTATACAAATTTAGCACTTAGATTTACCTATCATTTGGGTTAAAAGTATAAGTTCTCAGCGTATCATACTTTATATAATGTATGAGAGAAATAGAAAATCAAGAAAGTAAAAGTTTTATTTTAATTTAGGTCATAAAAGAACTTCAAATTTGTAAAGGTTCGTTATACTAAGAAAGTATTAAAAATATTTAACTACAAGAGAATTTAAATTAGGTATTTAAATTAAGTATCTAGAAAAAAATTTAACTAAGAAATACTGAAATTAAATTTAGTATATGCCTACCATTGAGTGAAAGATATAAGTTCTAGCGTTATGATGTAAAGAGATTAAAGTTTAATAGATTCCCATAATCGTATTAAAATAATTGACCAAGTAATAGGGAAATTTAGATTAAGTATACAAATTTAGTACTTAGATTTACCTATCAATGAGTTAAAAGTATAAGTTCTCAGCGTATCATACTCTATATAATGTATGAGAGAAATAGGAGATCAAGAATGTAGAAGTTTTATTTAGGTCATAAAAGAAATTCAAATTTGTAGAAGTTCGTTATATTAAAAAAGTATTAGAAATATTTAACTACAAGAAAATTTAAATTAAGAAACTAAGAAAATATTTATCTAAATAATACTGAATTTAAATTAGGTGTGTTATTAGAGTATTAAATTAAGTATTTACCAACATGGAGTTACAAGTTCTCAAACGTGAAGATATAACGTAATTAAAGTTAAATGAAAAGAAATTAAAGTTAAATAGAAAAATAAAGTAAGTACCAAGTAAAATTAAAATATAAGTTTTAATCAAATAATTTTATTTTTTTTTACCTCCACCGAGTTAAAAGTATGAGTTCTCAGCAATATGTTGTAAAGAAAAAATAAGGTTAAATGGAATCTCAACGTTGAAGTAAATAAATTAAAGTTAAATGGAAAAATATTTCAGTATAAGAAAAGTAAAATTTAAATAATAATTCATAAATTTTAATAAAAATAAATATGATAGAAAATTATTATTAAAAATTTGGACAAAGAAAATTTTGTTTTCCTAAGTTTTCTAAGTTTTCCAGACAGATTCATAGATCCATATTTAAAATATAAATAAACATTATTCGGAGATTCTTTGAAATACTTTGAAAAAGTATATGTAAAAATATAAAAATAATCATAAATCAAGTATATCAAAAAAATTATTTTCATAAATCTATAAATAAATGACTAGAAATATATTCAAAGTCTATAGAAAAATAAAATAAAAATAGTAGTTAAACAAAGTAAATAAAATATGATAGAAAATTATTATTAAAAATTTGGACAAAGAAAATTTTGTTTTCCTAAGTTTTCTAAGTTTTCCAGACAGATTCATAGATCCATATTTAAAATATAAATAAACATTATTCGGAGATTCTTTGAAATACTTTGAAATATATAAAGTATATATAAAAATATAAAAATAATCATAAATCAAGTATATCAAAAAAATTATTTTCATAAATCTGTAAATAAATGACTAGAAATATATTCAAAGTCTATAGAAAAATAAAATAGAAATAGTAGTTAAACAAAGTAAATAAAATATAAATAAAATACAAGTTTATCAGTTTATGAATATTTTCATAAATCTATAAAAAAAAAAATCCGAATGAGTTAATAAATACTTTTGTAACACTAACTTCCACTAAGAAAATAGAATATTCAAAAAATGGTTAGGCCGTGTCTTGGTCAGAGACCTTCATAGGGCTGGGCCGGTCCGCGGTTCATGGGCTGAGAATGAACCTATTATATTTTTAGCGGGCCTGAATTTTTGAAAATTTAAATTTAGATAACATCCTAAAAAAATATTGCTATATTTTTCTTCCAATAACAATAAATTACAGTCCAACAAATGATTGCCGAAATATAAATACACATAAATTTGAATTCTCATTAAACACAATAAATTATTGGATATGTTTTTTTATAATTAAATACAAGCCTGGGCTTAAAATTTTTTAACTTCGGGCCTGGGCGGAGTTTGATCAAAAGATTTAGTGTCTCTGGACCATATTTATCTAGTTTATAAAGTCGCCTATTTAGCCTTCTATATAGCTTCATTTAGAGAGTCTAAAGGAAAGATGCCATGTTAAAAAATAAGACGAACCAGCACATGGCTTTAGGTATTAAGAGCTAGTTAATGGTGTCACTAAGGCAGTGGCATATTTAGGATTTTCCTTAGGGGGTAATTTTTTTTTTTGGGGGGGGGGGTGTTTCGCCCTTAAACTCTCTTTAGTTGGCCGTTGGCCACTTTTCTTTTGAGCTATTCTTTTAAATTATTAATAATTCAATAATAATTATATCAATATGTTTTTATTTACTAATTAACGCTTATGGATATTTAAAGAAGAAATAAAGGTCATAACCCAATTTTTTATTATTTTAAGTTAGGTATATTATTAAAAAATCAAATATAAAATTGATATAAAGTTTAGTGACATTTTTTTTTATGAAATGGCTTTATAGCCTCAGCTTAAATTCACATACGATATAAATAAGAAATTATTTTTATTGAAAATATTAAGTGTGAGTAGGAAATAATTTATAAAACGAGTTTATAATTTCTTATCAAATACAATATTGTACAAAAAATTTATTAAATACTATAATTATAATTGATTTTTAATTTTCATGGGAAATTTGCCAATTCATCAAGAATTTCGTTTGTCGTTAGAACCAAATCTCTGTGGATATTTAACAGAGCTCACTCATTTAGCCGAGATTCGGAATTAGTATTTTGTAAATAAGTTTTTAATCTTCTCAAGTTGCAAAAGGTCCTTTCATTATGTTGTAATAGACAAATATGCAAGAATATAAAACAACTTCGAAATATTAGGAAATTGAGCCAAGGTTTCCTTACATCGATTTAGCTGAAGTAAAATAACCAAACGTAGTAAATATTTATACCACAATTCGAATCAACTGATTAAATTGATTTATCAATATCATAGGAATAAAATTTTGCTAAATATTTAATTTTACCAATAGTGGCATCTGAAAACGAAGAAGGATCTTTAGTTAATAAAATTTGAAGATTGCTAAAGTCTTTTTTATCTAAAAAATGTATTTTAATTTGCGATAAGAAAAGAATGAAATTAAAATGGATATTATATAATATTCTTCAGTTGTCAACATTTATATTACATAAATTGCTTAGGTGCTAGACGAGGTTTAATTTATATCATAAGATTTAGCTTATGATTCAACGTCAGATAAATATTATGAAAATACTTATTTAGATTAATTTTTATTTACCTGTTTAAAAACATTTTACTCCAAATCAATAATCTAAACCAAATCTAAAACTGGTTTTTGTAAATTTCTACAAAGTAGTGAGCTATAGGAAAATAATTTATTAATGCAACTTGCAGCAAAGATAAACTCTGATTGATATTGCAAAATTTTGATGAGAATAGGGGGTGGGGGGATGGGGGTAAAATTTTTATTATTTTAAAATTATATTTATGAAAACAGTCAAATTTGCGATGGGCCTCCCCTCATTGTTTACGCGCCTGCTTTAAGGATGGATAAAAGTTCTAATTTAAACACGCTTATGTTCTTATTCATGATAAAATCATATTTAAATGTCGATTACCTCCTTTAAGATGAGTTTTTTTTAAAAATCCCTTGCACGCGGTTTTAATATTTACCTTTTTTCCTAATATAAAAATTTTTATCATGCGTTCCCTTCATTTTAAAAGCTACCTCTCTTTTTTCTTCACCATAAGCATCGAGTTGCACATTATAATTACTGTGTCCGAAACCATCGCGTATGTTAATCAATTTTTTGATGACATATCTAGGCTTCTTAATATTTGTCTACTAATGAGGTCTTTCTGTTTACTCCCTCATTTTTGTTCTTCCCAAATAAAATCGCAGGCCGAATTACTACTTTTAGGCTGCATTCATAGTGGAGACGGATCCGATTTTTACATCCGTTCCGTCAAAAGTCAATCTCATTAAAAATGATATATATGTTCATAGTGCGTCCGTTCCGATACCTTACGTCTTAAAAACGGATCTGGCCAATTTTGAAGTCAAAACATTTTGAATTTTTTATCCGGCAAATCTTATAGAGCGTTATAACGCTACTTACAATTTTTTTATAGTCTATGAACATTTATATCATTTTTAATGAGTTTGACTTTTGACGGAACGGATGTAAAAACGGATCCGTCTCCACTATGAATGCAGCCTTATGGTTTATATTTTAGGGTATGATGAATTAAGAGGACCGCATATTCGGAATTTTATTTAAATTGTGAAAGCGGCCAAATTTTGGAAATAAAAATTTCTACCTAAATTATCATGGCATTTTTGTTTGCTTTAATGATTAGTCAATATCAATATATATATATAATACACATTAATGGGATTTGATCGATCACAGTTTAGCACAGAACCGCATAGAAAAATTTCATTCACCCATTTATGTTCAACAGGCTAAATTATCTATTTAGGTTAAAATGATCTTTTATATCAAATTTAAATTATTTTAAAGAATCCTTGCACAACAAGAAGATATAATAGAGAAGGTAATATTTATTATAAAATATTTTAAAGATTAAAATTATTTTAAGCTATCAAGGTCATATCTCATAAGACGCGCTGCTCAACTATCGGTTTATGCTCTTTTAAGATGTAAGGAGATTGGTAATTTCTATATTACTGTAATTTAATACATACTCTCTTGCAGGTCAAGAAAATATTAAAGCGATAACTAAATCATTTGAATCAAGGTAATATCTTTCTCATAATATTATTGTTTATATAAAATTTTAAGGAATACCCCAAAGAAGTTTTAGATGGACAAAAAACTTGTAATTATAGCAGGAGGTACTGGATTTATAGGCTCACATTTAAATCAGGCCTTACATAATAATGGATTTAAAACAAAATTAATTAGCAGATATAATAACAAAGGAAATGTTAAAAATATAACATGGGAAGAGATCAAATCAGGAGACCTCCCTAAGTGTCATGCAATTATTGGTCTTCAAGGGCAAAATATTATGGGTATAGACTTTATATTGCAAATTATTAAATGAAACTTGTTGAGAATTAACCTTTCAGTTTTTCTTATTTTTTTCATATATATATACAATATAAACAGTAGGTTGTCTTTATTATTTTAATTGATATTTCCTAAATGACTATATTTTTTTAATTTATTGTACAAAATTCTACTTTTTTTAAAAAGTAAAATTATTTGTATGACATAATTTATATTGATATTAAATTAATTTTAAGATTGAAAATTATAATAATAATATAAAAAAGTTAACATTAGGTTTAACAATAGCATATAATACATCATAATTATATGATTTTTAATATAAAATTTGCTTGTATAAAAAGATTTTACCAAGCGATGGTCAGAATCTTTTCAGAATAAATTATGGGAAAGTAGAGTCAATACAACTAGGCTCCTAAAGAATGCCATCAACAAAAGTAAATGCACCAAATTATTTGTTTCTTCTTCAGCACTTAGTTTTTATCCACCACATCCTTCCAAAATTTACGATGAAACTTTTATCCCAGATATATTTGATCAGAATTTTAAACAATTCCCTAAAGGAGAAGAAGTTCTTTTTTTAACAAAGCTTTGCCAAGAATGGGAAAGGGCAGCTATTGATGATCCTTCTCAAGTTAATATTTAATTAGTTAATTAAAAAAATATTGTTTTCATATTATTTAAGCTGTTATCTTTAAATATTTAATTCAGATTAAAATTCCTCACAATGACTTAAGAACAATCATAATCCGCACAGGTCTGTTACAATTTTATTAAAGATGTACCAATATTTCAGCTTTTTTTAAATATTGGGTATTGGCTAATATTATATAATTTTCTGATCCAATAAAATAGCATCTTAATTTTAAAAATCCACTTTCAAATTTCACAATATATTTGTTACTTATTAAGTAAATAGATTAATGTTATATATAAATAAATTATTTTAAATTTCTTAATAAATTTGTTACTTATTATGTAAATAGATTAATGTTATATAAATAATTTATTAACAAATTTTTTTTATATACCTATAGATTCATGAATATAAACTATAACAGATCATAATATATTTAAATGACTTATATTATGGTATGGTTAAATTTAGTGCTGTAAACATTTCTAAAAAAATTGAATGCGTTCAACGTTCTCATTGACAAAAATCGAATGCGTTCCTGTTCAAGTTCATGTTCAAAAAAAAGGAATGCGTTAAAAATTTTATGATAAATTTTTTTAAATTAAATTTAATATAAATAAACTTATATTTTTTAATACAATATATTTTAGCCATGTTAAAAAATTATATAGTTTTATTTTGATAATATAATTATAAATAAAATATAATATAGCGAATTAAAAGATATTTTTATTTATAAAAAATTTTTCTTATTAAATTTTAATAACAATTGGTTTCAAAATATTTATCTGATAGACAGGAACACTTGGCAGTTAATACGGCATTAGCTATACTAAAAACGCGCTCTACAGGGGCAGATGAGGGTATTGTGGTATTATACTTAATAAACAGTTCTTTTAACGTGGTGAATTAATTAAAAAAATATTGTTTTGTTATTTGCAAAAAATTGAGATAAGTTATCCTCCTCTGATCCATTCTCTACTCACGACAAAAAAAGGATATCTCGAAATTAACAGTTCTCTAGGGTTTTCATAGCATTTTTTTCAATGACGCTATAAGTTTATTTTTAATAAGTTCGTTCTGTGGAAGTTTTATCCATGGCCATTGAAGCCTGAATAGTGGATCTATAATTGCAGAAAGAACATATTGATCTTCATATATATATATATGTTCAAATCTTTAAAAAAAATAAAATATATGTAATTAATTGAGAGTAATAGGTTTAATATTTTTTATTAATCCCATCTAATACGGCGTCTATCAATGGTTGAGCATATTTGAGGCCACTAATTTTTTTTATTTTAAAATAACTTCGTTATTGTTGGGGTCAAATATCTCAAATGCATTATTTCTTCAAATTTAATGATTTAACTTAGTTATATCATATAAAATCAAATAATTAATATTAAAATCAAATGTCGTTTTAAATTGGAACCTGAAGATTTTATAATACTTTTTGGCCACATTTTACACTTAGCAAACATTGGATTAGTTCCTTCAATATAGGATGTTAATGTAAAACATTTATCATATTTGGCCATGGTAATGATAATTCATCTGAATTTGGATTTTCAGAATCAGATGATGAGGATTAAATAATAATATCCATGCTTATGCTAATAAATTAAATTAAAACAATAATATTCAAATTAATAAACTACGTGTTAAAAAAATTGAAATGTGAAAAGGAAATACACAGCCGATTAAAAAATATAAATAATACTTTTTTTAAAAAAAATTCGGAAATTAAATTTTTTAAATAAATAAAAATATAATTTTTCAAATTGAACGAACGTTAAATTCGAACGCGTTCATCATAAAAAAGGAACGCGTTCACGTTCAAAGTTCGTCAAAAATAAAGGGAACACCGTTCATAATTTTTTTCAAAAAAACGAACTTCGTTCACGAACGGGTTCGTTCACAACACTAGTTAAATTTAGATGTTTTTATAATATTAAAATGTATATGAGATGAGTAGATGTATGTAGCGATGCTTAATCACTCTAGCCAATTTTTAAAAGCGGCTAACTATATTTTTTCCAATTAAATATTGCCTGACCCTCGAGATTTCGACAACAGATGTTTAAACCTTTGTGCCATCTATGAGCAAAATCTTCAGGTTTACGTAATATTTCCTGATAAAATGGTGAGTTAGCCGTTATTAAAAATCGACCCAAATGAAACGATTTATCAGATCGGCCTCCAAAAAGTGGTATCGGTACTTAAATTTTATTAATATTCTTATATTTTGTTATATTAGCCGTTCTTTGCTTCCTGTTTGCACGTCGTTTTATTGTAAAAACTTCTATAATTAGTATTTAATCATGGTTATTTAAATTTTTTACAATCATTTTTATAATTTTTAATTAAGTTTCAAATTTTGGCACTTGTATTTCCCCCACATTCTTTCATTATACTTTATACTTTATTTTAAAAAGTTTTTATTTTTGTGGATATATATTTTGCAAAATAAAGTACTAGCGCAAACTTTATGTTTACACCCCCCCCCCTCCTCCACCCCCTATACAAGTAAAAGGCAAAATATATTTGACCCCGCCTTAATATGTAAATCTTAATAAATCTAAACTTTTCATACTAGGGTAATTCCATATCAAATCAATAACTGTTCGACTCGACCTTAAAATTTTGCATAACATCATTAGAAAGCATCGAATCCAAAATTAGCCTCTTAGTACTAATAGTTCTTGAGATATCAATGGTCAAAAGTGCCAAAAATGGCCTTTTTGGCAAAAATACGATTTCAAATAGTTAAAAAATAATGTTGCTGAAAATAAAAATTAGATGCAATTTTTTAACCCATTAAAGGCTTTTTATTAAATATTCTAGAATTTTTTAAAATACTAATGTTGCCGTTTTTATCTGCGTTATAACTTTTGAACCTGTGAGCTAAGGTGCTTTGCTCTTCGAATTTCTTTGAATTTAATATTTTATTATTTACTTATATTATATCTATTTTATATTCATTTTTCTATTTTTAAACATAAATAATAAGATTTTTCAGCATCAGTATCATGATCAGGGTTGCCATGCCTCCCCCCATCAGTGGGAGTCTCCCACAATTTTTTAGTTTACCCACATACATCTCACTCCCACAAAACTCCCACAATTAGAAATCTCCCACAATCTCCCACAATTTTTTTTTAGCATTTTAATGTTTTTAATATATAAATAATAATTTTGAGAGACAGTATTTGATTATTTTTATATTTTTAAAATAAATTTTAAATATTTATTCGAAAAATATGTCTAGTTCTTTTATTTTATTTTTCCGCTAATTTTAAATTCTCCATCCAATCCAATCCATTCGACATTTTCAAAATTTGAAGTTAGAATAGTATGGGAAACTAGTGCTTTTTTTATATTTTTATTTATATATACCATGATAGTTATCTTCTAGGTGAGATTTAGATTGTTTTGAGGTTAAAGCACTAGTTTCCAATACTGATGTTGTTTTTTGGACAATAAAATGTTATAATTAAATATATAAAAAGAAAAATTATTTTCAATATAAATTGCTTATGTACTATTATATATTAAAAAATATATTATTAATATTAGAAGTAATATTTTTAAAAATTAGCAATGAAAGTGGAACTCATCTTAGAAAATATTATTATCTTAATCATCTTTAATCTAAGCTTAAGATATCCTAAGAGGCCGATTTAATGGTTAAACAAAATTATAAAATGTCATGCCAGGATTAAATATCTTAATAACGACGGTAAACGTTTAGTTCCATTATTTAAATCTCATATAAAATATAATTAACTATAACTATTTGACTTTCTATATTTTATAAAATCTTATTTATACATTTGCATAAAATCAAATAAATTTATTTTTTACATTGTAAAATTAATATTTTGAATATTTTGGCAAATCATAAAAATAAAGAAGCATTACAATCTCCTCAAACATGACATCATATTAAATCTTATTAATAATTATCCGATAATAGTAATATTCTTACTTTGGTATTTCTGCAGCATAATTTAGTGAGCCTTTATTAAATTATATTCTTCTGATTGCAACTGCATATTAACAGCATATAGTAGATTTCCTATATGTAAAATTCCTAAATATACTTCTGCCATTTATTTTTGAAAATTATTTTCAAATAGGACAGCTTTTATAATCTATTTATTTTTTAAAGGTTTGTATTTTAAAATTCTACAATGGCGCGTATTAGGAGGAACCTGTCAACCAACATTATGCTGACTCAATTCTGTAAATACACTCTGGTTTTTGCCAAATTCACTGAGGAATTATCAGATCAGAAAGCTACCATGCAATTCATTGGTAATGCCAAATCTGCCATATTTACCATTATTTATGGTTAGCTATGTCTTTGGATATTTCATATCTGGAGAAATTTTTTTTAATAGTTTTATTAAAATGACATTAATTTTGTTGAAATAGGGGAGGATCAAGGGAAATGTTTTGATATCTCCTTATTAGATGCATCTGTTAGAATTGCATATGTTTGCACATCTTTCAAATCGTCAAGAATTGACCTTCTGGATTTATATCCTAAAACATTGTTGATAGCCTTGCTCATTTTGTGTTCTACAAAGTATTCTATTCATTTATATTAGTCGTTAAATATTATGGGGAAAGATTCTACCAACATTGAGATGTTGAGTAACTCTCTGAATGTTGTACTGCATGATAGGTATTTACCATTTCCGCAACTGTAGTTGCATCTATATTATTTCTTATTTTTGAAGAATATTTTTCTTTTGAAATAGATGTTGATAGAATGCCCTGTACTGATTTATGCTTTGAAGATTTTTGATACCTCAAAATATCATATTCCCTTCCCCCATTTATTTTTTTACATTGTAATATTACAATTTTTTATAAAATTTTATCTTGTTTACATTCTTTTGTATTTAAAAAAGATCGTTGGTTATATTTTTAAACAAAATTAATATATTATAATAAATCAATATGTTTTTTTAATAATAAAGATAGTACTCTAAGAAATTTTGTGTCGTACAGTAATTACCTATTTTGAAAAATAGTTGGGTATTTTATTTTGGAAAATAGTTAACTATTTTATTTTGGAAAATAGTTAACTATTTTATTTTGAAAAAGAGTTGGATATTTTTTTTTGAAAAATAGTTAGGCTATTTTATTTTGAAAAAGAGTTGGATATTTTATTTTGAAAAATAGTTGGCTATTTTATTTTGAAAAATAGTTGGCTATTTTATTTTGAAAAATAGTTGGCTATTTTATTTTGAAAAAAAGTTAGCTATTTTATTTTAAAAAAAGTTAGCTATTTTATTTTAAAAAAAGTTAGCTATTTTATTTTGAAAAATAATTACCTATTTTATTTTGGGAAATAGATTAGATTTTATATTTATAAAAAATAATAAGTGGATAACTAAGTCAATTCTAAATCCCGGTCCTTTGCAGGCCTTCTCCCACAATTTTTATATTTCTCCCACAAAATACCTAATTTCTCTCACAATTTGAAAATTTTGACCTGGCAACCCTGATCACGATTCATGAAACAATATTATCTAATTCACCATTGATAGGCTTACCTATTATTAATAGTTATTACTATTGATGAATTGTAAAAATTATTTGTTTTTATAATAAATGATTAAATTTCCTAAAAAGAGGGTTACGATTCCAATATCTTCTACCTACAAGAAAATATAATAATTGTTGAAGGATAAAAGCGAGTTATCAGGCACCCTGCTATTAATTTTTTATCCCCCAGAATCGGGTGCAAACGTTATGAAATTACAAATTTATCAAAAAATATCAATTGACCATTCTGCCTCATAATTGGAGCACAAATAAAATAAAAATCGGAACTCAACGCTACACATCATATGGCATATAATTCCAAAATTATCTTGGAAGAGGGGACTCTTTCAACTCCAAATCGAGAGACTTCTAAATATCTCAATCAAAAAACAGTTGATATTGTTAAAAAATTTTTATTGCAATGATGATGTTAGTGGGCTATTACCAGGGGAAAAAAATTACATACCTATCATTGAAAAGGGGGAACGAATGGACTCTCAAAAAAAATAGTTTTAATGCTAACATAACAATTGGATTTTAAAAATTTTCAGCTTAAGACCCAAAATTGTGTATTAGAATGGGCTAGTGGAACATTGTGTATGTGTTTAGCATACATCAGAATATTAAACTTATGGTTTTAGGTCATGAATTAGCAACGCGGTCTACTTATAGAGATGTTATAGGCAGAATGATTTGTAACCCTCTGCAGCGAGTGTCCTGACTCTGCGCTTTTAAAAGAATGCTGCGAAAAATTCTTTTTAACATCACTCTTTTTAGGTTTAACAACTCCATTAATCAGAATTTTATCAAAATTAAAAATGTCGGGCCTAAAAGTTATCGATTTGGTATGGAATTACCCTCTACTTTCTATTTAATAGTCCTTGATTTTTAAAATACTATTTTTTAAAAAGATAAACAATTACAATATCTTTAGAAACAAAAAATTTCCTAAAAAGAACTTATCTTTATGTGTGTTTATTTATTTTTGAAATATTTAACCATATATAGAGATCCTTTTTTTTTTGCTTTCAATTTTATGAATAAACCCCTCCATGTTTTATTTATTTCTAAAGAACGAAAAATTTCAGGATTTTTTAAAATTTTTTTTTGCTATATTATCAAAGGTCTTGTTTTGGGAAAGGACGGGTTTATGATGAAAAAAATGTTGCCGGCCTTCAAATTTTATCTGGGTAACAAAGCTATCGGTTCTGGCGAGCAATGGATGTCCTGGATACATATAAGCGATATAGTGGGTATAATGCTGAAATGCGTTATAGATATGCACCCCGATAACAACCTAAACATTATCCGAAAAAAATCGGATACAGATTTGAAAGTAGGATATTCATCCGCTAGTGACGCTGCTTTCGCTAAACCTTCAGATTCGAATTCCTCAGAATACATTTTGAAATCCAAACCGAAAAACAAATCAAATTTAAGAAGTACCGAATTATACGAGAAAAACGAAACTTCTACTGTCAATTTTGAAGAAAGAAAACCCAACACTCATCTCGATCATGCTACCTCGAATACAATTGACACCAACTTGCTAATATTCAATGGAACATCGCCTAACCCTTCCAAAAATAGGGATTTTCATGCAACCTTAGCCAATGTATTACACAAGCCATTATGGTTTCCTCCGATACCCGAATCGATTTTATCGTTGATGTTAGGTCCAGTTATGGCTCAACTTCTGACTAAAGGGCAAAAAGTTATACCGAGAAATACGATCGATATTTTGAAATACCAGTTTAAATATCCCAAACTTCGGCAGGCTTTCGAGGAAATGTGCCATAGCGAAAAATGAATTGAAATAAGAGAAAGCAATTATATAAGTTCTTAAAAAAATATATTCAAAATTGTGAAAAAAAATACTAAGATGATATATTGACTTTTACTCTTCATAATTATGTGTTTCCTAAGTTTTATTATAAATTCGCATCGCGTGACTATTTTTAGTGTATTTAAATAGGCTTGCTATAGGAGAGTTATAATTATTTCTTTTCACAATATCCAATTGATAAATCATTATAATATTTATAAAAAATTATATAATAAATTTAACGAATAGAATTTTGAAAATCTATCGGTATAATAAAAATTATATTAAAATAAATCTCGGATAAAGTTTTAAAAGATGGAATTGTGAAGTTTATTGTCAAGCAGGTATCAATAAGAATGTATATTTTGTTTTTTTTAAACCTTCCTAAGTTTTTTACATAGTCTGAAAAAAAACTCTTCTAAGATTTTTTGAAGATTTTTTTCTTCCAATATTTTGAGCAGAAAATCCTAGAGATCAAAAAATTTTATTTCTTTCTTTTTACCTACTTTCTTTCTATTCTGATGAGCCTTTTCAATCTTCTTATATAGAAATATATTAGTGTTGGGTTTAAAAAATATGACTTAGCCACACTTTCTTATTTATCTTCCTTAGATTTATCGCGTAATTCAAAATATTTTTTTTCTTTCTTCAAAAAATGCAAATGGAAGAAGATACCGAACTAACAAGGGTTTAGTTAAAATATTGGAAATTTCCCTTAATAGGTGGGTATTTATTTTAGAGATTTGTTACCAAAGCTTTTTTTTCTTCAGGAAGTAATTGCATATTTATAAGCATTTTGGATATTAAATATACCAAATTTATTGCAGAGTTTTTATAAATAAATATTAGCTTGGGTGGCTTAATAATTTCAAAGTTTCTAGTTTTTGTATCAAACTAACTCACTAGTTTCTTTACTTATCTCTGAGATGCAGTCCATCTGTTAACAAGTATTTTTTGGTCAATTAACCGATTGTTACTCTGGGACTTCGCGGGTTTCCTTGAACATGGAAAATAAAATTCAAAAATAAAATCTAAATTTATATCTTAAATTTACTTATAAACTTAAAATCGACTTAAGGATTTAGGTTTGAGATCATCGCAATAAAATATTAAATTTTATAACTTATTGTATGATTATTTTATAAATAATTTAAAGGTGCTTCAATATTTGAGCAAATATTTTATGGCCAAATTTTTGGGGCTAGCCCCACAATTTTTTTTGCAAGCGCTGTCCGTCGTGAAAAGATTGACATTGCCTTTGCAGTATCCTTCAAATAATCTACAACTCAGGGTCATGGGCGAATAGAAGTACTTGTCGAAGCTTCTTCCTACAGTTTTTACATTAAAATAAGATCATAAAAATCGGTTATAAATGAAGAGGATAATTGTACTTCAATATAGATCAAACATCCGCCCCTTGTCTTTAATATATCTTGAATGGGACTAGGACCTTTGCGTCAAGATATAAATCGGTTGTGGTTTATCATTTTTTTTTATTGACGGTTGTCTGCGCCGATTCGGTGCCGATGCGACGCACATATTTTATTAATTCAAATGTATTTTTATTTGAGAACTCTTTTTTCATTATTGGTAATAGTTCTTAAATATTTTTCGTTGTCCAACCCTATATAAAGTTATGTAATTTTTCTTATTCTCCGAAAATAGATTGATGACAAAATAATTTTAAAAAAATTTCTTTTTCTTTTATTAGTTTTAATAATAAAACACATTTATAACTATCTTATATTTTAGCTGTGATATATTTCGAGTGAAATATGAATATCGAATTTAGCTAAATGGCGAACAATGATATTTTTTTTGTGGCTAAGAATGAATCCAAGGATAGACTAAAATTCTTTTACTAGTGCAGTTGCAGTTATGCAAAGAATTTTTTTTCTAGCTAAATAAGTTAAGAGAAGCCGCCAACAGAGTTAAACCCTTCTCGGTAGGTAGAATTACAGTGTCAATTTCTATATGTATTTTCTCAAATCTTGGCCATATATTTTTTAACGGATGTAGTACAATACAGATACCTTAGCAATACTTTTGAGAAAAGTGAAAAATTACATTAAAGTATTAAATCATAGAAATATCTCCATTTTTATCATAATCAATAAGTTTTAGCTGCTTAATTAATGGCGTGGCAAAATTTGTTACATATAAAATCTTGGAACATGTTCATTTATATAATAGTTTAAAATTAAAATAAATTACTATGAAAATAAAATTGGGTTATCAGATTTTTTCTTAATCTTTTTTTCGCCAATTTTAAGCAAGGTTCATAAGATATACAATCTTACATTCTGAATTGAATAGCTTGAATACAAAAATATGATACATTTGGCCGAGAATTCGCGATAACTATGAATTCAGGTATGGTAATTTTCATTCTTTAAAATAAGTTTACGGTCTCCACACACTTGACTTGTTATATTATTTTATTAGAGAGCGTTATTATTTAGTAGTTATAAACAGTGTGTTCCAATCTACTAGGGGCCATTCAAGTTTGTCGTATGAATTATTCGAAATTAAACGGAGATGAATAGCCTAGACATCAAATAAAAATCATATTTAATTTTCGTATTCTAAATATAGAAAATGAGAATTTAATATAAAAATGAATGTTGCAATAAACTATTTATAGCATTTTAAAATTGTTTCACGCCTTTTTGTTAAAAATGGGCAGAGAACACAGCGAGGCTCAACTCAATCGGCGGTCATTTCGGTGTGAGCTAATGTACAGGTCTAGATGGGGCACTTTTAAAAGACGCTTCCAGACCCGATCCTATCATAATTTTTCCGCCACATTGCTATGTCTATGTATTAGAATTTTTTTTCTTGGATAAAAGGGTTCCGTTTTCTGTTAATATATATTTTTAAAGTGTTTTCAGTTCCTGAAAATGTTTAAAAGATTTCTACTTCTGGTTCTTAAATTTTACACAGTTTTTCTGGTTTCAAAACTTTGTTTAATCAAAACATAAAATTTAAAAAAAATAAATATAGTTCCACACAATATTTTAAAAATATATATTAATTACTAGCACTTTTGTTAGAACTGACTGAAAATTTTGGTATCACGTCAATTTAGTGAGGAAAATTCGGTGCAGTATGGGTTCTTATAAATTTTAAAAGAGGGCTTTTAGAATCTAGTTTCTTAAATTTGTCTTTTGAAGAACAAATCAATTAATTTTAATTTTGCTTAAAAATATATTAAATAAGGATAGTAGATGATTTTTTATGATAATTATGTAAAAATATTTAGTTTTAAATTCTATGATTTGGGGGCTTGTAAAAAGTTTTATTTATGTAAGGTGATCAACTTATTCTTTTCCATTCAAAAAGTACACAAAGACACTATTTTTTAAAAAAATTGATAAATGATGATTGGAAAAAGGATGTTAGGAAATAAATTTTATTTTTTAAAATATATTATTCGACACTTTAAAGTATGGCTGGACCCAGGACGAGATTCCCATCGACGCGTTATATTTTGTGGAACAGAACGGACGTTTAGCCTTTACTTATATTAATACTCATTTAATTATATTTGAAAAATGAGTAAAAGATTTTAAGTTAAAGTAACTGGTTTTTAATAAAATACGCCTATTGTCAATCACTCGCTTTATAGGGATTTTTTAACAGTACAGAATTATCTATGATCTAAAAAATATATCACAAGCTATTAACCAGGAAATCTATATAAAATGAAAAGTTTTACTCCTCTTTTCCCGGGTGATTGAGTACACGTGGCAGCTTTCTCTACATTCGCTTAAACTGTCATACAAATTAGTCAAAGTCACGCATCGATAACTCCTGTATTCGAATGTTTCGCATCTTCCTGTAAGGGGATCATATGATCTCTGCAAAAATATCGAGGAAGTCTCTTTCGATATCGCCCACACTAGATAATTAAACGCAAGATAAATAACAGTATAAAAGCTGATAGCATCTCTTTCCATGTCCAGTTCTATCTATGATTTTTTATAATTTTATGTTTGAGCCTAACAATTATTATTAGAAATGTCCAGGCCAACTTCATATAGAGTATATAAGTATGATCCGAAAAAATGGACAAATTTTCCGACTGTAAGATGAAGCTTTAATTTGAATAATTTTAAAATAAAAGTTCGGAACGTGACCAAGTCTGAGAGAATCTATCTGTCATTGGACTCGATGTTCGTACAGAGCTCTACCTAAAACTTTGAAGCAATAATATGAATATAATAGAAGCGGCATGATATAAATAGCATAATTATAGGAGATAGTCCTAGTTCATTTCCTTTTTTTAAACATTTATAATGCTTGTAGAAACGACAAATTTAAAAGATAAGCAACAAACTGCCGCTACTCTATACGTTGAAATTGGAGAAATTTTTTTAATATTATCAGTGGTTGAACGCTAACTATACATTTTGCTATAATTATTATTTAGATGATTTTTAAAAATAACTTTAAATGGAATAAAAATAACTTATGTAAGTTTCCTAATTTATGTTAGAATTAGTGATAATTTAATATTATATTATGTATGGTTACAAAAATTTTAAGAAAACATAAATCAGCTGTTAAATGAGCAAAAAATAGATGATATAGAACTGCCTCTTAAAAAGGAAGTAAAAGGCTTTGTTGTTTTGCTTTAAAGGGGTTTATGCTGATGTCATAACTACGTGAAAATAAAGAGATTAAGATGGTTATTTTTAAAAGGGTTGATTTAAAAAAAATTGATACTTACATAGAAGTAAAATGGAGAACATTTTGATGTAAAATGACCCGCGATATTTCGAAATATCTAGAATAAGAATGAATTAAAATATTCTATAATGATTACAAAATAAAATACTAAATGTTTGTAATAGAGGTTCCTTTTTTTCTTTTCAAAATTATTGTTATATTTTTTTCATATCGTTCCAATGTAACGATAAAAATGTGATTAGCATTACATAGTGCTAATAATTATTTTTGACAATATCTCGTCACTAGTTTAATATAATATAAATTTTAGCATATTAATTAAAAAATATTCAATCGAAAAATAAATGGAGCCTAAATTAAAGGTATATAAGCCTGTATTCACTGTTAGCACCAATTCGCGGCGAGATAACCCTTCATTCCAAACTCATCGTATTTTGTGTAATCAACGAATGAGGGTGGGTAATAAAGATTAGATAATAAATAATTAAGAAATTCTATGAGGACTTGTCAAAGTCATATTTCGATGTTAATGGTTAAATAAATTTAAATAGTTATTCTTATCCATCAACGGAGAATATGAAACTAATTTTATGCAAATATATGGTGATAGAAGGAGCAATGTCCTAATATAGTAGCACTAACTTAGTTTAAATCGCGAAAAGGCAAAATGTTTGAGGATGGCGACAAGGGGAGAACAACATAAATGAATCAGAAATTGAAGAATATCAAAGCCAATCGACAGATTTAAATATCATGGTTATGTGATACAAAATAATGGGGGTTAATAGATAAAAAATAAAGAAAGATAGGATTTATAAGATTACAAATGGTGAGATCTTTCGAATATTGTGGTGATGCATACTGGAACTGCAAATTCTAACTATTCATGACCGAGCCTGTCCCAAAATTTTTAATTGAAAATTATAAATGTAATAGTATTTTTTATTAAGGTTATATGAAATTAATTGTTGTCCTTATCTCAGTCTAATTTGATTTTTATTTATTTATTTTTTTTAATTTTCAGAGTTATGAACCAAACTTGGCTTTTTTGATTTTTTGATTTTTGCAATTTTAATAATATTAAATGGCACTTAATAGATCAGTCTGCAAGCTTGGATCATAATATTTTAAAAATATGGGCTGGTCTAAAAAAGAAAAATACAGAGACTATATTTTTCTCACCAAGCCGATATTTAAAAAAAATTATTTTTGACCTCATATCTGAATTTTTTTTTAAATATAATATAATTATTTACACTATCAGAAATTTGGATTTGAAAAAATATTCGAGAATTATCAAATTATACCTTTTATCTATACCAGAACTCTGCTTATTAGGGTAAATTTTTACAACCCCCCCTTCAAATTTTGCCTTTTGGGTCATTTTCATACACCTACACTTAGAAGTGAATGACATAAAAAAAATATATATTATAAATTACCCTTACTATTGCATAAACTATCCTTGATAAGATGATTAATATTACCTTATTTAGTCATTAAATTCTTTATATTTTCTATTCACCCTAAGTACCATTGACAGCGAAATTCCTGAATCCGATTTCAATTATTTATTCCAAAAAAAAATAATTAAAAACAATATGTTCATTAATAAAAAAAGTTGCAAGGAAATTATTAATGATCCCGGAAGTTCCTGTATTTAGAAGTTCTGGAATGTTCAAAGAAAAAAATATCTAACTTAATATATTTTTTCTCATCAATCTCTATTTGACCATTAATATGAATTCAATTATCACATTGAAGCAATTAAAGATAAATTTAATTTTTTCCAAATTTATTTTCTCTTAATTTAACAGTATTAAACAATAATATTATTATAATAAATTTATTAATCTACATATTAATTAATATAAATTTTTAAATAATTATTAAGAGAACTAAGCAATATAGTGAAATAAAAATTTATCCATTTCCATATAACAATTTTAATATATTTTAGGAACGTTCTACAGTTCCAGAAAAGTTTTGGTTCCATTCTCGTTCCATAAATTTACTTAAAGCTAGGTTCTAGGAAACGATCTGTTCCAGATCACTCATTTTTTAATAATAATTCCAAACCTTAAAAAATGTTTTCTCCATTTATTTAAATAGTATTTTTTTGTTGCAATTATTTCTTTTTAATAGTACATATTTATTATTTTTTCCATAGTTTTTTTTTTATTTTGAACTTTTTTCTTCCGGCAATTATCTTTTTTTCTTTAAGATCTCTTTTATCGCAGTTTATTTTTCCGGAAGGTTTTTCCCCCTTTTGTCTACAGGAATTTTTTTTCCTTTTACCATCAAACATATGTTTAGGACAGATCTGATTCTAGAAAAAATTAAGGGGAGTATCCAATATTTCAGATAGAGCGGAAAAATTTTGAAAGCAGAACGATAATAACAATATTTGTTCTTGCATCATTAGGGGACAACATAATAATTTAAAATTTAGTCGAGGTCCGAGTCAGAGGGTCCTGCCCGAAACAAATGTCGTAACAATGACACTGATTCGACCGAGTCTGCGAGAATGTCTATCGGAAGCACTCGAACCGGTCGAATAAGACCCTGATCAATCCATATCTATTATTCTTTATTTAATGTGGCTATAAACCTTCAAAAATTAATAATCAATTTTTAAAAAAATATACGACCCTGATCATGATCAATGATTATACCATTTGAAATAATAATAAAAAAATTAAAATAAAACATAGGTAATAACGGCAAACCAAACTGATTAAAACTCTAATCTAGTAGTATAATAATAATAGCGTAATACTTTTGATATAATGATAAAGTATATACTATTTAAAATTCGTTAAGTTGATTCAAATATTGTAAATTTATCTATAAATTAAAAATAAGACGTAAAAAAATAGCATAGCTAATTAAAACTTTAATCAAGCAACAAGTGATAATTATAGCCATATAAACAATTCTTTAGATATGGTAAATAGAGTGTACTTTAAAATTCTTTAAGTTTGTTTCAAATATTGTAAATATATATAAAAATATCTAAATCTTAATAATGCAAATATAATATTGAGAGATAAGATTTTTATATAAAAATACGAAAAATTACTTATGAATTAAATCATATTACTAACTTTTTTTCTAAAAATTAATCTTATAATATGAACTACAAATGTCTAACATACTTTTGTCTAATATGCTTGATTACAATTGGTAAATTTATTATTAATATAATATATTGTAGATGATTAAATTTTCTTCTTTAGATTTGCACCAACATTACTCAGGGGTCTCCATATCATGCAATGCCCTTAACAGAATCAATCGTATATATATTTTTTTTTGATGAATGAAGGTTTTATTTTGTTTTAAAAACGATTACAATATTATCTGTCTCTTTATTTGTAAATATCTATTACCCACTGGGCAAAACTATTTAAAAAAAAATATTTAATAGTCTTTAAGTCATTTTTTAGAGCCTCCTCCCCCTTTTTTTGTCATTTATGGCTATAGAGCTCATTTACTCATGTATAATGCATTAAGATATGAATATATCAATTTTGTATATAGAGCATTTTTTTAGTATCTTTTTTATTCTCATATTTGGTCATTTTATTGTGGTTTTTCCTTCACACACAAATTCCTTTTAAAATGATTGTAATTGGTAGTAATTCTTCCAATATTTTCATATATTCCTACAATTTTGCATTAACAAATAAAATAAGTATTTTATTAAAATATTTTATTCTAATCCTCTAATTATTTTAATAATTTCAATATTAATACTTTATCAATTTTTTGTTTTATCCCCATTTTTGATATAAAAGAGGTGATTAATTTAACCCGTAACCCGATATTCTTAGAAATACGAATGAACAATAGAACTGATCCGATAAGATATTTGAAGAATTGGTAGATAATATAAGCATAAAAATATGGCCATTATTAGTATTAATTTCTTAAACTAAATTTTCACTTTATACTCAATAATTGCTTTGATAAAATTTTTTTTTTATATATATACTACTTATTTATGCTAAAAGCGATATGTCGGCTACCGAAAAGTCCTGGGTCAGGTCCACTTAAATTGAAAAGATGGTATCATAATCAAAATCAAAAAAGATGTATTGCCTTTACTTTCTGTGGTCGCGGAGGCAATAAAAATAATTTTCCCACCTTAATAAGCTGTCAAAAGGCATGTCCGAGATAAATTTTCATAGCTCACACTCTTTTCATGATTATTTTTCGATACTCTCGCTATATATATTTCGCATTCAGAATTCAATTTAGCTTTTAATTATTTATTTTATATTATATTAAACAATTTATGATTATGATTTAACATATTCTTATATGTAATCTCTAATTTTAATAAAAAAAAAATTATTAACATTGTTTATAGCCTTCTCATCATGTTTGCCATTTCATTTAAGTAATTTATTTAAATTAATTTATTGTAGATAACTAAATATGAATAATTCTAAAAGTAGGAGACCGATTTTCAAAGCCAAACTAAATCATGGGTCTCACAAAATCTCATTGTTATAAAATTAAGTTTTTTAGATGTATTTTGAAAGCAGTAACACTCATGGATAAGATGGGAGATAGGGGTGTCACTAGCCTTTACAATTTCACGGGGATCAAAAATTAATTTTAAAATTATTTTCAAAATTACCTACATTTTTTTTTAGCTAACATTATCAAAATTATATTGAGTATAAAAAAAATAAATTCATAATTTTGAAGGGGTTCTTCAAATTTTTTCGGGGGCTCGATCCCCTGAGCCCCTTGGTGGCGCTACTGATGGGAGGGACTAAACGGTCAGAAATTCCTAAAATAAAAATTAGTATACCCGTAATTTATTTTTAGCAACCATAAAGTTATTAAAGTATTTATTTATGTAAATTCAAAGTTTGCATCAACCATTTTTTATCACTTATTATAGCAAAACAAAGAAATCTTTTTTTAAAAAAAAAAAATTTTTTTTTGCTAGCTACCCTATAACTAAAAAAAAGAAGTTTTCAAGGACCTGATAACAATAAATAAATATATTAATATTCGAATAATAAGGTTGAAAATTTTCTTCATTCCACAAGCCTTGAACTATTATATCATATGTAAAAACCCACCCGAACCAGGAAGCCGGTTTTTAAGACCAAAACCAACCAAATATCCAAAGTAGAAATTTGCATTATTCTTCAGGAGGTGGGGGGGGGGGTGGATTTCTTGGATATGGGCATCACTGCATCGATTAAAATTTTTGGACCAGCTTGGACTTTTTATTTGCCTCGAAAAGCCGCACCCGAAATAAAGAAATTTGTTTTCTCCCGGCTCCAGCCCGAATTTATTTAAATAGAGAAAAATTTGATTTTGCCGGGGCTGGGAGAAAACCGGCTATATTTATTCTTAATTCAAAATAGAGATAAACCTTCAAAGATTAAAATGAATTTTTTAAAAAAAATGACCCTGATCCATAATTAAATTCGTTTAGCATGTTTCAAATATTTTTTTTAACACCTATAAATATCTATAACTTTGAAAAAATTATTTAATCTAAAAAATAACGCTAATATATAATAATAAATAATAAAATTTTATATATTAATTATGAGTTATTATAAAAATTAATTAATGCTTTATTTAATTCTTTTTCTTCTGAAATCTTTCTCATAATATGAAATACAAATATATAATATACATTTGTCTAATTTGTCTTATCACCATTGGTAAATTAATTATTAATATATATTGTTGAAATAATTAACATTTCTACTTAGATGTGCACCAATATTACTCAGGAGCCTCCGTATCAAGCAATTCAGCCAACAGAATTAATCGTACTTGATAATAAATTTATTAAATAATATATATTTTCCATTTTTTTTTGTCATTTATGGCTATGTTTATTTACTTTACGTGGGCATTAATGTACTTAGATATGATTATCTACCTTCCGGATGTATTTAGTTCCCTTTTCCTCTCTCATATTCAGTCATTTTATTGGAGTTTTTTTTTCTCATAAATTGTCAAAAATATTTTTGTATGATTGTATTGTAAGTTTGTAAAATAGCAATTTCAATATTTTAAATATTTTTATTTTCTATTTGCCTATATTTTTATATTAACTAAAAGTATATATATATATATATTAGAGTCAAATGTGTTTTTTCCGGGAATGTATTATTTTTCAACTCTAAGTCATTTTGTGAGCGATTTTTACCGAAAATGTATTCCATCATGTTTGGAATACCATATGAATTTCAAACAATTTTTACATAAACTTTTATACTTAATATAATTTTATCAGATTTTTCATATATTTTTTATACTTAATATAATTTTATCAGATTTTCCATATATATTTTTATATAAATTATAAATGACTCAAAGGATAACGGCAAAATTGTCTACAATTCATAAGATAGGTATTCCAAACATCATAGAATGCATTTCGTAAAATCCAATCTTTTTAAATTTAAAAAAACGCGCTCAAAAAATGATTTATTGAAAATAACACATTGACTGAAGTAACATTTTGACTCTAACATATATCATATCCCTGCAGAGGTACCATTTGCAAGGCTCGGCCCGTCCAGGATTTATTTTCCAAAAATATTTTTCGGACCGGCCCGGGTTTTATAACCTCTGTAGGTTTCTGATATATATATATATTATACAATCAAACCTGTCTAATTTGTGTAATCAAAACTTATTACTACTATCTGTTAAATTCTTAATTTAGCAAAAAGTGAGATTATATTTAACCATTTTCAAATAATCATTTTATTCATCAATGTCATGAGTAAAATCGATTTGTCTAACTATGATCGAAAATTCTTACACTTTTATGATTGGCTTATTTAATAGCAGTAAATTAAGATTATATCTTAAATATTGTTAAAAATTATTTAGAATTATCTGATATATAAATACATATATCGAATATTTACTCGAATATAAATAAATTCATATTAATAAATTTTTATGAATAATGATATCCACCATTTTGACCGAAAATGGACCTAAATACGATCAAAGGAAACCCTCGTAAAATAAGATTCTATAACATTATTATAAAATGTTTGCATACAAAATAAGAATAAAAATTTATTAAATAATTTGCTTATTTATTTGGTGAAATATGTTTAATTTGATTGATAATGTCTTCTTTGGATTTACGAATATTTTGAACAATTCCTTTAGAAAATATTTTAGCACATTCTTTTTGAGCATGATGATTTAAAAAGTAATAATCTAAATTTTTAATGATAACTCGTTATGTTTGTTTTCTTTATTAATTTTGTTTTGACATCAGGGGCGTCACCAATCTTTCAAGGAGTTCAAAAAAGTTTTATTGCCTATTTTGTTTTAGCTAACCTTATCCAAAATTATATTTGGTATTAAAAAAAATTTCAAAATTTTGAGAGGGCTCTTCAAATTTTTCAGGAGGTTTGAGACCCTGCGCCCCTCCCCCAGTTACGTTACTGTTTGATATGAATAGTTTTAAAAGGATAAAAATTTTATAATATTAATGAATGAATGACACAAAAAACAACGAATTCCAATTTTTTAGAGGTCTTACACAAATGGATAATAAATATATTAAAAAAACCTTTCCACTTTTCAAAAGTTATTCAAGGCATTTTATTAGAGGGGACAATGGAAAATTTTATTGGGGTTCAAACTTATTGGTCAAATTAGTGAGTTCTCCTAATTATCAAGAGCCTAAATTTGACAGATTTGATTGTATATTATTGAAATATTTATAATCATTTATATTATACTTAGTAATTATTCTAAACTCTAAATTTTAATTTTAAGAGAAAATAATTATATCGTACATAATTCAATGTTAACATTGTATCAATTTTTTACTGCAATTTTGATATGGAGACCTCAATTTAACCCGTTAGCCGATAGTCTTAAAAATATTAATTATGGAACCGAGTCGATAAGGTATTTAAAGAATCGATACATAATATATGTATATAACAAAATGAGGCCATAAGTTACCTTAAAAGGCTGTGATCTAAAAATCGAAAAAAAAAAAATTAAATTTCATAACTTTATAATGAAAAATGGAAATAAACTTATTTTTAATGAAAAATAAAATATGGTCTAAATCATTATTTCGAATTTACGAAATTTTATATATTTTTTAAAGATAGAGAAATTAAATTTGTGATTTTGAGAAGAAATAAGCGGTATTAATCTATATCTTTCAAATTATAATATGAAATAGGCAGTTTAAGGGAAATATTTAAATATAGGAAGTATAAAAATTTGGTAGGAATTTTAAATTTACAAATTTACAAATTTACAAAACTTTAAGAAAAAATTTTAATGGAAGATTTTATACATGCTTCATAATTTTATAAATATACGAAGTTTATAATTTTTTGAGGTATTTTAAATTATAAGTCATAGGTTAAACTTTAATTTATTCAATATTTGTTTTAATAAGAATTTTATTTATATACTAAATTTATGCTAAAAGCGATATGTCTATTAACGAAAGTTCCAGGGCCTGGTTTACTTAGCTTAAGAAGATGGTATTATAGTAAAGATGATAAAAAGTGTCTTCCCTTTACTTACGGTGGTCGCAGAGGAAGTAAAAATAACTATTTTTCCTTGAAAATTTGTCAAAAAGTCTGTCGGAAATCTTCATAATGTTCACGATTTTTCCAATTTTTTTTGTTATATATCGTATTTGCAATTCTATTCGATTTTTTTAATATTTATAATCACAAAACTTATTATAATAAACAACAAAAAATTATGATTTCACATATTCTTACATGTAAATTCTTATCAATGAATACTAACATTGTTTAGTACGCCCTTCCCATCATGATCGCAATTTAAAAAATTTATAACATATTGTAATGTTTATAATTTTCGGAAAATATCCGGATATAGTTACAGATGCATTTTAAGATTTTTAATCTAAAATACAAAATACTTAGCAAATATTTTAATATGATATAAGATACTTGTAACTTATTTAAGAAATTTGTGTAAGATACAAAATAATTTTTTTTTGAAAACTTTAAGTACTAGTATAATAGACCAAATATCTGCAGTAGCGCAAATATATGTCTGGGATACTGATTTAAATTATCAGTTTCATAATTAAAGCCTTCATCAATTTTTCTTTGAAAAGATCTTCGAGAATTATTTTGTAGCTCAATTTTTAAAAGCGGCCTAATTAAAATTTCAGCAAAAATAATATTATGTAAGCCTCGAGATTAGGCAGATAAGTTAACCTATTTGCCATCAATTAAAAAATCTCTAGGCTTAGATAATATTATTTTGCCAAAATCTTACTTGGACCCTTTTGTAAGATAATAGTTATAATAAATTGATAAGCAAAAGATAAGGATTAGAGAAAACTATTGAATTAAATTTACCTTCCATCATTTTTACAAATTCTTCTTCTTCAACTATAGATAATGGATGCTAGTATTATTAAAAAGCCTAATTCGGGTCGATTTTAAACGCCTCAAATTAAGATTATGACAAAAATAGCATTTTGTATAAGCATCATAGCTGGCAGAAATGATTGGGCATCTATTTGCCAAATCTTGATGCTTTTGAAAAATCGATTGAAATCTAACTTTTTAACACTAATGGATGAATTTCTTTAACTTTATACGAAGTTAAAAGATTATTAAATTTTTCCTGAGGTATTTTATAATTAAAGCCTTTAGGGTTTTTTGAGTTAATGTTATTGAAGTTTTCAAAATTTTTTTTTTGTTTTTCTGTTTCTTCAATACTTTATGATGATTCATATAATTTTTATATTCTAGATGACGTCTCTATCAGTGAAACAAAAATTATTTTATTTTTAATATACTTCAATTTAGATGATTTTTAATTTACTCTTAGAAAATTTTCAGTGTAGTGTCATTTACCGAAAGGTACTAACAGTACCATGTAGCGTCTTTTTCAGAAGATGGTATTACGATTAGGAAACAAGAAAAAGTACTAGTGATTTATTTATATTGATTGCCAATGAAATGCGAATAATTTTCTTAAAAGAGGAGATGTGAAAGATCAATTTTCTGAGACCAATTTTCTGATTTTTTTTAAAGAACTCCTTAAGCATGATCTATTATAAAAATTTGATTGAAAATTAATCCATATTTTTTTATATTATTCAACGAAAAAAATCTAAATTATATTTTTAGAAAATATATGGACACTATTAGCAACACATAAAATTTATAAATAAATTATATATATATAATTCAAAGTATAGGATTACGATTTATTATAAAAAATATATAAAGGCACATAGAGTGGTGTGGTTCCAAGAAGTATCCTTTTAACCTTTGCTTCTTTATCCGGCATTAGTTTAAAAAATATTACCTAATAAATATTATGCTCTGATAAATTATTCTTCCTAAGAAAAATTATTTATAATGTAAAAAGAGGGGAAATCTTAAAATTTTTAGCCTAACTCAACGAAGATAATTTAAATTGATATTGGACCTATCTTATATACTATTACTATTATATATTATACACTACTAATATAATTTGTAAAGCATTTCCATATATTTGTAACAACTTACTCATAAGATTGTTTGACATGTTGTAATTATTGTAAAAATAACATATTGTATTATGAACAATTTAAAAAATAATAATTAATGTAATTTAATCAATTTTTTAAATACGAATAACATAACAAATTATTCGATTCAAAAAATTTGGAACTGATTACGAATAATAATAAAATAATTATTTGGCGAATAATAAATTTAAATTCTTTACGAAAAATAAATTATATTAAATTATTCGATTCAAGATTTATGAATCGCGAATATTTTATTATTCGAATCAATTCTTTGTAGATGTGTACCTTAGAGTAGCAAACCTTAGGCTTCTCAGGTTTTAGTTAAACAAAACTTATCTTCATTTAACAATGATGCAAGATAGATTAAATAACTTGGTAATATGTTCCAATGATTATGAGTTCTTTAGATCATTAGGTATTGAAAAACTATAAAACATTATAATTATGTAAATATGGTGAATACTTAATTTTTTTTTAAATAAAATTTAGATGTCTATATCTCGATATGTAAAATTCAATAAGTGACATTCAGGATTGCCAGATGGTTTTCCTTCAAAAATATATTTTTATTTAGTAAAAAGACTTTGATAAATTAGTAAGTACTAATCAGGCATTACATAAGGATCCTTCAAAATTTGTTATCGCTAAGTCGACACATCTAATATTAAGGAAAAATATTTTTCCTTAATTTTTTTAACGATTATTCTCGTATCAAAGTTAATAATTTTATTTTGAATTCGATTCCAAGGTAATGATTATGAATTTCACTCTTCTTAATTCGACGGATGTGGTTATAATTTCGATAATAAATGATTTAATCTATAAAATTTATATTTTTTTGACGGTAGAGTTTTCTATGCTTCCTCGAAAAGGTAAATTTCGGCTAAAAAGAGAATGATTGCTATGATCCTATCCAAAACTGCAAGCCATGTTGTTCATGTTTTTTTAATCAATTATTTGATTTTTGCCACGATATTTTAGCTCAATTTATTGGTGCAGACTATCAACATGTTTATGAAAGTATTCATGATCCTTTACTCGATCTCAAAAATGTTTCCAGTTATCATAGGTAGTGTTGTTAAACTGCTTGATTTGAGCCGATATTTAAAAACGGCTAACTCAATATTTTAGCCAAAAAAATATTGTCTAAGCCTCGAGATTTAATCAAAAGATCAAACCCACCTATGAGCAAAATCTTAAGGCTTGTATAATATTTCTCCCAATAAAATCTTGAGTTAGCCATTTTTAAAAATCGGCTCAAAATGAGCCGTTTAACAACACTAATTATGGCCAACGATTAAAAAATTTATTTGTCATATTTAAAAAAAAGTTTACAACAAATATTTCTTTATCGAGTACATTAGTCAACGACTATAGACTAGTTGATTATTGGAAAGTTTTTGCTTATGAATGAAGCAGAAAATTTTTGGTTTAGTGGAAAATTAGAATTCTCTATTGTTGTGCCTTTTTTCTACTAAAACATTAGCAGATTATCAGCATACCACAATGGCCCTTCACCTGTATCGTCTACAGTTTGTTTTAAAATATTTTGAAGAACTATTGTTAACTATATTGTAATCTTCTCTGGATTCTCCTACATCATTAGAGAGAAAAATATGTGAACCAGCGATCTCTGCGGGATCAAGAAACGTTTCGAATCTAAATCTTAATTAAAATAATAACTCAATCTAGATTAAAGCAATTTAAAGTGTACCCATCCAACATCTTTCTTTCTTTTTATTTTTTTTAAAATTTATATGCTGTTTTAATTTTGTTTATTTCATAAAAATATATTAACTATAATTTAAAATATTGGCAATCTTTACATTTTAATTTTGTTGTAAAGGTGAAATCATATATTTATCATTTTGATAACAAAGGTTATATATCATATATTTTCCTCCTTTTAAAACATAACCCATAAAGAATTTCCGAGCAGTCAAAAATGAAATTCAATGTAAGATTTCTTGTTTATCTGATTGGTATTATAGGTATATTAAATATATTAAAGCATGTGTAAAAAATATTAAACAAATATTTTTAAATAGCCCCAATATCGTGTCAAATGGTATCCATGGTTTGGCCACTTAGTACTAAACCTATAAGTAAAATCATAAATAAAAGTCACAATTTACTTTAAATGATGGACTTTCTAATTTTATTTCATATTTCAAGTTTAAAAAATAATTTGTTTGTTTTATATTTAGTATATCTATATTTATTTTTTTTATATTGATCATCATCTTAAATATTTTCAGTGTTTTTATCGAATATGTGATTAAATAAATATTTTTCATTACTCTAAATTGAATAGCAATCTTAAAATCCTTTATCGTAGCCTATTTATTTGATCAAAAGAGTTAACTATTCAAGGTTTATTGTGACGAATTAATAATCGTATTAAAAATATAAAAATTCAAAGTTTGTATCGACTTTCTTGTTTGAAATTTCCCAATCTATTACTAGCTTTAATTTCTTTATAAATTTTGAATAAAAATAACTATACTTCCATTATGATTAAATTTTCAATAATTAATAATTGTAGTTTTTTCAAAGTTCAACTCCTTTTTTGACAGTCTAATTTATAATTTTTCTTCAATACATTAAATTCCGAAGATTTTTAATTCACTCACTCTTCTCCCATCGTAAAATATTAGCTCTTTCCAAACGCCAAAATCATTATTCCTTTAGCGTTTTAATAAAATTATGCTGTAAGCTCAGCCAGACTGTCAAATAAGTCATTAACATATTAACTTTCAAATATATATATACAGATGAGTTTTATATTATGTTATATTATAACTGTATTTGCCCCAGTGAAGAACATTAGTTAGATATAAGAAATAAAAATTTGTAAAAGCAATGGAAATTCAGAAAATTTCGAATTTAAAAAGGCATATAAAGTAGATTAATTATCGTTTTATACTATATATAAGATAATATATAAACGATTAAATCTAAATGGTGAAATGTTTTTGCTTCTATAATTTTGTAGAATCATAATTAGCATTTAGGCTGTGAACATTAATGATATGAAAGCATTTTGATAAAAGCCTCTAAAATAAAACCCTTTATATGATTCTCCATAATTTCTGGAGCTTCCCATCATTATAAAAAAGAATAAATAATTACTTTAATTATTCTTTATCTTTACAAAATATTAAACTATTTTAAGAATTGTATATTTTTTTTATCTTTTTAATAGAAGTGTGTGATTTACCGAGAGACCCAGGACGTTGTAAGGGTCATTTTCCTAGGTGGTATTACAACAAACACACGCGAAAATGCATGCTATTTATTTATGGTGGATGTCAAGGAAATGCGAATAGATTTAAAACCTTGAAGGAATGTAGGAAATGTCACAGATCAATTCACTAAAGAAGAAATGTAATACTTCTAAGCATAATCTATTATAAAAGTTGGGTGAAAATTAATCCATATTTCTTTTTAAAAATATTCTAAAGCAATATTATATTTTTTGAAATGTAAAAACACTTATTGACCAGTTAAATTTATAAAAAATGAATATTGTTTTCAAATCATTAAATATACAAACTATATTCATAACAAAATAATTATTTTTAATATAATTATCAAAGTATGCAATTAAAGTTCATCATCATACATGATAATAAATATAAGAAATGCGCATAGGAATATATTTAAAAGATAATTTTATGGGTCTTGTTTAAATTATTTCCAAAAAAAGTATATACTTTTAATTTTACTTAAATTTCATCCGGCATTTATATAAGAAAAAATTACCAAATAAATACTATTATTCTGATAAATTATTCACCTCATTTATGTTAATGAATGTAATGATGTAAAAAGGGGTGAAAATGTAAAAAGAAGTGAAAGGATATCTTAAAATTCCTAACGCAATAATGAAGAAAATTGAAAAGAACCTTATAGCATATATATATTACTATATATTTCATTGCAATAATATAATTATATTTCTAACCACACCTATATTTAGGTTTATCGAAAATTATTATAATATTCGATTCGAAATTAAAAAATAAATATATTCGATTAAAAAAATTTAATTCGAATTCGAAATAATAATTAAGAATTCTGAGACGAATAATAAATTTAAATATCATGCCTAGTATTGTTAAAAGGTTCGATTTGAGTTGATTTTTAAAGATAGCTAACTCATGATTTTATCAAGAAAATATTAGCCTAGACCAAAGGTTTTTCTCATAGATGGCACAAAGGTTAAGACATGTATTAGTGAAATCTCACTACTTAGACAATCTTTTTCGTGGTAATTTTGACGATATTTTTCTGGCTAAAATATTGAGTTAGCCGTTTTAAAAAATCGGCTCAAAACGAGCCGTTTAACAACACAGTAAAAACTTTAAAATAAATTCTTTTTCTTTAACCTAAAAATAAATTCTTCTTAAATTTTGTAAAATTCTTCTTTTCTTAAATTTTTTATATGTAAATATCATATTATAAAAATTGTATAATATACATATAAGACAAAAAGATTTATAATTTTAACAATAATAAAAAATTTAATCTTGTATTTATCACTTTTAAAACGTTCAAACTTTGCATAATTATATGGGATTCTATATATGTTTATATTTGATAACCATCATCTTAAATATTTTCAGTTCTTATTGAGATTTAAATATTGTTCTTAAATTGCTTACGTATGCATCTGCTTGTTGTCAAAAACCTTAATTTAAGTGTTTTTTTTTTAAAAAAATGGCTAAATCAAGATTTTAGCAAACTAGCCTCTAGATTTTGAGTATATTGCTTTTAGTTGTACAGTATCAGTTTCTAAATACATAGTGTTCAAACTAACATTCAAACATAAATTAATTCATGATTTTATATTTCGATTTTGGAAAAAGCCCTTAACTCTATATTTCATAATCCACGGATCTTCTATTCCATTATAATATAGATATTGTTTAATTTTTGCTTATTTTGCAATGACAAAATGATCTAATTTTAATTTTCAATATAATCACTATCGTTACGACATTCCATTTGGATGTGAAAAGATGTAAATATTCAATTTTTCAAATAGTCCGATCAAAATTTTCATTTTCGGCCCAAGTTTGGACTGACCCTGCCAAAAAATTTCCATTTTCGGCCCAAGTTTGGACTGACCCGCCAAAAAATTTTCATTTTGCCCAACCCAATTTTTTTAATTAAAAATAAATATATATATCTTCATTAGGGATCTGCAAGAGCGGGTTTTAAATAAAAAACCCGCTCACTCGTACACTCGTCCAATTTATAAAAAAAAATTAGGCTCTAGCTAAGTCCTTGATTTGACAGCTCGATGTTGACTAGCACACTTCGTAAGGCTATTTAGTTGTGATATTTAATTATATATGTTATGTTTGTCATTTTATTAACAGATGTGTGTCATCTCCCGAAAGCCACTGGACCATGTTACGCCTATTTTATTAGGTGATATACATCCCAAACAAGAAGAAAGTTTTAAAGCTTTATTAATGGTAGTTGCTAAGGAAATTGGAATAACTTTAAAACATTTTTGAGCTGTGGGAGGAAATGTTTGAAACAATTTTTCTCTGACTTTTAAATTTTAATTTTTATTCTAAAGTATTTCATTATTAAATTTTTTATTAAAATTTTTTTTAGAAACATTATACAAATTATCTTCTTACATTATCCAAAATTACCTCTTTTTTTAGCTAACATTTTCAAAATTATATTAGGTATAAAGGGAATTAAAAATTTTGAGAGGCTCTTTTTTCAGGGAGATTTAGCCCCTGTGCCCCTCTTACATGCCATACTACTGCATACAAGAACTTTGATAAAACCTATTTGGTATAGATTTGATATACCATTGTTTAAGTTAATTAGCTCGTTAGACAAAAAACTGTATCTTCAACCTATACGTATTTATAAAACTTTAAGGAAAATCTTCCATTTGTAAGTAAAGTTAATGCTTTCAGAAGACTGATCTCAAGCTTAAGGCGCCATGTTTTTATTTGGCCTTATAATTCGTTTACATTTTGGATATGGCAAATTTGTTTAAAATAGGATCCTTCAAAATTTGCCATCGCTAAGTCGATCTAATATTAAGGAAAATTATATTGCTTAATTTTTTTTACGATTTTATCTCCTATCAAAGTTAATAATTTCATTTTGAATTCGATTTCCAAGGTAATGACGATGAATTTCAGCCTTTTAATTCGACGAATGGTTGAAATGTTCTTTTCTTTATCAATTATTTGATATTTGTTAATACAATTATTTAGCTCAATTCATTGGTGCAGACTTTATTATAGCCTTCAATTCATTCAAAATTTATTTTTCAAATTTGAAAATATTTTACAATAAATATTTCTTTATAGATTACACTAGCCAACGATTATAAACTAATTGATTATTCGAAAGTTTTCGCTTATGAAATGAAACAGAAAAATGTTTAACATTTTGGTTTAGTGGAAAATTAAAATTCTCGATTCGTTTTGTGCTTTTTCTACTAAAACATTCCCAGATTATCAGTTATCCAAAATGGCCTTTCACTTATATCGTCCCAGTTTCTTTTAAAATATTTAGAGGAACTTTACTTAACTATGTTGTAATCTGCTCTGGTTCCCTTATACCATGAGAGAGGAAAATATGTAACCCAGCGATCTCTGTGGGATCATCATGATTAAAGAAACAATATGTGAACCAGAAAATTCTGTTGGAACTTCATGATTGGCCATAAGAATATTAATGTGTCTCAGAGTTAGATGGTTTCTGACATTTCACACTTGTTGCGCATGATGTCAAATTTTATTTTCATTTTTAAAATGTTTTAAACCTTTTTGAGAATTAATAAATGTAGCCTTGCGTTTCTTTCATAGTTTCTTAGTACCTGAATCAAGTTTATTTCCCATTTAAATTCTATGGTTATGAAATAAAAGATTATATGGCGTCTCCTAACAATTTAATTCACTAAAAGTATTTTTATATATTAATCTAGTTTGTTATTTTTTAAAAGTCTGAAACTAGCATATTAATATATTAAATAAACATTTAATAGTCGAATCTAAATCTTAATTGAAATAATAACTTAATCAAGATTAGAGAATTTTAAAGTGTACCCATCCAACCTCATTTTTTCTTTCTTTTTTAAAATTTATATATTTGTTTTAATTTTATTTATTTCAAAAAAATATATATATAAATTCAAAATGTTGGCAATCTTTACATTTTAATTTTGTCGTGAAAGCTCTGCCAATAGATTATAAGGTGAAATCTATTTATCATTTTTATATTTAAAAGTTTTATCATTATAAAGTTTATATATTTTTCTTCCTTTTTTTAAAACAAAAATTACGAGCAATCAAAAATGAAATTCATGATAAGATTTATTCTTTATCTGATTAATATCATAGGTATATATATTTAATTATATTAAATATATCATAAGCATGCGTTAAAAAATATTAAACAAATATTTTTCAATAGCCTTAATATCGTGTCAAATGGTACCCATGGAAATGCAACTTAGACCTAATTTAAGTAAAATTATAACTTTTATAAGAATGGTGACTTACTTTAAATGATGGACTTTTTATTTTTGCTTTATGTTTAGAATATCTTTATTAATTTTTCCATATTGATCATCATTATAAATATTTTCAGTTCTTACATGTTATTATATATATATTTATCATTACACTAAATTGAATAACAATATTAAAATCCTTAATCTCTACCCTATTTATTTGATCAAAAAAGTAAAATACTCAAGATTTATTGTTGCGAATTAATAAGCATAGTAAAAATATATATTATTAAAGTTTATATTGTCGTTCTTGTTTGAAATTTCCCTCAGTTGAAAAAAATAATATTATTGCTTGCTTAATTTTCTTTATAAATATTGAATAAAAATAACTATACATCCATTATGATTAAAATTTTCAAAAATTAATAATAATTATAGTTTTTTAAAGTTCTATTCTTTTAGACTTTAATTTATAATCTTTCTTCAATTTTTTTTTCTCTTTAGCTTTCACCTTTTCTGGTGGTAAGCTCCTTCAACATCTCTCTCCACTTAATGTTATTCATACAATCTCTTTTATCTAATTTATACTTCTTTATATTGGCTCTAACTTTATGGCCCCATTGAAGTTTTGGCCTTCTTTTTTTACGTTTGCCCATCACTTCCAAACTCTATCTTTCTTCAATAAAAGCATAAAATTCGGAAGTTTTTTGTATTGGCTCTATCTAAAAGCCAATTAAATCATTATTACTAGAGCGTTATAAATCATGTTGTCAACCAGACTGTAAATAAGTCATTAGCTTATAAACTTTCAAATAAATTTAGATGAGTTTTATATTATAACTGTATTCTAATTAGTGGTCTGCATCAGGCCTAATTTTTCAAGCCCGGCACGAAAATTTTTTAAAAAAGTTTTGCCGGCCCGTCCGAACCTGAAATTTTTTTTAAAAAATTACCGACCCGACCCGGCCCGAATTTATTTAAATATAGAGATTAATTTTTATAATTAATCAAAATAAAAGACATATATGTTATATGTCGTTTAGTTTCAATAAATAAAATCAAATATTTTTATTTTACATAAAAAATTCAATATAAAATTGATAAATTTAAATATATTTAAAAAATATTTCCAAGGTCCGACCCGACCCGGCCCGAATTTTTTAAAAAATATTAGGCCCAGCCCGAACCCGATTATTTTTAATAGAATTAGGCCCGAGCCCGGTCTGAGCAGATCTCTAATTCTAATAAAGAAAATTAGTTTTAGATATAAAAAATAATTATTTGCAAAAGCAATAGTTACTCACAATTCAGAACAAATTTCGAATTTTAAAAGGTATATAAAGTAGGTTAATATTCTTTTTATACTATAATTAAAACATAGAAACAAATTCAAATTAAAGATGAAATATTTTTGCTACTATAATTTTTAAAAATCATAACATCGATGGCATTGAAAGCATTTTAATAAAAGTATCTAAAATGGAACCCCTTACATGATTCTCCATTAATTCTGGAACTTCCTATCATTATTTAAAAAAAAATAATTACTTTGATTATTCTTTATCTTTACAATAATTTTAACTATTTTAAGAATTGTATTTTTTATCTTTTTAATAATAGTATGCAATTTACCGAAAGCCCCAGGACCTTGTAGAGCTCATTTCACTAGATGGTATTACAACAGAAATACGCGAAAATGCATGCGATTTATTTATGGTGGTTGTCAAGGAAATGCAAATAATTTTAAAACCTTAATGGATTGTAGGAGAAGATGTCATAGATCAATTCACTAAAGAACAAATGTAAAACTTCTAAGCATAATCTCTTATAAAAGTTGGGTGAAAATTAATCCATATTTCTTTTTAAAATTATCCAACAAAAAAAGCTATAATATTTTTTAGAAAATGTAAAAACACTTATTAGCATGCTAAATTTATAAAAAATAAATATTGTTATCAAATCATTAAATACACAAACTATATTCTATAATTAAGTGATAATTTTTTCCATTATCAAAGTATACAATTAAGGTTCGTCATCATTCATTATAACAAATGTAAGAAATGTAAGAAATGTGCATAAGCATATAGGTCAAAATTTTAGGTGATTTTATGGTTCATTGTTTCAAATATTTAACATTTGAAACCTCCAAAAAAGTACACCTTTAATTTTTACTCATATTATCCGGCATTAGTTATAAAAAAAATTACCTAATAAATACTATATATTCTTATAAATTATTCACCCCAAAGTTATTATGATAATAAATATAATTATGTAAAAAAAGGGGTGAAAGGATATCTTATTTTATCCTAGCTAGATATCGAAGAAAATTGAAATTGTACCTTAATATATATATATAAGCTAGTGATATTTCTAACCAAACCTATATTTAGGTTTATCGAAAATTATTATAATTATTCGATTCGAAATTAAAAAATACAAATATTAAGAAAATTTAAATAGAATTCGAAGTAATAATTAAGAATTCTGAGACGAATAAATATATTTAAATATCATGACTAGTATTGTTAAACGGTTCGATTTGAGTCGATTTTTAAAGATAGCTAACTCAATATTTTATCAAGAAAATATTAGCCTAACCAAAGGTTTTTCTCATAGATGGCACAAAGGTTTACACATGTATTAGTGAAATCTCAATACTTAGACAATCTTTTTCGTGGTAATATATTGAATTAGCCATTTTTAATAATCGACTCAAATCGAGCTGTTTAACAACTAACTTGACGAATAATCTAAATATTTATAAATTTGTAAGAGAATACAATCAGAAATGAGTAAATAAATAAGGTTCTTCCATTTCTTGTGAGAGTTTATTTTTATAGGCACAAATATGATTATCAAAGAAAATAAGAAATAATTGGGAAAACGTTATTTCAGAAGGAATTGCTTCTTTTTTTATAAATTAGTTTTTAATTATTATTATTATATAAAATATTTTAGTTTTACCTTTTGTTTTTTTATTGTGGTTTACAAAATAAAATATCCGAAAAATAGTTTTTTGAAGAAAAAAAAATCGAATAATGTTGTTGATTGTATACGAATAATGAATTATTTGATTGGTACGAATACGAATAGTATAATTATCAATTGGCACAAAAACGAATACTATATTATTCGATTCCAAATTTATGAATTGAAAACAAATATTTTATCACATGAATCGATTTTTTAGAGGTCTATATTGTAATGTGGAAAACATTGAGGTTCCCAAGCTAATTAATGCTTAGCTCCATTTAACAAGTATGCGATTAAATAACTTGACAATATGTTACAATAAAAATTTTATTCTTAAAATATTGGATATTGAAAAATTATAACAATCGATGAATAGGGTGAATATTTTTTTAGATAAAATTAATCTCCATGAACTAAAATTCATTGTGTCATTCAGATTTGTCAAATGTTTCCACTCAAAAACGTTGTCGTATTAAGTTTATACTAATTATTATAATTGTATTATCACCCTTCAACGTTTAGCGAGTATCAATATTTTTTCTCTTTTCCTTGTGAAATGTTATAATTATTAAAATCACTGTTCGCTTCGCTATGCACTCAGTTTCACAGAGAGTACGACTCATTGACTTAGGGCCTTAGAGGAAAACAGTACGTTTAGATTAGGGGTGGGTAAACAATGCTCAATTAATAAGCATTATTTAGACCTTAGTGCATACAGATGGGAGAAATACCAATTAGAGAAGGGTCTATTATGGGTATAAAGCGGACTATGTTTTAAAAATATTTTGTAAACATTACTAGAGGTGCATAATAAGTGCATGAGATAATAACTTTTTACATGTGATATACAGGCGCGTACGCAGGAATTTGGTCTGGGGGGGGGGGGGATAATAAAATTTTTTAAGAAATATTATTGTTTTAAAAAATATCAAGCATAAATTTATTAGGACTAATAACTATTTCTAATATACAATTTTAAATTAATGTGAATTATAAAAAAATTATATGTAAAGAATCACTTAAATGACCCAAAATAGAGATTTGAATTTTTTGAGCCTTTACACAAAAAGTTTCTTAGGAATAATTGCATTTTGTATGTTATATTTACAATATAAAATTCAATCTTCGTTGTGATTGAGCTAATTTTTCAATTACCTCATCTTTGCTTGTCATCAAATGCCTATGAATATTCAAAAGATCCAAACTTTTCAATGGAAGGAAAGAAGGAAGGAAGGAAGGAGATGTTGTACTTCTTGGTATGTTTTTCAGAGACCTACAGAGGCCCGGCTCCCGGGCCGGACAGTATTTTAATTTTTTTAAATATACCCAGGCCGGGCCCGAAATTTTTTGAAAAAAACACCCAAGCCCTTAATTATTTTAAAAAAACACCCAATCCGGGCTATATTAAAAACAGCCTATATTTGAAATCGTTATTATTAGCAATAAAAATCAAAAATAAATATAATTTATTTTTAAAAAATCCGGGCCGGGCCTGAAAATTTTATTTTAAAAAAAGCCGGCCCGGGCCTGAAATTTTTTTTAAAATAGCCAAGTCGGGCCTGAAAATTTTTAAAAAAAAACCCAGGCCGGGCCGTAAAAAATCTTTAAAAAAAATCCGGCCCGTGCCCTGCAAATGGTACTTCGGGCCTCTGTTATTCTTCTTAAAAAAGAGAATTTTCTCTCATTAGTTTAAAACCCTTTTAATACTTTGTTTGAAATAATGCAGAGCATCCATAGTTAATCTTATAAACATAGTTATTCAGCTAGTAAGGCATCATAAGATACATTAACATCCTTAAGATAAAAATCTAATATATATTTTTTTTTCTATCACCATCTGAAAAAGGTTGGGAAGTAATATTTGCAGATTAGTAACTGCATTATGAATTAAAAATTCATTTATTTGGCTTATAAATGTATCTGTATTTAAGATATACTCCTCTACTGATCCTATATTAATGTTTTAACGATGAGCTTGCCTTGCTACAAGTAGAGGGAGACAAATATTAAACACATATAGCTCTGCTTTTGACTCAACAATAAAATATAAATTATGAAATTCTTCATCAACATTAGCCCTAATTTCCTTGAGTTGTGATAAAATGCTCTCCGCTATTCTCATCTTCTTAATCAAGTCAATGTCATGTTTTTGAAAAGTAATACTTAAAATAGTTGAATAATACATTCTAATGAGAAATAAAATTTGGAATAAGCATTGAATCCAATAATTTTCTTGCTTCTGAGGAATATATTTTTTTCAGCCATTATGATATTTCAGTAATAGCAAATAATTGGCTCTTCTAACTCCTTAAAAGCTGTTACTGCTTGATGGCAGAGACTCTATCTCGTTGGACAAGGTTGCAATTTCTTTTTCCCTGTTGGACAAGAAGTTTCAGAAATAATTATTATTTGACTAGAAATTTGAAAAGGGTAGATAAATATTACTCCACTAAAAATTTGAAAATAATATGTAAATATTAAGCCGGAAAACTTGAAATCGAAATGAATTGATAAAATAACTTAGTAGATAAATGTGATAAATAAATGTAATTAAATAGATATATGAGATAGGAATAAATATTAACAAATATAAATTAATATAAACAATAATATTTTTGAAAAATATATCCGGCATCTGCAATTTTTTTTTTTTTGGGGGGGGGGGGGGGGGGGTTCTCCCTGCTCCCCTTCCCCCCTCGCTGCGTACGCCAATGGTGATATATAATTCTTTATGTATTTATATAATAAAATAGTAAAATTACAATTGGGGGGGGGGCGCGGGTAAACAAAAATATTAATATGCAATAACATATGTATTAAAATTTCTTCACAAGAAGTAAAACGTTAGTAATATTGTAGATAAAAAGAAGCAAAAAATTAATAATAAAAATGTTTATAAAGTATTTATTTTATGAATGGGGGGGGGGGATCTACATACTATAATTCCTATATTATTAATTAATATGCAAAAGTAAATAAATTAAACAATTGAGTTATTCAAAAATGCAATTGAGGATGGTGAAAGGGCAAAATTATATACAAGAAATGGGATGGTGAAAGGTATTATGTGACTAATCATTAAAAGGATGGGGGGGGGGGGAATTTAACTGTTAGCACGTTAATCAAAAGTTCGATTTTGGTTACTAACTACTTTTTTGTAGGATACTTGGGATTTATAGGCTGTAATATATATCATCCACCCTTTTATTAGGCGCGAAAAATGGGGGGTAATTGTGTTACGAAATAGAATAATATGATTATTAAGGAGAATTGAATCGAAGTGGTTGATATAAAGAACCTCTATAACAACTTCACAATATAATTCTCACATCACTATTTTCGCAAATATCGATCGAGATAATTCTGACTTTCAATTAAAATATTGGGCCATAATATTATTCAAAGGAACACATGATTTTTATAATCCATATTACCTCCTTCATATATACTGAAAAACGTTAATATCTATAATATAGTAAAGATAGTGATATGTTAAAAGTGGAAAATAAATTTTAAGCCTTAACTAATTTTATTTACTAACTCCAGTTTAACGATAGAGTATTTCAATGTTAATTTTTTAATATTTTCCAAAAATTTATATTAAATAGATCAATCGCTCGATCGTTCAAATTAGGTCTTAGCTCTATGGAATAATAAAAAAGACTATGTTATGACAAATGGAATTGCTCAGGAAGACCAATATCTAAACAATATGAGATTTGCCCACCTAGTTAAAAGGGTTCATATGACGTTTTATTTAAGGTAATAAAGAATCCATCGTAATTGGATAAAATTTAATCTACTAAACTTGAAACCAACGGAATTTGAATT